GCTTCAAATTTCTTTTCAATATATCCATTGAATCTTTCTACCTTTTGTGCTTTGCCTATTTGTTTTGATCTTTTCACCTAGAATTCATTCTAATCTGAATCATGATGGAATTATATCCTGGGCTGTAATTCAATATGGGTCAGTTTATTTGGATAGGTTTTACATAGGACATATACATTCATTAACTCCTTGGAGACTGGAAACTTTTTGGAAAAATGAAGAAAATAAAAAAGTTATTTGTAAAAGAATTTAGAAGCAAGAGAAGGAAGCAAGGCCCAATAAATTATATAGACTTTTTTCTTGAAAAAATTGAATATGCAAAAGAGTGTCATTGTGACATCATAATTCAAGATGGCGGATTTGAACTTTTTACAAGACAGAATTATTTTAGCATTTTTTGTTTAAAACTTCAATTTAAAAATCTGAGCAGAACTACTTGACATATTATAGACCTTTAATGCTGATCATTCTGTGACATTTGTATTATAGCATAACTCCTACAAATACTTTTTAAAGCGCTTAGACAGAAAATTCCAGGAAAATCCATATGGCGATTTAACATGGGATTTTTGTTTTTGTAATTTTTTGCAATTCGTTATGCTTTGGACCCCCTGTATCTTCATTAATATTATTCTCTGATCACAGTGCTTCAAAATTCAGAATATCTTTGCATTCTCTCCCCCTGCGATAAGCAGTTAGCATTTCGCCAATTAAGGATTAGGTGAATTATGTGAACTAACTGTAAATTAAGTTTAAAATCTGACCAATCAGAATGTGCTCTTGATGTAAATTGGATGTATACTCAAGTGTAAACTGAGTGTAAACTTAGGTGTAAATTAGCTCATTTGCATGTGAAATTGGTCACCTATTTACTGGGTGTAAAGTAAGTGTAAACTGAGTGTAAACTTAAGTGAAAACTAAGTGCGAACTGGATGTAAAGTAGATGTAAACTTAAGTGTAAAGTGGGTGTATACTAAGGTGTAAACTGAGTGTAAATTTAAGTGTAAATTAGCTCATTTGCATATAAAATTGGTGGTGACATTTGTCAGCTTAAATGCCTTATTATAAATATTGCATTTAGAAGACTTATTAACTCTCACAATCTAAAACAGGGGCTCCTTGATTGATTGACATTGTCAGTAAGGTTGATACTAGTATACGAATTGTATATTACGGGCAGAACAGCAGATGCATGGATGTAGCATGAACCATACAAGTCCATGCAAAATTGCATGTGGATTGCATTGTTTTCGTTAAAACCCATGCAGATGCATTCAATTTTGCATGTGGATTAACGTGCTTTGCATGGATTTGAATGGATGCCGCATGGACTTTGCATGGATTTGAATGGATTTTGCATGGACTTTGCATGGATTTGAATGGATGTTGCATGGATCATGCGAGTCCATGCAATATTGCATGTGGATTGCATGGTTTTCATATAAATCCATGCAGATGCATGCAATTTTGCATGGACATTGCATGGAACTTATTAACAATATTTCTCGCAGCCTGCATGGACTTTGCATGTGGATTAACGTGCTTTGCATGGATTTGAATGGATGTCGCATGGACTTTGCATGGATTTGAATGGATGTTGCATGGACTTTGCATGGATTTGAATGGATGTTGCATGGTTTTTTTAAATGAGTTAAAACTCTGCTGCATGTGTTTTGCATGGGTATTGCATGGAAAAATCGCATGGACTTTGCATGCATGCGGTTTTGCTAAGGGGTACCTATTACAGTTTTATGTTTACCTATACTACTGTCAGTAGAACATCATGCAAGGAATTAAAAAAGAGAGCATCGATTATTTTACAATATTTGTAATACGTAGTTTTATCATCAGATTTTAGTATCATGCTTCCGAAGCAAGACACTATAAGAAAATTAATAATCAAGCAACTGGCTTATACATATTTTACAATATAGGAAATAAGTTCCGAATTAATACAAGATATATAAACAATTGTTGATTGAGTAAGTGGGCTTAGTGGTTTTCTTTAACCTATTGTAATCGACGCTTCCGAAGCAGTTCAAATTTTACAATATATGAAGTATTCAGTTTCATGCTTAGAAGCAGTACATGATATTGGGCTAACTGGGCTAATCGGTTTTCTTTAACCTATTGTAATCAATGCTTCCGAGACAGTCCAGGTTTTACATTATATGAAGTATTCAGTATCATGCTTAGAAGCAGTACATGATATTGGGCTAACTGGGCTAAGTGGTTTTCCTTAAACCTATTGTAATCAATGCTTCCGAGGCAGTCCAGGTTTTACATTATATGAAGTATTCAGTATCATGCTTAGAAGCAGTACATGATATTGGCCTAACTGGCCTAAGTGGTTTTCCTTAAACCTATTGTAATCAATGCTTTCGAGGCAGTTCAGGTTTTACATGATATGAAGTATGCAGTATCATGCTTAGAATCAGTACATGATATTGGCCTACCTGGCCTAAGTGGTTTTTAACCTCTTGTAATCAATGCTTCCGAAGCAATGAAGATTTTACAATATATCTAGTATGTAGTATCATGCTTAGAAGCAGTACATGGAATAAAACATTGTAGATAGAGGAACATGATTTTAAAGCAGTGTATGTTTTGCAATTTATACATTTAAGATTGAAAAGGCAACTTGCTTTCGAAGCCGTGTATGTTTAACAATATATGAACTATGTAGTTTCGTTTAACTATTACATTATAATGTTTCCAAAGCAGTGCATGATATAACGATTGTAGAGAGCAATAGGCTTCTAATACATTGCATAAATAGTTTCATATTATTTTAATTAAGTATATTCATTAATCTATAATAGTAATGCTTAAGAAACAGTTGTTACGCGGTAAACACGATACAAAAATATGCCATATTCCGCAACGAATATGGCATATTCACTTCCGGTATATGGCAGATTCACCTGCGGCATACACACTAACCAATGAGAACGTGATACGGAAGTACGCAATTCTCAATTGCATCGTATGCAGGAAGATCACTCACCAATCTCACGTAATAAACTTACCCAATCAATCCAGGATTCATATATTAGTACTCGACGCACTAACAATAGTCAATTCTCGTAACAAATCAGACCAAGTTTTTCTGTATCACGTTTTCACCTGTGTAATATGTAATATTCACCTGCTGTATATGGCATATTCCGCAAGTGAGTATGACATATTTTTCAGGTGAGTATCGGGTATTCACTGAAATCAATGTATCGCATATTCACTGTGGAATATCGCAAACTCACCCGCAGAATATGTCATATACCGCAGGTGAGTATGGCATATTCACCCGTATCACAAATACCGCGCAACCATGGATGTATGCCATATTCCGCGTAACAACAGTAACTGATAAAAATGAGCAATATACTTCAGAATTAGTGCAAGATTTACCATTTATAAAGTGTTTATTTTTCTGAAACGCACTGCAATATAATGTTTCCGAAATAGTAAATGATATGAAATGAGATGATATGAGCGACAAAATTCTGAAGCGTTTTTACATGTATGAACTATGTGGTTTCCGTAACCTATTGTAGTATTATGCTTTCGAAGCAATACATGATCATTAAAGTTTTGCAATAGATTAACGATAAGTAATTTTGTATTATCATGCTTCTAAAGCAGTACACAAAGATATCATTTTACTAAAGCAGCAGTTTACGAAACCGTGTAGGTTTTCAGCCAAAATGACTTTTACAATTAAGCATGCATCTGATGAAGAGCATTTTTCAATATATGCAATATGAGGTTTATTAAACCTAGTATCATGCTCCCGAAGCAGTACATTATTTTACAACGATGTACAAAATGGTTTCCGAAATCATCATGACAACTTTTCCCGAAAAATTGGTCGAGAATATCTCTGAGATAGTTCTGACAGGGGTCAGAGGCGAGTTCAGAGATGTTTTGTTACATTAGACAGTATGGAATGTTGTGTTTTACCCTCGTGTTCACCAATAAACGGGTCGCGCATAGCCATCCACATTGTAAGAAAATGTGTTGTGTTAAGTTGTGTTATAGTATGACCGCCTGAGAGCGGTGAATGTGCATTAAACTATATTAGCAATACTATACAGAGTGGGCCAAAATCCAAGTATTATACAATTATGTGTATGGTGGTGTAGATGTATAGTTGCGCAAAATGTACTTTGTACCAAAACTGTTATTATTAGATAAAATACCAAGTAACATGCAAGTTGTAAATGATAAGTCTTGAATACTGTATATTTATTACATGTTAAATCTATGCAAGGTGTTTTCAATTGTATTGCATACATTTTATCCCACTCTGTACTTTTAACAAAAACAAATACAATTTTGATCTAAATGTAAAGTAAAAAAGTGGGCTTCTGTCTAAGGCTAGTAATATTAAAGCTCATAAAGTTAAATATTGACAGATTTCATGTGTAATTCATTCAGATCTGTTTTCACAGTAAAACTTGTAAAAGTGAGCATCTCCTCATATGTTAATGATAAGACCATTGTAATACAGAAATTCATAAAAATGCATACTTGGACAAAATACTAAGTACACTACTAATATAGTACTAAATATACACACGGTTTCAAAAACGTGAAAAATGAGAAAAGTTGTCATAACTTTTTAAAACTCCCATTGTCGAAACCGGTTTGACATGCAGGCGACGAATATTTTAGCCCTATATGAGTTGCGCATGCTTATGCTGTTCGTTCTATCTGGAAATGAGAGATTTCAACGGTTTAAAAAAGTATAGTGAAATCAAGTGAAATCGGTTTCGATAGTTTACGTTTCAAAAAGCTGTGACAACTTTTGCCATTTTTTCACGTAAACAAAGGAGATTGGGACCCTAAGGCTTTTTCATTCTTCTATCGACTAATACGGGCTGATATAAACACTACCGTGTACATGAAATGCGAAATCATCACTAATTGTTGGTATTAATTTAGTACTGGGTTACTTATATAAGCACTGGATAAGTACTAATTGGTACTAAATTCTGTAAGTACTAAATTAATGACAACTAATTAAGTGAGTATAAATGAGTAAATTAAACATGATTTTTAACAAATGGAAACTGTGCATAATAAGTTAAATCAATTTGAGCATATCCAGTCTGATACTCCGTGTGAACTTTTTCAAAATACCATTCTTCTAGACAGTCCATGACAAATGGTTGAAAATTCAGCTCTAGTTTGTTGAGGAAGAATTGATGGGCATTCACTATATCATGGAGATTTCTCAGCCCCGGGATACAAATATTGCGGGCATATTTCCCGTGACATTTCATGCCTGGGTACCATTCACTTGTTATCCAATGTTTGTAACGCAATAAGTATGTTTCTCTGTTTGTTTCAGGAACTCCTTGAAAACAAGAAAATTCATATCAATCTTTGAACATTGCTATGGTGATTTTATTGTTTCTAAAAGTAGTTCAAATGTTACCTTTCTGTATGAATTATTCTTAGTATGATACAAACAAAAGGTTTTGGATAGATGCCATATACTAAGTAAGATAATTTGATTTTTTAAATGAAATGAAAGTTGAAATTTTGTATTGCGACTTACAATTATTACAAGGATTAAACTATATCAATCTGTAGTGTGGCTTAGCTCATATTTGACCTTGACTTTTGACCTTGACCTTGATCTTCATACCTATAACTGATCCTGGAACTCCAACTTGTGGATTGTGGTTGAGAGTTGGGAAGAATGTCTCATCAGGATGTCCTGTATCCTTTAGCCACTCTATCAGTGCATGGGACACTTCATTATGTAATACATAGTCCACAAATGCTCTAGATGCTGCAATATGGATCTCCCCCTTATAAAGTGTCAGATTGTATGGAATTGGGGCTGCTTTCCATTTCCATCGTTCGTGATCACCTTTTGACCTAAAATGTGAGATCACACAGGGCAAAATGAAAAAAAGACAATGATCTGTAAGAAAAAGTCCACCAAATCCCTAAATTACTTTGTAGGTGTTTTGAAATGTGGATCTCATCCTAATCGGGTCAGGTTGTACTGAATCATCGCTCATTTTCCATTTCCATCTTTCGTGATCACCTTTTGACCTAAAATGTGAGATCACACAGGACAATATTTAAAGACATCAATCTGTAAGAAAAAGTCCACCAAATCCCTAGATCACTTTGTAGGTGTTTTGCAATGTAGATCTCTTAATATAGGGTCAGATTGTATGGAATTTTACTCATTTTTCCATTTCCATCCTTCGTGATTGCGACCTAAATTGACAATGTAACCATTCTTTTGGACATGTCCATCAAATCCCTCACCTTATATATAGACCAGCTAGGAGTAAAATTCTACTCTCTGAAAAAGACAGATGACTATGGTTTAAATACCGAGATCGTTATATTTCAAATCTCTAGATACTAGACAGAGCTACATGGATCTCTCACAGACAATTTGCAAAGGATTTGATTGACCCTGACCAATTTTGGACCCGTAAATGAATGAACAAAGGGCATGTTCTAATCAGTGGACTGGCCCCAAGAAAAGATGGACTGGACTCTGGGCCATCTTTTAGACATTTGCTTCACAAAATTACTAAAAAGTGGACTTAACCCTCTATACTCCATTATGGGCCACACTTTAGGTTTTCTGTAAGTATTTTGAATTAAAGATGGCCTCAAGCAATACATATCTAAAATTGAATTTAACTTATCAATATCATTATCCCAGCAAATGAAGTTAGATAGGGGTGTCACGAAGCCCTCCATTTGTCAAGTCCTTTTCCCAAGCACAAGAAAAAATATGTGGATTTTTAAATATCTTCCTTTCAAATTAAAAGATGGAATTTAGAAGGTTTGACCACAGGGGGTCGAGCACAGACACACATTTCATGATTAGCGGGATGAGTAGACGGTGTTTATCTAAAATATAGCTTTGTTACATGCAAGAGGAATGCATTCTAGTGTATATTGGAGAGCAGGGGCGTAGTCAGCTTTCAGTCAGGGGGGTGCGATCGCCAAATTTTTGGGTTTCAGTCAAGTGGGTGGCATAAGCAAGGCAAAACAAAAAATAAGATCTGTTTTGGATTTTACAAAAATTGATGCAATTTTGCTCAAAATTGAGCTAGAAGCTTAAAAAGTATTTTAAAGCTCTTTTCTTCCACTATCTAATGGTTCTATTTTTATTGGTTATGGAGGGGATGCGACCCATCACACCCCCTGGCTATGGAGAGATTGTGTTAAGCGTAAGCAATTCACTCAAAAGGAATGGGATATTGTTTCATATAATATATTTGTTCTCTCATTAATATGCTACTGATCTCCAGATGGCAGGTATTTAAATTAATCCAGTTGTTTCTTCCATTCTAACTTATTAACAAGAACACAAACATGTACAATATGTCCATACCAATGGATGGTCCTCGAGTTTTTATCCCCTGTGCCCAATTCTTTAATCAGTTGAAAATACAAGATTTTAGGTAAAAAATCAAAATTGCAACATCTGCCAGAATGAACCAAAACTAATCAGTTTGAGATTTTCATACAAAGAATCACATCTGAAAAGTTGAATTCGATCTTTCAAATGGTTCATCTGTAAACGTGTAGATAAGTCGTTGCACACAAGATTCAGGATGGAAGATCCAAAATGATCGCCTTATCATTTACCCAGAATGCTTAAAATCATCACTGAAATTTTAAAGTTTAAATTTTTTTCAATTTTAAAAGACATGGCAGATTGATATTAAGTTAAAGTTCAGCATTTATCCAAGTTTCAGTGTGATAATTTGGATCACTAGTCGAATTATGAAGCAAACAAGTGAATGTCTATGATCCCTGTATGTTCATGTATAACTCAGTAATACTATGTATGCAAGATAATCCATTTGAGCATCGCTATATCCCCAAAAAAATTCATTAAATCCAGCAGCAGAAAAGACATGCTAACTACTGAACTATATTCATCATGTGTGAATATCAAGTGTGGTCATTTCCATAAATATTATGAAGCATGTAAATTTGAGATTTTAGAGATAAAGTATGTAAAGGTATTATCACCACATGCAATTCAACACTTATGGATTTTCATTTAGGTGCGGAAACTGACTTTTATCAATAAGTGAAAATATATAATTTCATTGTTACCAGCCAGCCTGAAAAAATATATAATAAATAAAAGTGATAGTTTTGATAAAAGTTAAATTACCAAAATTAGCAATAGATTTGATAATTATCAATTGTTTTTATAAATTATCAGATAATGCTCATTTCACACGGGCCCTTTTCCATGAAACATTTGCTAGAAATAGTTATCAATAAAAGTGATAGTTTTGATGTAACTAAAATTATAAATGTTAGTTATAGTTTTGATAATTATTAATATTATCTGATATTATCAGATGAACATTTGTCCTAACTTTCTTGATTTAGTGAAAATATGACAATTAGTGAGAGTTTTGATAATTATCTTTATTATCTATTTTCACGTAGGCAACATTTGCCCAAGACTTCAAAAAATGTTCGTGATAAAAAAGTGCTGGAGAAATAATTGCCATTAACGATAATACTCAAATCAGCATGTTTAAGGAAAACAGCGAAACTTGTGGCAATGTTTGATAAAAGCTACCATTCAAATGACATGGGGCTGGAAAAGCAAATAAAACTGACTTTCCGGACCTACCTCCATATCTCCCTGCCATTAAGAGTCGACCCTTTTAATGGAATGATAAATAATTCTGATAAAGTTACTAAACAAAAAAATGAATGGTTTTATATTGGTCATATACAAAAATATAATTTAACACTACGCCATGTTTTTTTCATTTTCAAAAAATATATACTGAAGGATTTAAACTACTGACTGCAAACTTCTATGATATTTTCAGTAAGGGAACATTTTATATCAATTGGAATTCACATCTGTCCTTACAAATTGATAGTTGTGGAAAAAAAGTAAGTAAATTTAATCAATTGTTTTACCATTTTACCCCCCCCCCCTCTCCAAATTAAATTGAGTTAAGGTTGGTTGTCCAGCCCCGGGGTTCAACATTATAACATGAGTAGCTTCACTTTTCAAAATATATAGTCAACATTTGTCAGGGAAACAACAAAGATATTTAGGTGGCGTGCAGATGAGTGTTAGGTAGATTGTCGGCTAGATTGTCCCCATTGAAAAGAATGTGAAGGATAATTTAAGTTTGACAAATTATGCAAATATTATACAAGTGTGGTCATACTAAAATTATAAAGCATGTCAATTTTAGATTTTAGAGATGAAGTATGAGAGCCTTGTAATTCAGCTCTTCCAGATTTACTCTGCTTTAAACTTACAATGGAATGCTATTGATTCTGATATATTTACAAAAAATGACGCAACTTCATAATTTTCATCAACAATAGAATTCAACTATATCTAGTTCTTTTATTTTTTTGCAAATCACAGCTTAAAACTAATGATTGCAAACTCCTCCAACATAATCATTTAATAGGGAAAATTCTATATCAATTGGGATACACATATACCCTTACCAACTGCAAGTTGCGGAAAAGTTTGCAATTAATTTTTTTAGCATCGATTACCCCCACCTCTCAACATTGAGCTGTCTCGAGGCTGTTTTGGGGTCATGTAAAGTTATGAAATCAGAGCTTCATTGTTTGTGATAATTGTTACAATGACAAAATGATATAAAATTTTTAAGGGATACTAAGATACAATAGTTGATGGTGTCAGGTACAGATTGTATCACTTGATAAGGTTTTATGATTCTATTAGGCATGCATCTTGGGTGGGTTGGATCACTCAGTACCATCCTTTTACTTAACCCTTTATACTCCAGTTTGAAGCCACTTTTTAGTCATTCTTCTATCAAAATACCTAAACAGTGGCCTTTGTATCAGTCCACCTTTTAGTCATTTTAACCACATAATGACTAAACAATGGATAAGGCCACAGAGTCCACTAAATCGGAGCCAGCACACCTTTTAGAACATGCCTGAACAAAGGGCAACAGTAAAAATCTCTTTGAAATGGTCTACAGATCATGTCCTAGACGTTTTGGTAAAAATTATTTAGTCGCTTACCAAATTGATGATCCTCTGACATTATTCGCACCATTAAACCCTCGTAATATCCCCACTAATTCCAAATTAGATCTCAATGGTAATTCTTGACCAGTTAGATTTATATAATATTTCCATTTCTTGTATTTCCACAAGTCTTGCATACATATCAGATTTGGTTCAAGCACACTGAAATCCCCCCACTGTACATCTACCCTCCTTGACGATATGAAAACGTTTACTAAACAGTCTACAATTGATTTAACAGCTTCAAATATTTCTGGATCAGTTTTCGCATCAACGTGGATGCAATAGTAATTCCATGGTCGGTATATAGCGTGGAGAAGTCGTTCAAATTGCTCCACATCTTTGTAAAGTAGAACATCAAAAGCCAATGGAAAATCATATTCTGCCGAGTTTACAGGATTCAAAATGTATTTACGTGTTTCGTGGAACTTTTCGCAGTCTTCACAAAGTTTTATGTAATCTGAAGGGATATGAGAAATTTTTCGAGCGATGTCCATATAGTTTTGAGCATTTTCAATCACTTCAGATTTATTCATGAAAATCGCACTACAGTTTGTTTGGAGCACCTTGGATATTGGTATTCTGTCTTTTGTTTCTCTCGTTAAATTGTACTTTATAATCCTCGGATGTTTTTTAATCCTCTGGAAAATGTCAATTCCATGATCTTCTTTGATCCCTGGATAATTTTCAATCTGCTGATTATATTTGATCCCGTGATCACCTTTAATCTCTTGATTCTCCTTAATCCCTTGACTTATAGCTGGGTTATGCTTGACTTGTAGACTACCTTTAATCCCTCGATCATCGTTAATGCTGGATTCTAAACTAGTCAATGCAACCCATATTGTACCATACGTAACTATAACATTCAAAATGAAAAATAATTTACAAATGTACTTTACTTTTCTACCCATGGATGCTTGATAAACACTTGTTTTAAAAAAACTCGTACCCAAATCAAAATAGATCATTATATTATATTGATCTTTTTCATATTTGAATAATTGCATCATTGATTATTTGGGCTAATAACGTGAACTATCATTTTCGATTGTTGATTTTTAATTGTTTTTTAAATGTCAATGACAAAACAGTTTTATGGAGCTGACCTAGCTACAGCATTGGTTTTATTTGCCCAGCTGGGCTGTTAGGTTTTATTTTTTATTTTCATTTATTTCGACATAAATTGCATCACTGTCAAAACATTTTATCAGAAAATTGATTTCAGGCAGGCAATTCAAATGCTAATCCAGTCAATATTACTACGTACACATATTTGAAATAAAAATTTAAAAGAAATTCCTAGTAATTTCCAGGTTACACAGGATAATGAAATCTCCCTATCTTTCGCATTCTTTACACACCTAGATGTGTTCCACTTTATTAGTTTCACTGAACTTGATTTACTCTTTTAAAGGTTGAGAAATACCAATGTGTCCTCTTCGCCGAAACAAATCTTAGGTTTCGTAACACAAATAATTGGGTTTGAGTAGGAAATAAAGTTACTTCAATATCTGGTGTTTAATGAAAAGGGTCTGAACATATGTTCAAAAGTTTTTGAAAAGAAAATTCTTTTCTGGACTCTATGAATGTGAACAGTTATAATAGAAGGCTTGGACATTCCAAGATTCATTGTTTTCAAAAATAATTGCTACAGATCAGCAACAAGTTGATATCACAGACAGTCAATAGTCTAACATGTCGCCCTAGGTGTTTTCTAAAAAAAGTCGGTAGATGTACTAAAGTTCCTCTACAATCTGTAGCAATTTCATTACAAAAAACTAAATCTCTTAAAATAAGAGTACTTTGTATCTTTCCTTTCCGAAAACCCTGTAGAGATGCACACGAGGTCTGAACACAGTCCACTATGTGGTAGAGACACCTCTCATACAGATCATACTTCCCTATAAAGGTGGGTTTTTGGCCAAATATTTGGGTCATGATGCTATGGTAACCAGACGCCTTTATAACCCCCCTATCACACAAAACTAGTACTTACCCGTTCTTGCCAGTCCTACGAAAACGTCGTAAACCGGGCTCAATCTGGCTGTGGTCGGGAAATATGTCTAAAATAATTAGCTACTTCGTTCATAAACAGTCTTCAATACGTCCATCTCATTCGCAGTTCGTTCAGGTCGCACCACGTCGGTGTGCAACGTCGTATAAAGCTTCCCTTAGTCTAGAAGGTCATCATGACCTGGTTACAGAATGGTATGGTCGCCATCGAATTTTGAATCGATTCAAAATTCTGAATCACATTCCCCGTCCGGGAAAGTCCATGAAGTTCGTAAACAGACCGTAGAACGTTGTAGCTACGTTCATTCAGTTCGCACACAGTTTAAAACCGATTCGGCAAAGTTTTGAAGAACGCAGTGACAACTGGTTCTGGTGTCTGGTGTGATAGCTATTTTTGTTAATTCGTTCATAAGCAGTTTTTAATACGTTCATCTCGTCTTTATTCCGTCTGCAGTACCACCCTATGCTTAGTGAGCGGACCTAATTTCAAGGGCGATGGTAAAGACGAGACAGGGCGCCCAAACCTAACTATGGCGGACCAGCAGTAAGTTTATTTCTCTAAGTTCTACTCTTTATTGGCCATGTGCTGGCCTGTAACTAGGTGCACTGATGCTTCAGATGCCCATAATTAGATTTGTAATGTAAGAAAGATTCATACTTATATGTGAAATGGATACGAAGTGATGTGAAAAGAAAAATTAATTTTCTGCATATTTTTTTTTCGATTATTTTCAAAATAATGATACTTCTCCTGCATAGAATTCCTTGATATTGCATGTAATTATTGTTGATGAACGTATTTATATCGTAAACCCATCCATTTCCCAATTTGAGCCGTAATTGCAGTCAAATCAGGAGATTTTGATTCCTCGAAAGGAAGAGCAATGGTTATGGTAATAAAAGCATGTTTGGACGAGCCGTGGAATAGGGATTACATTTATCCTGTTTATTTTCAGATATGTGGGATTCCAGTGTTACTACTGTCACGGAAAATCAAAAAACTTTGATGAAATAATACACCACCTGATCAATAAACAATTTACACAATGTATTAACAGTGATTATGTTGTCTCAGAAAAAATAAATCTGACAAAAGTTTATCCCACAGTGCAGAAACTTGTGACTACATCTGTCATGTTAACAACCTCTGACTACATCTGTTATGTTAACAACCTCTATCTACATCTGCCATGTTAAAAACCTCTGACTACATCTTCCATGTTAACAACCTCTCACTACATCTGTCATGGTAACAGCCTCTCACTACATCTGTCATGGTAACAACCTCTGACTACATCTGTTATGTTAACAACCTCTAACTACATCTGCCATGTTAAAAACCTCTCACTACATCTGTCATGGTAACAACCTCTCACTACATCTGTTATGTTAACAACCTCTAACTACATCTGCCATGTTAAAAACCTCTCACTACATCTGTCATGGTAACAACCTCTCACTACATCTGTTATGGTAACAACCTCTGACTACATCTGTTATGTTAACAATCTCTAACTACATCTGCCATGGTAACAACCTCTGACTACATCTGCAGTGTTAACAACCTCTGATTACATCTGCCATGTTAACAACCTCTCACTTCATCTGTCATATTAACAACCTCTGACTTCATCTGTCGTGTTAACAATCTCTGACTACATCTGTCATATTAACAACCTCTGACTACATCTGTCATGTTAACAATCTCTGACTACATCTGTCATATTAACAACCTCTGACTACATCTGTCATGTTAACAATCTCTGACTCTATCTGCCATGTTAACAGCCTCTGACTACACTTGTCATGTAAATAAAGTCTGACTTCATTTATTATGTTAACAATTTCTGAATACACCTGCCATGTTAACAACCTTTGACATCAACAATCTCTGACTACATCTGTCATGCGTCTAATTTTTTATGACTTTGGCAACATTTGTTAAAAAGTGTGGGCCAGTTACCATGTATACAATTTTAAAATTCTTTTAAGTTATTCTGTTTATTCGTTCAACAACCAACACTTTTTGATAAATCATAAAATCAAGTGACTACATGTTTTGCAAGTTTTTACCATTGATTGAAGCCTATGACAACCTTGCCCAAATTCATTAATTTATTAATTGACAGTGTACATTTTAGCTGAATTTAGCAGTACACGTAGCAGCTAAGTGCTTGCCCATAGCCACTCCTCTTCGCAAATTACATCGCCATTGCTCGTCATCGAAATTATGATCGCCGAATAGTAAACATTCATTTTGTATTGGATGTACATAACTAGAGACCGCCTTATTTCGCATATATGAAAAAATAAAACATATCTAGGTACATGTATCTTTATATGTGACATCGATCAGGAATTATTGACATATTGACAATATTAGGTTGTAATTTCTTGCGGTAAATTCAAATTGTATCTTTAAACGACTGTTTCATCTTAACTATTCGTTTTATTGGATGTAAAACAAACGGTATGCATAGTTTAACATCTTTCACTTCTAAAACAGCATAAAATATCACAATACCATCACCTAATGCTGCAATAATACGACTTAAAATGTTATGGTACTGATATTCTTTGGTTTTTGGGCGCCATGCCTCGTCTTTACCATCACCCTTGAAATTAGGTCCGCTCACTAAGCATAGGGTGAGTACGTTGGTATCAAATTTAGATCGGGTTAAATTGTGCGTTCGTCTCGTCTACACAACGTATCCAAGCAGTTCAATTACGTCCTTAATCAGTTAAAACCAATTAGTTGACAATTAGTTGTACTTCGTTCTCAATACGTCCTAATATGTTACTGAATTATCCACCAAATTTCCATACGGTTGAACTCGTTCTAAAATAGTAAACTTTATGAGAACCTACTGTGAACGAACGTTTATAAACGGGAAGGACGTTAATCGGTGAGTTGAGTCTGTCTACGAACAGAATGAACGAGCTACAAACGGACTAGATTGGGGTACTCACGGCTGCAATTTACGCCTGACTACACAACGTCGTAATACGTCCCTAGTAGGATTGAAGTACGACACTTCCGTTCGTAGTGTGTCCCCAGTGCGTCAAGGTCGTCTTAAGTACGTTGTCACTCGTTCTGATTGCAGAACGCAACGATCACCAGAAAATTTTGAGCATGCTCTAAGTTCTAGGGGACCTACTCGTTCGAGTAGTTTCATGAAGTTTGTAAACAGATCCCAAACGGTTCTTAGTGGGTTCTTAGTACGTCAAATCCGTTCGTGCACCGTTTAAGCCCGTTTTCGAGAACGTAGTGAGAACTAGTTTGGTGTGATAGTAGGGTTACTGGTTAAATTTATTGCTTATTTTTACAAAAAAAACAAAAGGAAATCCTACGATACATGAGGTGGTTGAGGGCAAATATGAAAAATATTCATAAAGTATTACGATTTTTAGAATAGAACTTTTGATAAAAAGATTTTTTTTTCAAGAGAAAGATTACTATTGAATTGCTTAATGAATAGGCGCATGACATGGTAAACATCAGGCCTGTAGCCAGGATTTGTCAAAAAGTTCCACGGGGGGTTCACTTTTGACAACATTGCCCCAAAAAATGGCCAAAATCACTTCAATTACTCATGACTTAGACAAGCTAGCATCAGTAGTGAAACATGAGCCAAGTATCAGATGTTCTGAGTGAACAAATTCCCAAGATGGGGAGAAATAAGAGGAAATTTTAGTATATCTTAATTGCATTAAAACACTGTAAATCATGTAAATCTTGTAAAACTTTTAAATCTTGTAAATTACATTTTTCGATGTTTAAGATATGAAGTCAAAATGGTGAAAAAGCATTGAAAATGACTTAATATGATTTAAAGAAAATTTTGCTGTTTTTTTCATTATATTTAGTTGTAAAACGGCCTATAATTGCAAACTGTTATGAAATGGCACATCCCTATCCTTTTCTATCCTATAAAAGCTGTCATTTAAATTGAATTGATTTGTGAATGTTAGCAAAACATATCTGCTCTGTTCTGTTTAGAGCCTTTAGATTGAAAACAAATGAGTTCTTAGGCTTTTAAAAGTAACCTGCCATATAATTTATGAATTAAGATTGTGTATGAGAATGATGGTACCAGGTCACACTAGTAATACATCCAGGGTAGCATAATATACATCTTCAATGTTGACGTGAGGACAATCAATTTCAAAAAGAAGTTGTCACATTTCACATTCTGATAACATTAGGTGACTTCAATATAGGCCAAAGTGGTTTTAACTTCATATGGAGCCTTTCAAGTCTTATCATTTTTCAGATACTGACACTGATATCTGAAACCAAATGAATAGTCCCTAAAATTACATGAAATTACAAGATTTACACGATTTACAGTCTACCACACAGTGAACTGATAATTACCACATTACCTATGCAAGTTACAGTCTTATATCTACGCAGAAAAGTTGGTAGAGATCTGCCTACAGGTTGAAGTGAATAAAAATCAGGTGTATCTGGGTAATTTATAATTTCTCTCAAAACACAGTGTCAACGGGAATAATCGGAAGTCAATAAAAACAGATCTCTAAATGACTCAGACTCGGATTAAATGAAACTGGATTAAAATGCAAAGATGGCGGATCACAGATTTTTTCAATGAGGGACCTGTCAATTTTGAAACCCACGATTAAAAAATGTGCATGGCAATTACAATTGTAAATGTTTCGCCTAATTTATTGCAGAGGAACATGAAAATATACAGATCATTCGCATTACATATCTAAATTTACAGTCTACCAGCTATAACACATAGTGTAGTATACCATTATACATACAATCTGCAATTTTAAGAACTGAAGAACTGAAATGTCTAACAAAATATAAGCATACACACTTCTAATGAAATTCATATTTTTACTTATTAACAATAAAGAAATTGTTATGTAGCAAGCATAATAGAGAGGTTACACGATTTTAAGAGAATGTGTACATTAATTGATTTTGAATGTTTTATCTCATTTAAAAGTAAACAAGAAATGACCAATAAGAAGAAAGGGTCTTAAAATTTTCTCCTCAAGTGTTTATAATGTGATAATTCCTATTTGCTATTTTTCCCTAAAATTTGTTCAACCAAAAACATCCATTAAAAACAGCATGATAATTATCTGGGAAAAATCTGGGACTCGGCATTTTCTGCATTTAAATCCTGTGTGTATTGAATCCGCGTCCGAGTCCAGTATTTAGATATCCGGTTTTAATTGACTACCTATTCAATTATTCCCGTTGACACTGTGTTTAGAGTGAAATGATGTACTACCCAGATACCTGTACAGCAAAGATAAGAGGTTGTTTGAAAGGCCAACACAGAGATTTACAAATCATCCAAAATGCTACCAGTTATTCTTTTCATATTTTCTCTCATTTTATTGTGGATTATACAGAAGAAGGTTTCGAAACGATTGGATATTCCAGGTCCAAAAGGAGTGCACATTTTTGGCAATGCCTTTGAACTGAGTTCACAAACTCCATATGTCCAGTTACACAAATGGAGTAAGAAATATGGTGGTGTTTTTAAAATTCAAATATTCAATGAAGAAATCGTTGTGTTGAATGAAAATGATGCTGTAAGAGAAGCCCTGTTATCAGAAGATTTTGCAGGACGACCATATTCATGGAGGACCAACTTTTCAACCCCTGGAGGTTACAAGGACATTGCATTCCGAGATTCATCACAAGGTTGGAAAAAACTTCGAAAAATCGCTCATCGTGGCCTTAAGCAGTTTGGGGATGGCATGGACAGAATAGCTTTATTGGCATCTGATGAGATCCAAGACTGTATTATGAGATTCAAAAGTAATGGTGAGACTCCATTTGACCCCCGGGAAGCTGTGGAAAAATGTATAGCAAATATCATGTCTAGTTTGGTAAGTTCTATCACACATTAATCACCAGATACAATCCAGGGGATACTCTTCGATACATAGTCGTCCAAAAACTAAATTATTATATGTTATTTGATATAAAAAATTGGATGGCCAACGCATTATGCCAACAAGGCGATTGGTGGCTAATAATATAAGTTATTGAATGATTTGAGGTGCAATGCAGGATATATTCTGCTCGAGAAATTACGCATTGGAACGAGACGAAGTCGAGTGCCAATACAGAATATCGAGAGGAGAATATATCCTGTATTGGACTTCGAATTATTCTATAACGTTTTCGTCGTGTGATCTGATCATCTGCATTGCTACTGCTTAATTTTACAGACCATACGATAATGTATCAACTTAAATACACTGTATAAAAAACCAATAGTATACATTTTATACTACATCCAACACATTTGGTTTGAATGGGTGAAATGGCTTTCATTATGCTTAACCACTGATTTAGAAATTCATTAATGTTGGGTCAGATTTTTTTATTGTGACTAATTTATCACTCAAACTCCCCAATATAAAATTGTTCTTCAAAATTTGACCTATTTGTTGACCTCATAAATGTAGCTCAAAATAAAACACAATGACTAGAATAACCCCAAAGAATAAATGCATGCTCATATATTATTGTTGATACATTTCAATTTATTTCAAGCTGGTGGGAGAATCCATTGATGACAACTCAGAAGATTACCATTCGGTCCGCTTCATTGTAGAGTCTGATAAAAGAATTGCACCATCAGGACCAGGCGCTGAGCTTGACATGTTTCCCTGGCTCAGATTTTTTGGAAACGAGTCATACAAAATTTTGAAGGAAACTGTAGTGAAGCGAAATAAATTGTTTTCATCTTGGATGGAAAAAACTGAATACAAGGTAATGTTGTATCTTGATTGAAAATGGACAAATGGCTGAATAAGAAAACTAATAGAAAATACACTATACTGTATGCTGGGCTTGAAACTGTACATGAAATATAACCTATACAAACATAAGAGATGTAACTGTTATCTTTGACATAATTCACTAATACTTACTTAAAAAATACAAAAAGATAATGGTTGAAGAGTTTTTATCTGTTATTGAACATTACATAGCTGAGCAAATGAGAGGTCCAGAGTCCGATTTGCCCTGGTTCCAGTTCCATTTGAAACAATTACTGGCTAAAAGGTTACCCTGCGTGCAGAGTCTAGTTAAACGAAGCTCTCTTTTAAGAAGTGAAGTCAAACGAATGCAAAGGGTACTAAAAGGTTGTCTATTAAATTTAAATTCACACATAGCCTGGTAAGGTGTGTCCGATTCCAGCCAATCCAAAGAAAGTATTTTTTATGACAGCAGTGCGTGAAATAATCAACAACGCATTTGTTTTATGTTGTCGTCATGGTGAAGGAACTGGACTCACTTAGTTGCTAATTTTGGAAAGCAACACCTTCAAGAAATGGTCATTCCACAATGCACTGAGTCAACAGGTCAAAGGCTTAAATCCTTAAATATTGAGCTTTAATTTTTCCAATTTCTCCATTAAAAACCCGGGACAAATGGCAACATTTTTGAAATTTGTTTTCTCAACTTACACGTTTATTTAGCAGTTATGTCCCTATCATTGAATATATGCCTAAGGTTTGTCACCAATATAGCCCGAGCTTGCGAGGGTTATATTACGACAGACTTTTATATCATGGCTACGTTATATCAATGACGCCACGTGTCTGTGTGCGAGTGAAATTAGGAAGAAATGAAACATGACGTCCCGATGACGTCATAAGATTGTCATGGTGAAAGGTTTGGCGGCTATACAGGAATATATAGCCGACCTTCAGCTCCATTGACTTCAATACAAATGCTTCGCTGGGTATGTAATACAAGTTTATAGTTGATAGATGAATTTGCACAGTGATGACTCTAGAAGTGTATGTGAAGTGCTGCAACAACACCATAAACAAGGAGACATCACAAAGGACGAGGTCTATGGAGTTCTGCAAGACCTTCTTATAGCTGGTAAACTATATAAAATGGCAACTCCTCAAAGTAGCAAGTCCAATCAAACAAAACATATTTTATCATCTAACCACTCTTCATTTTGAATAGATAGTTCACATGTATTTGTTAGTCTCTCATCCCATATGCCCGCCCATATGTCACACTTTCAAACTATTCTTTTCTAAATAACAATATCCAGATACCATTAAAAATTTGACAAATACTGATATTGTGTGCCGGCATTGTAAATTTCTTGGAACAGGTATCGCAACAACATCCACAACTTTGAAAGCATTTTTGTTGATTTTGGTCAACAAACCCGATGTCCAGAAAAAGATACAAGCTGAAATTGATAATGTCATTGGAGATGGGCGACTGCCAACTTTCGCTGATAGGCATAACATGCCTTATTCACAAGCTGCAGTTTTTGAAATTCTTCGCTACAGCACAACTACGACATTGTCTATCCCCCATAAAACTCTTTGTGACACCAGTGTGGGTGGTTACAAAGTACCACGTGGAACAATGGTAAGAGATATATAAAAATAAATTAATAAAAATGTCGAGTTGGCCGAGAGGGCTTGAGCGCCGGCACGTTCGAGCTAGGCGATTGGGCGCCGTAACCACGAGGTTGCGAGTTCGAGACGCGTGTGCTCCTTGTGTTTATTCATCTATAAAAAATGATATTGGATTGAAACGAGTCGGTCAAGCCAGTTTCTGATGGGGGGGAGCTGTCAAATATCTGTAGTCAATGTCTTGTAAGATCCAATAGAAATATTACTATTGTCGTATGTTTGACCAGGTTTTGATGAACCTATGGGCATTACACCACGACGAGAAGTACTTTGATGAACCATATGAGTTTAAGGTGGAAAGATTCCTGGATGACAATGGCAAATGTCTTTCAGCACATGAACGAAAATCGTAAGTCATACAGCGTATCTTTTAATGTATGGATGCATAGTTCATTGTCAACTGGTTATTATATTATTCAATTACTATATTATAAATATTATAACTGTATACATCCACTTTTAACAAGAAACAGAGTGACCTATATCACACCCTTAAATATACTACAGTTTTCAGGATGGAAATCCAAAATGGCCACCCTAAAAGCATTTATATTCTCAAATGCATTTACACATTTGCTAAGGTTCGTCAGCTTCCAACCTAAATAGCCTTGTTTGCAAGGGTGTGGACTTTTTCTAATTATGCCCTTTGTGCTTTCTTAGATTTCTACCATTTGGAATCGGTAAACGCGAGTGCTTAGGAGAAGCAATGGCCAAATTGAGAATGTTCCTGTTTATCACCAGTTTGCTACAAAAACTGGATATTCTCCCTCAAGACAAGAACAACCCACCAGATCCAGACCCAACCAAGTTTGAATATTCAATAACAAATCTACCTGGGCCATTCAACATTGTTGTCAAGAACAGAGAAAATGAAAAATAAACACAATGACATGTGGTACATCTCATATATTCCTAATAAGGACAGTTTCTATAAGATTTACACGCATTAACACCAGCTTTGCTTAAGATATACAGGGTGGGCCAAAAAAACAATACCAAACTTTAAATCAGGATAAAAATAGTTACGTTCAATATGGCATTGACTTATATATCATATTAAAGGTAATTCATTTTCAAACAATTTGGTATATAGCACTATGTCATGAAATCAATAGTAAAGTTTTATTATACTTATTTGGAAGGCCAGCTTGCTATTTAGGGTATCTAGATTTGAGGGAGAAAAAGTAATTCTGCGGGATAACGTTAATTTTTATTTATAGAATATCATTTTCGCATGGCCATTCCTAGTTTTGGTGACAACCCCAACTTTGGAGAGTTCAAAGAATGTACACGAATGATATTTGTGTATTTCAGATAAAATACTTTGGCTTCTTGTAATTTAAGGAGTTTCAGCCATGCTTTTCGAAAAAACATGGCAGAGAAGTATCAAAATATAAGAGGCCACACATTTATTAGCCAATCCAAGAGTAATCCAAAATATACTATATGAATTGTATCATGTTGTCCAATACAATACACTTTAACAAAACCTTTGAGCAAAATTTGGACTCAAATAGGGCATGGGCATATAAACGAATTATTGGGTCAACAGTACTGGAGTATTACATTGCCCAGACAGATAGAGGACATTGGAGTTGTCCTCAAAGCATCAAAAACATGTTTTCAAGTCCCTGGGTTTCAGGTATTTCACTGGTACTTGAGCCTTTTCAGAAAATTGTCCCATATTAGTTTTTTTAGACTGAAGGAGGAATTTGCAGTGCACATTTTCCATAATAAGGTACTGTACTGTGATTTCTGCATGGCCTATGACCTGAACCATTCTACAGAGATATCCATTTTGAAAGTTTTTTGCTATAACTATTAAACAATATACATCTTTCTACCAAATGTGAAGTTATTTTCTGGACAAACAGACAGACCGTGGGAATGTCATTTTGGGCATCATCTTGAATGATAATAACTCCAGCTAGAGTCATTCGGGTGTGAAACAGTGATAACTGCCAAAACATTTTATCAGAAAATTTATTTCAGGCAATTCAAATGCTAAACCAGTCAATACTACTATGTACACATAGTCAAGCATCTACTGTTAAAATTTGGGAAATTATTTGAAATAAAAATTTAAAAGAAATCGTGGTTACATGGAATAATGAAGTCTCCCTTTCTTTTGCATTTTTAAGTCTGGCATTATTTTGTTTTTCTAAGACAATGGGCTACTTTTGATGCACTGTTTCCTTGAAAATACTGCGAACAATACTACTTCAATTTGACTTTCACCAATTCTGTACAAAATTTGGAACCACTATACATATACCAATGGTCTGAATATGGCAAATTCAACAAAATACAAACTTCAAAACTAAAGCAGAACAGTATATTGAGAATTTTCCTTTAGCTAACAAATAATAATAACAACTATTAAATATTTTTCAATTTTTCATTCTATTTCATAACTATTTACATTTTTACAATACAAAAAATACAAATATATTTAAAAACTAAATGTATGACATTCTTTGGACTATAGACATTCTTGGAATTTACTTCAACTTGAGAAAATATTTCAAAATAGCACTTTTCAAAGAATGGTCTTTACACATATGAAGGTTGATAAAATGATTGGCAGAATTTACAAATTTTGCCCTGAAAAATACTACCAGTGAAATACAGGTCTTCTCACAGGTTACAAAACTAATAACCCCCTGAACCTGCCCAACCAGACAGAACATTCATCTCGCTGGGTTCAGAGATCAATGTACACAGTATAATTGTGTGAACACATTCATTTCATTCTTAACCAGTATGGTCCTGGGGCAGGGGAATTATATAATCATTCAAACATCATCCATCTTTCACTGTACAGTGTATCGTGCTGCCGGGGAAAATGAAAATATGTTTTATTGAATAAAGATGTGATGCTTGGCATCAAACAATTATCTAGAGTATCTTATTTCAGACTGAAACAATCTTAAAAAAATCTTAAAAAACATTCTATTGAAGGTAAGATAAATGACCTATATTTCAATAAAAGTAGGCTACAAAGACTTTGTATCATTAACACTTCTAAATATGATTATTTGTAAACATTGCCAGCCATTTCTCACTTGTGAGCACATTATCTTAACTCCATTTTACCTATCCTTATTGCAATAATGTAAATGTAAGCATACACACTTGTTATGAAATTCATATTTTTACTTATTAACATTAAAGAAGTTGTTATATAGCAAGTCATAATAGAGAGGTTACACGATTTTAAGAAAATCTGTACATTAATTAATTTTGAATGTCTTATCTCATTTAAAAGTAAACAAAAAATGACCAATAAGAAGAATAGGTCTCAAAATTTCCTCCTCAAGTGTCGCATTGTGTTTATAATAAGATAATTCCTATTTGCTATTTTTCCCTAAACTTTATTTAACCAAAAACATCTATTAAAAACAGCATGATAATTAATGTGAAAGGATGACAGGTCCGTCACTGGAAAAATTTGGGATTCGGCATTTCTGCATTTAAATCCTGTTTTTATTGAATCCGCGTCCGAGTCCAGTATTTAGAGATCCGGTTTTCATTGACTACCTATTCAATCATTCCCGTTGACACTGTGTTTAGAGTGAAATGATGAACTACCATACAAAAAGATAAGACTTTGAAAGGCCAACACAGAGATTTACAATCATCCAAAATGCTACCAGTAATTCTTTTTATATTTTCTCTCATTTTATTGTGGATTATACAGAAGAAGGTTTTGAAAGGATTGGATATTCCAGGTCCAAAAGGAGTGCCCATTTTTGGCAATGCCTTTGAACTTAGTTCACAAACTCCGTATGTCCAGTTACACAAATGGAGTAAGAAATATGGTGGTGTTTTTAAAATTCAAATATTCAATGAAGAAATCGTAGTGTTGAATGAAAATGATGCTGTAAGAGAAGCCCTGTTATCAGAAGATTTTGCAGGACGACCATATTCATGGAGGACGAACTTTTCAACCCCTGGAGGTTACAAGGACATTGCATTCCGAGATTCATCACAAGGTTGGAAAAAACTTCGAAAAATCGCTCATCGTGGCCTTAAGCAGTTTGGAGATGGCATGGGCAGAATTGCTGTTTTGGCATCTGATGATATCCAAGACTGTATTATGAGATTCAAAAGTAATGGTGAGACTCCCTTTGACCCCCGGGAAGCGGTGGAAAAATGTTTAGCAAATATCATGTCTAGTTTGGTAAGTTCTAAAAAGTGTAAAAAGTGCTAAAATAGTTTTTCTTTTTTGTGAGTGATTCACCACTGATATAACAAATGAATTTCTAAGATGACCACTTCAAGGAAATTAATGATGGATCAGAATTTTTTAATGAAATTGACGTATCCCTCGAACGTGAGGACGTTCAAAAGAATTTAAAGAATGTATGCACGTTCATGTTTTATGTTCAATAGAGCGAGGTTGGAGTTTAATGTACATTTCATTTTAATTTAAGCTGGTGGGAGAACGCATTGATGAAAGCTCAGAAGATTACCATTCAGTGCGCTTCATTGTAGAGTCTGATAAAAGAATTGCACCATCAGGACCAGGCGCTGAGCTTGACATGTTTCCCTGGCTCAGATTTTTTGGAAACGAGTCATACAAAATTTTGAAGGAAACTGTAGTGAAGCGAAATAAATTGTTTTCATCTTGGATGGAAAAAACTGAATACAAGGTAATGTTGTATCTTGATTGAAAAAGGACAAATGGCTGAATAAGAAAACTAATAGAAAATACACTATACTGTATGCTGGGCTTGAAACTGTACATGAAATATAACCTATACAAACATAAGAGATGTAACTGTTATCTTTGACATAATTGACTAATACTTACTTAAAAAATACAAAAAGATAATGGTTGAAGAGTTTTTATCTGTTATTGAACATTACATAGCTGAGCAAATGAGAGGTCCAGAGTCCGATTTGCCCTGGTTCCAGTTCCATTTGAAACAATTACTGGCTAAAAGGTTACCCTGCGTGCAGAGTCTAGTTAAACGAAGCTCTCTTTTAAGAAGTGAAGTCAAACGAATGCAAAGGGTACTAAAAGGTTGTCTATTAAATTTAAATTCACACATAGCCTGGTAAGGTGTGTCCGATTCCAGCCAATCCAAAGAAAGTATTTTTTATGACAGCAGTGCGTGAAATAATCAACAACGCATTTGTTTTATGTTGTCGTCATGGTGAAGGAACTGGACTCACTTAGTTGCCAATTTTGGAAAGCAACACCTTCAAGAAATGGTCATTCCACAATGCACTGAGTCAACAGGTCAAAGGCTTAAATCCTTAAATATTGAGCTTTAATTTTTCCAATTTCTCCATTAAAAACCCTGGGACAAATGGCAACATTTTTGAAGTTTGTTTTCTCAACTTACATGTTTATAAGTTTATATTTGATAGATAAATTTGCACAGTGATGAGTCTAGAAGTGTATGTGAAGTGCTACAACAACACCATAAACAAGGAGACATCACAAAGGACGAGGTCTATGGAGTTCTGCAAGACCTTCTTATAGCTGGTAAACTATATACAATTGTTGACCTCTCCAGAGCTAGGTCAACCGGCAAAATTGTATACCGAGACTGTAAACCGAGAAACTACTGTTGACAGAGACCGAAGGTCGAGGTCAACAGTGTTTCAAGGTTTACAGTCGAGGTATATGATTTCGACGGTTGACCGAATGGAGAGGTCTACAATTGTTTTGTTAGTCAGAAGAAACTAATAATACTCATATATACGACAGTCATCAATCATGGCTTCATTTCACAATCTTTTCTACGAACCTGCACACCAGCAATAATTTTTAAGAAAATCTGAAGACAGTGGAAGCTAAACTCTCTGTTTTCGGCACATAACTGCGTACTCGCTAGTAAATTAATGTTAATTTTGCATTTCTGTTTGTATTGTTGATATACTCGTCGTAGAAAAGTCAAAATATCACTTTCATCAACGTTTACAAAATGTCCGACTACCATGTTTTTTCTGTAAACACTGTGACGTCATATTTCCCATAATTCACAAGTGTAGTACAGTAACATACGCGGTCAATAATATGATATCCCATGATGCACAAGTGAGGTACAGGCAAAAATGTTGACCGCTAATTGACCAATCAGATGCGAGTATTTACACTGAGGTACTAACAATATAAAATGGCAACTCCTCAAAGTAGCAAGTCCAATCAAACAAAACATATTTTATCATCTAACCACTCTTCATTTTGAATAGATAGTTCACATGTGTCTGTTAGTCTCTCATCCCATATGTCACACTTTCAAACTATTCTTTTCTAAATACCAATATCCAGATACCATTAAAAATTTGACAAATACTGATATTGTGTTTGTAAATTTCTTGAACAGGTATCGCAACAACATCCACAACTTTGAAAGCATTTTTGTTGATTTTGGTCAACAAACCCGATGTCCAGAAAAAAATACAAGCTGAAATTGATGATGTCATTGGAGATGGGCGACTGCCAACTTTCGCTGATAGGCATAACATGCCTTATTCACAAGCTGCAGTTTTGGAAATTCTTCGCTACAGCACAACTACGACGTTGTCTGTTCCCCATAAAACCTTATGTGACACCAGTGTAGGTGGTTATAAGGTACCAAGTGGAACAATGGTAAGAGATATATGAAAATAGATTAATAAAAATGTCGAGTTGGCCGAGAGGGCTTGGGCGCCGGCACGTTCGAGCTAGGCGATTGGGCGCCGTAACCACGAGGTTGCGAGTTCGAGACGCGTGTGCTCCTTGTGTTTATTCATCTATAAAAAGATGATATCGGTCAAGCCAGTTTCTGATGGGGGGAGCTGTCAAATATATGTAGTCAATGTCTTGTAAGATTCAATAGAAATATTACTATTGTCGTATGTTTGACCAGGTTTTGATGAACCTATGGGCATTACACCACGACGAGAAGTACTTTGATGAACCATATGAGTTTAAGGTGGAAAGATTCCTGGATGACAATGGCAAATGTCTTTCCGCACATGAACGAAAATCGTAAGTCATACAGCGTATCTTTTAATGTATGGATGCATAGTTCATTGTCAACTGGTTATTATATTATACTGTATACATCCACTTTTAACAAGAAACAGAGTGACCTATATCACACCCTTGAATATACTACAGTTTTCAGGATGGAAATCCAAAATGGCCATCCTAAAAGCTTTATATTCTCAAATGCATTTACACATTTGCTAAGGTTCGTCAGCTTCCAACCTAAATTGCCTTGTTTGCAAGGGTGTGGACTTTTTCTAATTATGCCCTTTGTGCTTTCTTAGATTTCTACCATTTGGAATTGGTAAACGCGAGTGCTTAGGAGAAGCAATGGCCAAATTGAGAATGTTCCTGTTTATCACCAGTTTGCTACAAAAACTGGATATTCTCCCTGAAGACAAGAACAACCCACCAGATCCAGACCCAACCAAGTTTGAATATTCAATATCAAATCTACCTGGGCCATTCAACATTGTTGTCAAGGACAGAGAAAATGAACAATAAACACAATGGCATGTGGTACATCTCATAAATTCTTAATGAGGACAGTTTCTATAAGATTTACATGCATTGACACCAGCTTTGCTTAAGATATACAGGGTGGGCCAAAAAAACAATACCCAAATCAGGATAAAAATAGTTACGTTCAATATGGCATTGACTTATATATCATATTAAAGGTAATTCATTTTCAAACAATTTGGTATATAGCACTATGTCATGAAATCAATAGTAAAGTTTTATTATACTTATTTGGAAGGCCGGGTTGCTATTTAGGGTATCTAGATTTGAGGAAGAAAAAGTAATTCTGCGGGATTATGTTAATTTTTTATTTATAGAATATCATTTTCGCACGGCCATTCCTATTTTTTCTGTTGATGTATTACAGGTGCCTTTTTAGAAATCAGAACAAAGCAATGACAAATACATACTCCAATTAGTTCATGGATACTCTTAAGTATTTAAATGCTTCCCCTTGTAAAACAACGTTTGTAAGACATCATAAACATAAATCTGTAGATAAAAGCTGTCATTCAAATTTATGTGTGAATGTTCGCAAAACATTTCTGTTATTCTCAGTTTGGATTGGAAAACAGATGATATGGATCTTCAAACCAGTCTGCCTTATGATTAATGAAAAGTCTAAAATTACCCTTGGAATGAAAATAAGATTGTGTATCAGAAAGCAGGTACTAGGTCACCAGCCCACCCATGCAAAATAGTATTACATCTTATATTTGACATTGTAGAAGTGAGGAGAGCAACAATCTTCTTAGAGGGAGATCAATAGAACTTTTTAAGGAAAATCCATATTTTGAAGATTCCCAATCCAATCCACCTTTTACATGAATCCAATCCACCTTTTAATCTTTACCTGGGTTTTAGGTATTTAAAAGAAATTCCTAGTAAATTCCAGGTTACATGGAATAATGAAGTCGGCCTATGTTTTGCATTCTTTACGTCTGGTAATATTTTTTTAGAACAATGGGCTACTTTTGATGCACTGCTTACTTGGAAATATTGCAAACAATACTACTAACTTCAATTTGACTTTCACCAATTCTGTACATATACCAATGGTCTGAATTCACCAAAATTCAAACAAACTTCAAAACTAAAGCAAAACAGTATGATAATTAATAGCTAACAAATAATAATAATAACTATTAAATATTTTTCAATTTTTCATTCTATTTCATAACTATTTACATTTTTACAATACAAAAAATACAAATATATTTAAAAACTAAATGTGTGACATTCTTCAGACTATAGACATTCTTGGAATTTACTTCAACTTGAGGAAATATTTCAAAATAGCACTTTTCAAATAATGATCTTTATACATTGACATATGAAGGTTGATAAAATGATTGGCGAAATTAACAAATTTTGCCCTGAAAAACACAACCAGTGAAATACAGGTCTTCTCACACGTTACAAAACTAATAACCCCCCGAACCTGGCCAACCAATCAGAACATTCATCTCGCTGGGCTCAGAGATCAATGTACACAGCATTATTGTGTGAACACATTAATCTCATTCACAACCAGTATGGTCCTGGGGCAGGGGAATTATGTAATCATTCAATAATCACCTATTTTTCACTGTACAGTGTGTGATGACATCAGGAAGATTGAAAATATGTTTTATCGAATAAAGAATTAATGCTTGGCATCAAACAAAAACAATTATCTAGAGTTTCTTATATCAGACTGAATCAACCTTTAAAAGGATTCAGTTTGATGAATTTCCAACTGGCCAAAACGTTCTATTGAAGGCTAGATAAATGACCTATATTTCAATAAAAGTAGGCTACAAAGTCTTTGTAGCATTAGCACTTCTAAATGTGATTATTTGTAAATATCACCAGTCATTTCTCACTTATGAACACATAATCTTGACTCTGTTTTACCTATCCTTATTGCAATAAAACATGATCTAGGATATTTCTCAAATTGTTATTTCTGAATATGTGATGTGAAGCCAATTGTCCAGTTAATTGGTATCAATTTTCCTCTTGATTGAAGTCAATGTTCCCCTATTGAATGAAGTCAAACTTCTGTTGATCGAAGTCCATGATTGATGATATTAAAAATCCTGTGATTGATGATCTCTGTACACCTTTCATATTCTACTGTTTGTTTTAGAATGCGTATCTAGTCCTTATATCCTCTAGTTTCTTTGATACCTGGAGACAGAACATAAATTAACATCAATATAAATATACACTAAAACCTATTGAAGTGGAACACCTTCAGTACTATTTAAGTGAAACACCTTCAGTACTATTGAAGTGGAACACCTTCAGTACTATTGAAGTGGAACACCTTCAGTACTATTGAAGTGAAACACCTTCAGTACTATTGAAGTGAAACACCTTCAGTACTATTGAAGTGGAACACCTTCAGTACTATTGAAGTGGAACACCTTCAGTACTATTGAAGTGGAACACCTTCCATCTCACCAGGAAATTTTTAGAACCCGGAAAAAAATTCAACGTTCGCGCCCCCCCCCCCCCTGAAACATGAAATGATATATGCATTTTTCTGAATATTGGTTACGGGTGGAATAAAATACTCCCCCAACCAAAAGTTCAAAATCTTGCCATTTTTGGACCAAAATTGAACCCCCCCGTGGATTTTAAAGAAGTGACCCCCCTTCTTGACCAGGTCACGAGGTATACCAGTATATGTAACACTGGGCCAGCAGAGGTTGCAAAATTGCCTCCAAAAATAGTATGTTTATTACTCAAAAGTAAACAGAATCAGCTTTAGAAGATCTTAAAATATGTTTTCTAATCAAACATTTCAGAGAAAAATTGCTGTTTTTATGAGAGTATAAACATAATCATTTCTGTACCAGACCATGTGGTTCAATATTTACATCCTAACTTCTGATCATGTGATGAGTCATGTGATGAGATCAAGTTATAAATTGACCAATCATGTTGTCATAAACATTCAAATTTAAATTTCCCACTAAACACATTCCTAAATGAAGCTAATATAGTGGCTGTTTCGTTTAAGAGGTTCCTCCCCGTGATTTAATTATTTAAATCTACATGATAAAATGGAATTGCCAAATTTTATCGGAGGGAGTATGTTTATTGGAATCAATTACTACTATTTTCTCAATAGATGTCTCCCTTCATACCACATGAAGGAAACAAAAATGTCTTGATGATACGATGATTTCAATTGAAAATCACCTGTTTTTAAGACCTTATATTGGAAAATTAGAATCTGTACGGTAAGTGAACACTTTATCTGATGTTTTGAGAAGTTGTAACTCAAAAACTGAAGTTAAAGAGGATGAAAAGTGGCATTGAAAAAAAAATCCCAAAAAATTAGAGACTGGCGGCATTCATTTTTAGCATTAGACACTGGCGCTATCAGGTCTGAACATGAGAGAGATCGGCGGGGCGCCGGACTCTAAAAGCCTGGCGAGATCCCTGCCTTCAGTACTATTGAAGTGGAACACCTTCAGTTCTATTGAAGTGGAACACCTTCAGTACTATTGAAGTGGAACACCTTCAGTACTATTGAAGTGGAACACCTTCAGTACTATTGAAGTGGAACACCTTCAGTACTATTGAAGTGGAACACCTTCAGTACTATTGAAGTGGAACACCTTCAGTACTATTGAAGTGGAACACCTTCAGTACTATTGAAGTGAAACACCTTCAGTACTATTGAAGTGGAACACCTTCAGTACTATTGAAGTGGAACACCTTCAGTACTATTGAAGTGGAACACCTTCAGTACTATTGAAGTGGAACACCTTCAGTACTATTGAAGTGGAACACCTTCAGTACTATTGAAGTGGAACACCTTCAGTAAGTCTAAAAGGTGTTACATTTGGGCGGTGTTTCACATGTAGAGGGTCATTTCACATAAACAAATCCTAGGTTTGTTACACAAATAACATCGAGTTCAAGTAGGAAATAGTGTTATTTCAATAACTGATCATTTATAATGAAGGGTCTGAACATTTGTTTAATTAGTTTTTGACAAGAAACTTTTGATTTGGGTCGCCGAATATTCTTTGCTGGACTCTATGGATGTGATAAGTTATAATACGCATGTCCCCTTCTCTCACTGTTTTATTCAGGTCAGAAGACTTGAAGGTTCTTAATCTATATTGTTCAATAAATATAATTGCTACAGATCAGTAATAAGCTGATATCACAGACAGTCAATAGTCTAACATGTATAAAAACATCATTTCTGTAGCAAGTAGTTCTATTTCTAGTAGTCATATCAATGTATCTTTCAATTTAAAGTTAACCCTTACCTCACTGGGTGTCCTGTCTAGTTCATCGCTCACCACCTTTTGTTTGCTAGGTTCCAAAGAGTTGAACATTTCACAGAGGTCTCCATCTATCACATTCTGAAAATTAAAAACACAAGTTTTTAATCATTGATGGATATAAAGGCTCATTAATCCAGAGATTAATAAAGGAAAAATACCTCAATGAGGCGAGACAATCAATACTGATATATAGAGGATGATACTTGTAATTGTTTTTATATCTTAATAAAACATTGCCTAAGTACTTTGCTTCTCAGATATATCCACGGATGACCCAAATATCAGCCCTATAACTCACCTTTATAGGGAAGAAGTATGATCTGTATGAGAGGTGGTCTCTACCACATAGTGGACTGTGTTCAGACCTCATGTGCATCTCTACATGTTGAAAGAAATCATGATCCTGAAATTAAAATGAAAACATTGAACATTCAAATAAAAAAACACTCTTTGTGTTAAAGGACCAATGCACCCCTATTTGCAAGTCATCTTTGAATACTATATACAGTACTACATAGGGGTGATATATGCCAGTGTTTCTCAGTGTTTGGTAAGATGGTATCAGCACAGAACTCAGTAGCAGAACTGGATGTTTGTCATCATTGAAACACTGGCAATAAAGTACTTGTTTCTTAACTTATTTCGGAGTCTAGATTTTAGGCTTTTCAAACTCTGGTACTTCACATGTGATATTTTATTGCAATGTTCAAAAATATGAACAATATTCATTATATATTTTGTATATATTTTTCAAAACAAAGCAAGTTAATTTTTTTTTATTTGAAGATGGTACCAACAAATTATTGACATCGAATCATTGGAGTTAAATCTGTAATTCACTGAAAGAATCTGCAAGTGCTATTAAATGCTTTACAACTGCAGCACACTCATACATTTGCATTCGCTCTTGGTCCAATGTGGAACAGATGGGGTGAGGGCTTTCCTTAGCATTCTGGGCTTAATTCAGTCCCCGTAGAATTTGCAATTTTATCGTGTTTAGGATTCTAAGAACTACTGTGTATTGTAAATGTTCTCTATATAATCAAAATTAGATTAAATATATAGTTGAGATTTTTTAAATAAATTGATGTTTTTGTTAGGTTCACATTTAAAGCATCGATGCAAAGTTGAAATCTAAATGCTTTATTCTGGATGCAAAATATCAATGAATATTTTGATTTAATTGTTTAAGTTTAACTTTTCTTAATTTTTTTATTTGAAGGGTAGTCATCATTTGAGCTCACTTTGGGGTTATTTAGACCTTAAAAAATTTTGATTTAGTATTTTCCATTATCTTTTTCTAAGTTTGGCAAAAGGGGTCAGGCACCTAAGTATGCGATAAAAATATTTTTTATTTAGCCTTTGCACCTTACTAATTGCTTATTTCATTTCAAGTTTGAGTGGCAGCACTTGGACAATGATATATGTCACCATTTGCATACCTCATGAGATGTGAAGGGGACCAGCATGCCAATGCCCCCAGATAGAGTGGTGTAGACAAGGGACTCTGAACCACCTGGGATTAGTGTCGCCTTCTGTAATGATGTGACCACTTCACTTATATGGAAACTATTTACTGTATCAGCCTACAAAATAAAGAAAGTGCAGAGTGCTCATTATTTTAAATGATAAAAATAAAGCCTTAATCAACGTCATTAATTACCTGTTAAGTTCTACTTCATGGAAATCTGGAAACTTACTGTTTACTCAATTTTGAAAACAATTTTGGATAATATTACCTAGCTGCAAAACTAAGAAGCATTGATAGAAGAAAATATTGTCAGTTTGAATAATTCTATTTGCTACAGATCAGTGAAAGGTTCATATCATAGAAAATCATAAGTCTAACATGTATAAACATCATTTCTGTAGCAATGAAGACAATTGAAGTACTTCAAGATGCTCAGAGGCAAAAATGATGACTAAAAATTAGTGAATCAGATATACAACTCTGAGAGAATTTGTAATTTTTCATAAAATAATCAATTTGAAGTACAGTAACAATTACCTTTTGTGAAGCACCATTGAGCATTCCTCTGTCCCAGAGTGCTTTGTTTCCTGTTGGATCTTCATCAACATCATCAGAGGTGTCTGGTGGTAGACGAACCTGAAATATCAAACTTTCTTAGTTTACTTGTTCTTGAATCTCTTATTGCATTGTATTCTTTATTTACCTCTTATATAAGAGAGTTACAATTGTACATTAATTGGGAGATAATACATAAATAAGAAAATAGATAAAATATTTGTTCATGTTTATGAAATGAGCGAAGTTGTGAACATTGTTTGTCTCTTAATATACATTGAATGAATTATTACAACAGCTTGAAATGCAAGATCTTCATTTGGACAATTTAAGATCAGATTGATACAGTTAATACCCTAAGGCAGTTTGAAATCTATTTTGTACATTCTCTGTCTTATCCATGAAGCTTCAATTAACATTTAGAACTATTTGAAGTAGATACTACAGATCAGTGAGTTTTTTTATTTCATGTATTTCAATAGTCTAACATGTATAGAACATCATTTCTGTAGCACTTTTAGTACATCATTGCAGATTCATATATTTTGATTATTCATTATTCAGAAATTTCCTTAAGTTAACATAGCACTTCCACCATTTTTTGAATATTGCTTGTAGTTTTGAACACTGAATTTGACCCGACCAGAATTTGACCCAACAAAAAATCTAGATGTTTTTACTCACCACAAAAATATTGCCGAATTTATCTGCACCAGCCATTGTATCGTAATCCAACATGGTGGCACAGGTAATCCAACGAGGGTGTGTGTCATCTGCGAATGTCACGAGTTGGTTTTCCTGGCGCTTGTATCGCAGAAAGTGAAAACTTTCTTGAATATCGGATACAACGATACGATTCCCCATAGTATGAATGTTCACAATAAAGTTAGGCAAATGCTGAAAAGTGAAAATATGAATTATTAGTTGATGATACATGAATCATGACAATTAAATTGAAGTTTCGATCTTTATTTTGCCAGCGTTTTTCAGTGTTTGGTAAGATGGTATCAGCACAGAACTCAGTAGCAGAACTGGATGATTGTCATCATTAAAATAAAACACTGGCATATATCAATAGTAACAACTAATTATTGAGTCTTAAAACTCAAAATCAACAGTATTAGAGTTACATACATTTGCATGTGTTGAAGATCTTTGAATCTACACAAATAGCACAATGCATTAACATGCAAAATGTCACCACCTGCCATTTGTTACAAACGCCTAACACCAGCCGCTAAACACTATCCAAAAAAAACGTTAGAGACTATAACAATATGTCACCATTTCTGGTGGTGAAATAATAAATGGACAATCAACTCATGAAAATTACCTTGTTTTCACATTTGCGCAACAATTTCTTCTTTCCGAGATCATAGATTCTGAGATATTTCCCTACACCAACGAGTAAACGTCCTTGAAATGAAGCCAACGCTGCAGGAAGTTCATCAACTAAAGTCTTATGCTGAAGCTCCAGTTTTGTGCCCTCTTCCTTAAGTTGGTATGTGTAGAGGGAGCCACCAGAGGTCGATCTCGGGTTGAGGACGAGCTCCTTGACAACGCCTATGATAACAAATGTGTCATCGGGACGCCCAGCAAACTTTACAAGTGCAATACTGAAAGTGGATAAAAAACATTTTTTCAAATATTTAAAGCAATTTTTGAACATGTAGAAATGTGCTATGGATTTGGAAATGCGACAATCAATCGATGACTTGTAAATTGTAAGAACATGTTTTAATTCAAGTAGAAAGTAAATGCTCGCCAAAAGTGTGCAAAACCCCAATCTTTCTGATTCTGTCTGAAAGTTAAATCTAGACTCTAGACACCACGCAAAATTGTAGTTGCACTAAAGTTGAGGAGACTACGAAAGACTATAATTATGTTCAACATATTTCAATCTTTTGACAATGACACAAATAGAATGATTTTATATTCCCACATTCAGTAATATGGAAAGTCTCACCTGTGTGCAGCTTCATCCTGTTCTAGTTCCACCTGATCCAGGGTTGTGCCATTTATTGGGTTGATGATACGAATCAGTGACGCCCACATTCCAGGGCCAGCTTTAGGGGCACCAAATACATTCTCAGGGAGGTTTTCATTCAGGAATGCTGCTGCCATCTCTGCTGCTAGCTCTTGTTCTTCCTCACCAGCTGCCTCCACCATCTCCTACAAGGTATACCATAATGCATTTAGACATAGCAAACAGTCTATCCCATAATGCATTTAGACATAGCAGACGGTCCATCCCATAATGCATTTGGACATAGCAGACAGTCTATCCCATAATGCATTTAGACATAGCAGATGGTCTATCCCATAATGCAATAAGACAAAGCAGACGGTGTATCCCATGATACATTTAGATTCAAATAATATATACCATTATGCTTTAAAACATTGCAGATGGAATATCCCATAATGCATTTAAATTCAGATGGCACATCCCATAATGCATTTAGACAGAGCAAACAGAATATGCCATGGTGCATCAATATTTCAGAGTGAATCAAATTCAGTCAAGAAATATCCAAATCAATGTAAATATGTTGCAAAAAATATTCTTCACATCTCAGACAGTGTATTATCATCCATGATATTCAGCCGGCAATTCCTATCAAGAATACTGGTTCATCATAAATGTGAAATTCCAATTTCATAAAGAATAAATTTTATAAACTAGACCATTCAAAATAAAAATGATCATTCTCTTAGCATTTTCAACATTCCATGGATACATTTTACATTTAACACCACTGAGTACGACAAAGAAGTTTTCAGAACTTACTTCCGCCATATGCTGCTTTCGCTCCTGTTTTGTCTCTTCAGTGTAAGCATTATGGTCAGTCTCGATCATGATCAGGTTGTTGGTCTCCGGGTGGATGACGAACTTGCGGGGTGTGTACTGTAGAGGGGTGGACACTTGGTTAAACACAGCACCTAGCTTCTCAAGAGCCAAAATTCTAGAGAGCAGAAAATATATTTCAGCATTAGCTATATCTATTTTAGCATAAGCCAAGACAATATCATCTTAATTCTTTGAAAAGATACAGTCCAAGAAATCCTGAATATAATCAAATGTGTTTTTGACTAGTATACACCTCAGAATACATCGGAGACCAATTTCGAGGGTATACTAAATGGCAGACTAAACAGCATTCTGTACTATGTACTACTCTTATCATGGCAAATGTAACTATGTATCTTACACCAGTGTTCTTGTTGTATTGACGACTCTTCTATTCCCCTTCTAATTCTAGGGCAGGACTGAAATTACAATGTATCCCATAATGCAACAATTACAGCAGACGTAGCTTACCTCAATGTATTAGTAGAGATGGCGACTATACCTTCTGGACACTGTTCGGAGGCAAAACCAGATGCATACTCTAGAGTCTCATACGACAAAGGAGTCAAATGGAATCTGAAAATAAATAATAAAAATTGAGTGGAGAACACAATCGTGTATTTAATATTGCTCAGAATTGGTAGAAAGTTTCAGACATGTTTCTCAGGGTTTGGTAAGACGGTATCAGCACAGAACTCAGTAGCAGAACTGGATGTTTGTCATCATAGAAACATATCATACATGAGGATTTGGATTAATAATTGCATAAATGATATTTTTGTGTTTGAATAGAAGTTTCCCTTTATACAACAGTGCAAGCAGACATTATCTGTTTTGGTAATTGAGCTAGGAATGACAATACATAAATGGCAAGTTGACATTTCCCATAATGCATGAGATTAAGCAGACGTTACCTGTTTTGATATGTATAACTGAGCCAAGACCGACTAGACATGGCAAGAACAGCTTCGTTGCCCTGCATGTTTATAGTAAACAGCTTCACAGGTCTGGAGCCTAGATATCGTGTGCGTGTATCTGACAGATCTCCCGTCACACTATCCAATCCTGTACGCAGAAGTACACCATTCTGAAAAAGAATTATACATTCATAAATTGAATTGGGTTTGATTCACTATTTTTTTTTTCTATTTTTGTTTTGCAAATTCCAATTTATTTCATCACATGAAACAATTTTATATGTGACCACATGCTACTGAGAACATACTATTTCATTTCATTTACTGGCTTTCACTTTCAAAGTTTATCATCACCTTTGTTTATGACAGAACATTTAAGTAAAACTTAATTGCGTTTTTCTTCACATCTCAGACAGTGTACTATCATCCATGATATTCAGCCGGCAATTCCTATCAAGAATACTGGTTCATCATAAATGTGAAGAATCATATTTTTAAAGCTTTCAATACAGCAATATATCATCCTGAATATATAAGTACAGAGTGACCAAAAAATAGAACCCACAAATATGTTCAGATGAATAAATGGTTCTGCTTTTTGGCTCACCCTGTATATATACAGTTTGATACATACCTGAAGTCCAATATTGAGGAATATACCCGCTTTACTGGCTACAGTATCTTCTGAAGCCTCTACACCTCCCATCTCAACAATAGAGAGAGATTCTGGCAGTGCCGGGAGAGCCTGCATACTAAGTGGTGATAGACAGTCCTGAAATACAATATATATCCCATAATGCATAGCATTTAGCAGACGTATGGCCATAATAGAAATGTTCTACCCCTCCAATCTCAACAATTGGGATTCTAGCAGGGCTGGGAGAGCCTGCATACTAAGCGGCAAAAGACAGTCATGAAAATAAATATACATCCCATAATGCAATGCAATTAGCAGAAGTTTTGTCACAACAGATATATGCATCTTCTCTTGTGTTGACATGTTTCTCAGTGTTTGGTAAGATGGTATCAGCACAGAACTCAGTAGCAGAACTGGATGTTTGTCATCATAGAAACATGTAAAAATGAAAAATATTCTTCAAGAACTACCCTCTATACCAAGCCTCAAAATAGCCCCTAAAATCAAATAGCAGAAGCCTGAAACTTACATGAACAATTATTTCTAAAGATCAGAGTGAGAGTATACTTCTTGAATTTAAGAAAATGTCTTACTGATGGGTCAAGTGATATAATTCTGACTGTGTTATCTCCCAGACCAACAGCCAAGAAACGAGATCGTTGCTCAGATTGAGGAACACGTCCTAGACCCATACAAATCACCTCTGCCGACATCTCTTTCCTTTCTGTGTATTCGTTCAACTGACCAGCCTATAATATAAAATAAACAATTTTCAGAGTCATTCTTTAAAATATTGAACTGTTTTGGAATTCTTCAAAAGCATCTGATATCTACTATCAAAATCTGGTTTTTCTTTACCGTTTTTTACATTAGCATATCCCATAATGCAATATTCTCAGCAGACGGGAAGTTTACTTACAGGGTCCATCTCAAAGTAGACCAGCTCCCCTCCAGTGAGAGCAATGACCACCTGCCGGGAGTTGACGGCACATTTCACAATTGCCTTCTTGCCAGGAGTCTTCCATTCGTTCACACGCTTATCAGATCTGATGTGACGAATACCTTCTGGATAGATCTGCAATCATAATCAATCCCATAATGCATCAGAAATTAGCAGACGGATCACATGTAAAGATTTGGTAAATAAAATAGCTTTTGTTGAGTGAGAAGAAGTATACAAAAGATCTGATTATGACATTATTAGACAGGTGATATTTGAAACCTTTTGTGAATAAAAACTTCATTGAAACAGAGTCGAAAATAATGCTAAAAATATTTTGGAAACATCTGACCCGTGGGAAGAAATTCAACAAACCTGCACAAGGGCATCATCTCCCAGTTGAGAACAAGACAAGGTAGGTGTGGTACCCAGAAACCCAGAGTCTGTGACCTCCTCTACGGTTTCACCAATAGACAGTACAAGGGTGGCATTCACGAAGGACACTATGATGTAGGCGTCAAACTCATCTGTAAATAAACACACAATAGGTGTCAAAATAAAGGTCAGCTAAAGGAAAACGCAAAAACAAGAAAACGACTAATGTAAACACTCCCCCAACATAAACACTTCTCTTGAATATGAACACCTTTTATTTATTCTTTTAATTTTCTCCATCTTGAAATATTTTATCCAAAATTGTCTTTCAATTCAAGTGGTGTTTATATTCTAGAAATTGTATGATCATACAATGAGAATTTTGATTTTGAGATAAAAGTGCACTAACTTGAAAATTTTGTGTAAATTCTGTTCATAATTTTTCAAACTTGCTAGTTATCCTCTATAGTTCTTTCCTGTTTAACATGAAAATGCTTCAGTTGGATAACATATTCTTCATGTTCTTTCCTCTTAAATATGTTAATGTCAAAATAGAGCACCATAGCAATTGTACTGGTAAATCAACTTTATCATATACAGAGTGAGACCCCAAATCTTTTTGAAAACAAATGAAAATCTAAAAAAAAAAGAAAATACTGAAGCAAGTTTTCATGTTGACTGTTTTCATACTGAACCTGTCCTAATATCTCAGACAGCGCCACTAGCCTCTAAGACTCTACATCAAGACCTGGAGAAGATAGATCAGCCACCTGGAAAAAAAAGAAAGGCGTGGTTGGAAACCAGCCTGTCGATTAGTAGCTGTACTGTTGTAGTGTATCATACTACATGTGGCCCACCCTGTAGTGGGCTAGATTTGGCCCAACCTGTACTGGATATATCTACATCTTAGATATTGTTGCAACTGTATGCCAGTCTACCATGCAATCAAGCAGGTATGGTAATGTTTTGCTTGCTGAAATGGAATAATTGAACCAGCCTTCAAGCCAACCTGATTTCTGCCCTGTGTTTCAACCTGCCATGTTTCATATATAGGCGACTGGGCATCAAAGTCTACAACCCTATAAGATAAAAGAAAACCCTGCCTAGGAGTCACACACAGAACTTGCATCTGAAGAAAACAGAAAATACTCCACGCCACTGAGATTGTGAGTATATCTTCTGAAAACATAAAGAGAAATTGTAGCAAAGAAAAGTATTTCTCCAAAAGCTCTGTTACAAGATATTTCCTGTATAGTATTTCAACGTGATAATATATTTTGCATTAAATTACTTTTTCATTAATTTTAGCAAAACGAATACTTAGGGCCTTCTTTCTTCAGTCCAATTTTCTGGCAATTTTAAAACAAATACCATATCATGAAATACTATACAACCGTGAATGTAATGTTTTCAGGGGACACCTCAAAAGCTTAGCACTAAATTCTACACATCTTTCACTTTATGAATTGCTAATAAGCACCAACCATTTGTTCAGATAAACAAGATGAATGTGTATTTTAAAAAGATGTCCGTACTTTCTAGTAAAGAAGCACCCTTTCTTCAATCTTTTGAAATTGTTATGTGTACAATTTAGTGTAAAAATTGAAGACATATATGAGACTTCCCCTAAGAGGTACAGAGAGCTCCTCAAAAATTTAGCTGATATAACATTTATGTATAACATAGCAGCATTCTCTAACATTATTAGTACATGATATAAGGAGAACAGGAATTTAAATACAAGATCATATCTAGCAATCAACAAATGTATCCTTGGGTAAAGAGGGCAATGTGAGAATGATTAGCAGAAAGTGTCCAAAAGTCATCTATTCATCTCAATATATCCCATAATGCACCATAATTAACAGACTGACAATACATTATACAGCTCTTGAGGCAGTAATTTCTATTGGAGGTAAATCAAACAAAATCGAGATTCTGAAGAAATAAGTGGTCTTTAAAAAATCCTCAATGATGTATACCACAAATGGGAAGAAATGGATTAAATAACCCTTTATCTTTGGCTTTATCTACATAGGACTCCCGAGTGTTGCTTGCTAGACAGAGCTTGTAGTAAAGAGAATAGTCCAACTCACCATCAACATTTTTCTTGACAGTCCATACAGCATTGGGGTTACCAGGAAGTTCTGACACAGCCATCTCAGATACCTACGTTAAAAATATAGAATATTAAATATAATTGTTTCTGCCAAAATAATACTGTGCTGCATCAAGTTTCTCAAGGTAGTTTTGCTCATTTTCACATCTCAGATAGTGTATTATCATCCATGATATTCAGCCGGCAATTCCTATCAAGAATACTGGTTCATCATAAATGTGAAAATCTAAACATTATTAATTTGTTCTTCAACATTTTCTACATCACAAATCACATAAGCATTCTAATCGCACCCTCAATATTTAATGTTTTATGAAAAGAAACATAGCTTTTAACACTCTCTTCTTAGTTTAACGGAAAATGAAGCACCGTTACTGGACTATAAACTACATTTTCATAATGAAGGAAGCTTACCTCCAGTCCATGTCTAAGTACTCTCAATGTTGACCTTGGACCACGTCCACATATGGTGTACATCTGGGGAGTGTCCTCATTGGCCAGATCTGCAATCTGAAACGGAACAGAACTTTGACGTTATTACTTTGGACCATCTTTTTTCGCTAACTATGTTGTAAATAATCGACATTGTATGCAAAATAACCATAGACTTATATGAAAGAACATGTTTCTCAGTGTTTGGTAAGATGGAATCAGCATAGAACTCAGTAGCAGAACTGGATGTTTGTCATCATTGAAACATGTCTCACTATATTGCATTATGGGAATTCTCATCTGCAAATATATTGCATTATGGGAATTCTCATCTGCAAAACAAATTGCATTATGGGACATTACCTGGCAGTTCATAATGGGTGACAGACTGTCTAATTCATCCACAACAACCAAGTTCTTCAAGGGTCTAGGGGCAAAGAAGAATGTGTCGCCCTCCTCTAGAGGCATGGCACTACTGAACTCTGGCTCTTCGTCATCATCTCCCAAGTGAGCAATCTGATACAGGTTACTGGAAAAAACATGGGAGTTTTACATTTTGGAGATTCATATGATATTTTACATTTTTTGGTTACATTTTTGGGAAATTGTTCTCTTAGATAATTCATACAAGTTTGAATTATTCAGTCTAATTTTGTGACAAAATGTTTCTCAGTGTTTGGTAAGATGATATCAGCACAGAACTCAGTAGCAGAACTGGATGTTTGTCATCATTGAAACATGTCACATAAGCCACTCCCCCCTGTCTTCTAACATTCATTACAAAGCAAAATGGCACCACCTACCATTTGTTACAGGCGCCAGATGTCAAACACCAACTGCCACCACAAAAAGGTGAAGACTATAAAAATATGTCATCACTTGAATACTCACTGATTGCCGAATTCTGAAGCTACAAAGAGGAAACCAGTTTTGAGAACACACATAGCGGATGCAGTAGGGGCCGTATCAAAGTACTTCAGTCTGATTTCTGTCACCATGTCTTCATCTTGTTCCAGTGTGATCTTGAACAGATCCCCTTGTTCTGTTTGGGCGAGGAAGAAGAACATACTTTTGGTTTTGTGGGTGGCTGCACATACAAATATCATCCCTCGCTCTGGGTCATCCAGATCATTCTACAATAGAACCAAAAAATGTAATTTTTCCATGGAAATGGAGTGATAATGAAAATAAGTTGTTCTTATTAGTTCTTCTTTGTCATGTAAATAAATTCATTGAGTAAATGTGTTTGGCTTAAAAAGAAGTGTTTATAATTTCCATAAAGTTTTTATGGGTATTACCCATAATGCTAATGCATCACAATCAGCAGACGGAATATTAACAATTGACACTACTGTTGGGGGGACATGTTTCTCAGCATTTGGTAAGATAGTATCAGCACAGAACTCAGTAGCAGAACTGGATGTTTGTCATCATCGAAACATGTCATATACAAAATAAACCAGACACAATTTTAATTCAAACAAGAAAAGATCATAACCCGGTAAAATTTCCATTTTCTGTTTCTTGAAGTAAAACATTCACTTACCCTCCTCCTAGGGATGGGACATCTGATATCAGGCTGGTCACCAAAATTTTTATATGTAATATAATTCTCTGAGCAGATCAGTACACCACTGGGACCTTCAGAACCACCAGGTACAGATATAAGGAAATTAGCATGCTCCTCCAACTGTTCTGAATATTTCCGGACTACATGGTTCAGCCCTAAGTCCAGTTCATAGTATGTTAGCATCTGTTGTGTTTTCTGCGCTGCCTCTCCTGTCGGATCCATATCTGACTCCTGAAAGAATAATTAATTTTATTTTCTGAAATTGTTCAATATTTAGATTTTAATTCAATATGCTGAAAATGGCCAAAATTCTGGATTATTTATCAAACATTTACTGATTAAGGTTCTTTATAGTTTTTTATCACAAACAAAACAAGTGTGATCTTAGTGGTACTACATGCAATATTAACAAAATTAATCAAGTTCATGACAATGTTTCTCAGTGTTTGGTAAGATGGTATCAGCAAAGAACTCAGTAGCAGAACTGGATGATTGTCATCATTGAAACATGTAATGTCGTGAAACTTCACAAAGCACTTTCTTCAGAAAAAACGAACGCTTACATTTGATGACAAGTCAGAGTTACAAGAAGGCCTCGTAAATGCCTTATGCATGCATATTAATTGTTGATTGATAACTACAAATGTTCCACTTTTTGGAAAATGAACCATGATGTACATACCTCATAATCAATTTCCAAACAGGCAAATGTTGGATTCTCAAAGCCGACATCCACACCGACAGTATGATACACTAAAGTGTTCGATTTATGTGCCTCTAGAGGCGATGATATAGTCAGCCTGGCTTGGGCATCTCTGTTTAGAATATATACAAGTTTCTGTTTCTCAACTGAGGCTACCATAACAGCACGTCCTTTAGGATCTACAGCTAGGTACTGTCCTGGGACTATGCGTCTACAGCCACTTTTACCAAAGGTTTCCTGGTGAGCCTGAAATTTTGAAAAAAAATTCTTAATGTATAAAGGTGAAATATAGCTAGAGGCTGGTTGAGTATACAAAGCTCGGGTTACAATTATTTGTACCAGGTGGTCAGTTTTGGCATAAATCTTAGTAGTTTAGTGATCTTGACTTGCTGGCAATTCATTTCCTCACAGATAGACTATTATGCAAAGGGCATATTTCAAATTGACAATGTTTCTCAGTGTTTGGTAAGATGGTATCAGCACAGAACTCAGTAGCAGAACTGGATGTTTGTCATCATTGAAACATGTCATAATCTTAACTGAAAAGTTGTTTAAATTGAAACCATGTTTACATTAGCTACTAATTTTACAACGCTGTAATAACACCAACAGTACAGAACTATGCATGGGAAAAACTTGAAATAAAATCGTTTACAGATAACTTACCTTGTCAAATATGTTCTTTGAGGGAACATACTCCAAGATAACTATTCTCCCAGAATCAGAGCCAACTACGATGTAATCTGAAAATAAATGTTAGAAGTTGTGGGATAAATTACAGTTTCATTTGTGAATGAAAATCCAAATCAAATCGATACTTTCAAATTAGGGTAAATAACTGTCAACACTTTTATACCACCCCTAAAAAGTTACCAATACTTGACATGCTATTCAGAAATAACATTGTACTAATGTAATCAACGTTATTTAATGTTATCCTTTGCTGTGCATTTCATTCAACTCTTATTTCTATTGGGATTTGAATTCTCCAATGCTCACCTTTGCTGCCTCCTGTGAGACGGAATGGCATCAATGATCGAATAACACCAAACACTTCAGTTGTCAGCAATGTGTACACTTTGCCTGTGTTTGGATCTGGTCGGATAAGTTCCAATATCTTCCCCCTGGACACAACAATTTCTTGCTGTTTTGTCCCGGAGAAATTACCATGGATGGCATGCGTTACACCTGTAGCTCGCTGCAGTGTTAAATTGTAGAGAAACATGGCTGAAAAGCATTCAAAACAATTATTTAGACATTTAGCCTAAACATATGATTCTAAACATATGAATTTGCACATTCAGTCAGGCAGAATGAGAGAATTTATCTAAAAATGGAAAATTATATCAAGCTTAATGACATTCAGTAAAATTGAGAGGAATCCCTATATAGCATTACTGCGGAGCACATATACATTCAATAAATAAATTTAAAATGTTCAAATAGACTAGGGGGCCTCCATCAACTTTGACATACGGGGTTACTTCGTCATGGGGCTATTTCGACCATGGCTGATAGTTCATATTTCGGGAATCAACTATCCAAAATAAGATTTTGCCCATTGGCGATTTATTGCTAAAATTTTCAAAAATCATCAGGGATTTCATTAGCAGCAGACAACAGGCGATTTTCACCGGTTGTTTTCAAAATATAATCTGTTATTTTTAGGGAATTTTCAACTTTTGAGTATTATGATATCCATTATCTTGCCTGTTGTTTTCATTTATTTAGCCTGTTGTGAGAAATTCAAGTGAAATCCCTGCCCATGCACAAATTTGACACATTATTACCTTTTAATCATGAATCTCTTAGACCAGATAGGCACGCCTTACCATCGCGTAAGCAGGCGTCAACGTACAGCGTCAAAAAATAGCGGAGTACAGTTTTCTGTACGGTAACGCAAATTAACTGCTTTGAAGCAAAAACTATGACAAGGGTTTAAAAAAATTAATTTGATGAAAACTAATACGATTTCATGTGAAATAAAAACAGCATTCTCTTAGGAATTGTTTTAACTTTCTAATTATGATAAAAGTTTTTCGAGCATTGCTCGGATTTTTTCTGAGTGAATCGGCCCACATAATCGACCAGAGTGAAAAAAGGTTGTTTTTTCACATTTTGTTTGGTTATTATTTTCCCTACCGTCTGAGAGTATGGATTATTTTTATGAGAATATGTATTTGTTACTTACACAATTTAGAACGGGCGAAGATTCAGCAAACAACCATTCATTATGTATATTTAAAAAAGATCAAATTTGTACGGTGACGCACCAGCTGTACGGTGACGCTATGCTTTGATGAACTAAATGAGACTAAGATTGTATGAAATGGAAACTCTGGAGTATGATCATTTGTTCATATATAGTGCATGGGTGCTACAGTTCAACGATATCTTCCACAGCTTAATGGAAGGTTACTGGAAATGTATGATACGGTTAAGATCATGAAACCAAAAACTCTCTTGTTGCTATGTTATTGATGTTTTAAAACAAGGGATGTCACAAGTAAATCTCACCTTGCACGTGTGACTTTTTAGGATGAAAGATGTAATATCTTGCATGGGGTAAAGATGGCTGTGTAGGCTATCTTTGTTAGTCATATGAGAAAAGCCTGGTTTAGTTCAAATGATACCAAAGCATTACGTCAACTTTCAAATAGTTAATTCCATGAAAACTAAAAATATCGAATTTAATACTTCCTGTCCGCCATCTTAAATGCGAAGGTGACGGCTGTTACCTTCGCTTGATACTTACCAGTGATAATGTACATGTAGATCTGACGCTTCTTTACCTCTTGTTCGAACAGTAAGCTTAGAGCACTTCTAAGGAATCTAAGGAAGCGTCACCGTACAGCTGATGCGTCACCGTACAGTTCTGATCTTTTTTAAATAAATACACTGAATGATTATTTGCCGTATATTCATATGTTCTAAAATGTGTAGATAACAAATACATATTCTCATAAAAATAATCCATACTCTCAGACGACAGGGAAAATAATAACCAAACGAAAAGTGAAAAAACACCATTTTTCTCTCGAGTCGATTATGTGGGCCGATCCAGTCAGAAAAAATCCGAGCAGTGCTCGAAAAACTTTTATCATAATTAGAAAGTTAAAACAATTCCTAAGAGAATGCTGTTTTCATTACACCGCGAAATCGTATTTATTTTCATCTAATTAATCTTTTTAAAACCCTCATTATAGTTTTTGCTTCAACTCAGTTAATTTTCGTCACCGTACAGAAAACTGTACTACTGTATTTTTTGACGCTGTACGGTGACGCCTGCTTACGCGATGGTTAGGCGTGATAGGGAGAGAATGCAGCGGACTTCAACGTAAGGGGTTAAATACTTTGACGTGGGGCTATTTCAACCATTGGGCTATTTCAGCATTGGCATATAACTTCAATCTACAAGGTCCCGTCTGTCATGTTAAATTTTAGTAATTTGAAGTGACTAAGGTCAATATAAATCCATAGTCGAAGTAGCCCTACGTACTACGTAGCAGTATCACCATAGTAGAAGTTACTACTTTTTTCAAGGCCTGACTTCGTCACTAACATGCTAAATATAAGAGTTAGCTGACGTTTGGGAGTCTGACTTACCTTCTAAAGGTTAGAACCCGAATCTTAATGAAACCATATCACCTTTGTTCCGTCAACCATGGAGCATTTGCCACAACATCCAAGAGGTAAATCATGGACCGAGAAAATTAATGATTTCCTTGTAAGTTCCGGAAGTTTCAATACGAAAAATTACCGAACATATATGAAAACCGAATATTTGTTCGTTGTTTTCACGATTTACAGGTTCGTATGTTCTTCAATGTTTTGGTCTAAATTATAAAGCATCGCCAACAGGTCTTACTCTATTATTTGACTAATACAGCAGACGGCTCATATTTCTACGTAGCATTTCGTTCAGACCAAAAGTGGGAGTGTAGATCACGCAGTTTCGTTTGTTGCGTACTTCACTTGAAATTGGTAATTTTAAATATTGGCTACTTCACTTAGCATGGCGGATGTAGAACATTGCTTAATATTCTTTTAATTTTCACACCAGACATGCTTGGTTGACACGTCAACAAAGTAAAGTTCATGGGTCAATGCGTTATTTCGTGATAACTACAACGCCTTCCCGGAAGTCAACATTGATGAAAAATGAAAAAGTCGGAAAAGCATTTACACTAATTTCTATCAAATGCTATGTTTATGCATCATCATCGACGCAACAATACCCTGCTTGCAGAGTCTAGTTAAACTACACTCTGCCTAGTAGAGACCATATTACAATTTAGTAGCCCCGCCCCCACGACTGGTACCGGTGACAGTTTGGGTAAATCACTTTTGACCTACACACTGACCTTCCACCAATCAGCGAGCTTGAAGAAACATGCGCCAAATGCGTTCTAATTAAATATGCGCATGTCATTGGTCAATTCCGGGCTCAACGATGACGTAAGAAGGAATGACCATATAAAGAACGTCGGTCAAATTTGGCCGACGAACACTGATTGGCGCGGTGAGTTCACAGGTTTATTTTAGTTTGAAAGAGTGAAGACGAAGCTCTCTTTTAAGAAGTGAAGTCAAACGAATGCAAAGGGTAACGCAACAAAGGTGATATGGTTTCATTAAGATTCGGGTTCTAACCTTTAGAAGGTAAGTCAGACTCCCAAACGTCAGCTAACTCTTATATTTAGCATGTTAGCGACGAAGTCAGGCCTTGAAAAAAGTAGTAGACGCCCCTGGTCAAAAAGAGACTTCACACCATGGAGTACATTGATACCTTGTTTTTAATTTATCTCCAGCTTCTGATTAATGGGGGGCCAAGTCATCAATTATTTGAATTGATGCAATATGCCAATGTTTAAAATAGTCTCCACAAAATATTTTTTCAAATTTTGAGAAGAATTAAAAATTGATGAAAAGAAAAATTGCATCCTGACTCTATTTACCTGCAGTAAGATAGGAAACAGCTATCAGATTTCAAACATATGTTACTTTGACATTGATTGCACAATGTGAGGTATAAACAGTGTCTGCATTCGCCCCGATGTTGCTGGATTTAGCAGATATTCATTATTATTTTCACCGCAAACGTTGAGAAAGATGGCGCCGACCTTGACCTCTTTACCCACAATGCACTTGAATAACAAAAATGGCGGCGCCCTCGGGATCAAGTGCCACGTCCAATATGTCCATTCAAAGTATCGATAACTTGACAAATCTCGATGATATTAAGAAGGCTTATGAACAGCTATGTTTGGATGAGGTAGGTGGTAGTTTGAAACTTTTAAGTATGCTAACATAGCGATAAATGGACTTAGCTTACAGAGATAAAAAAATTCAAAAAATAAATAAAATTTCTCCGTAGAAAAATAAAAATAAAAATGAAATGAAATTATGCAAGGTAGGCTAACACTGTCATAAAGGAACTAGAATATGTCATTAACAAAAAATACTGATTTGCTTTTACAATGTTCTGAATAAGAAACCTGCTGACAAGAATTGCCCTATTCGCAAAATATGGGGTTGAACCCACATTGACATTTATGAGGGAAGGCCTAGTTCTCACTTACTTTAATGACTTGTCATTTGTTGACTCTCCACCTTGACCTTCACCATTGACTGATTCATACGCCTGCTAATTCATAATTACCACAAGGTGAATGTGCATAATCAAATCAAATCAGAACTTCAACCATGTAACTTACTTGAGCTGAGGCAAATATCGTCAGTGAGGCTAACATTAAGTAGTAAGTACCCCCATGAATGCGAGCCTGACTTGAATTTTTTCTTATATTTGTATAATATTTAAGATAAAAATGTAAAAAAAGAAAAAATACTAAGCAGCCTCACATTTATGCACAGTCAGCACTATCATTTAATGTGCATTATGGGAATAACATTCAGTTGAAGTTCCGGATTTTGGATCATTTTGAAATGTTAGGGTAAACAGCTTCAAACCTCTGCAAGTAGTACAGCTACAGTAGTCACTGGAGCCAGGTGGCAAGGTCTGTTAGCATTAACATTTCAGCTTGGATATTTAGTATACATACTATTTTTTATTCAACCCAGGTTCATTGAAAGATTTAAGTGAATTTCATGTGTAACGACTCACTGGCACTTGTCCGGGGAGCTGTAGTGTAACGAGCCAGATACTCTACATGAAAGGTATTGTGCTAAATTCAGTGCCCTATGGGGGAATTGAACCCAGGACCTTCCGCTCACAAGTCAGACACTCTACCGATTCGGCCATAAGGGTTGCCATAAGGGTGCCACAACAGCAGAGACTGTAGTGGCAACCTGCCATCGAGGGTCATTACACATGTATGATTTTTTTCAGGCCACTGTGACAACCAAACTGAATATTCTGTTATTTTGTTCTCAGACTATTTGGATAATTAATTCAACACTCTGATTTCAGGCTACTATTTAATACAGATGAACTGAACATTTTTTTCATGTATTTTGATCAATGTATTTCAGGCTGCTGTGACGGATGAAGTGAATGCTTTGTTTGAACAGCAAGGGTATCTAGAAACTAAGATGTCTTCATTGCATAAAATGCTGTAAGTATTTCTTTACCTTTAATAGCATACATGTACATGTACTTTGAACAAATACACATTCTCCCCTCCCTTGAACTCTCAAAAAGAGAGAAATATTTAATCATATATTTAATCTAAAAAAGAGAGAAATATTTAATCATATAAGAAGAGGAGGGAAAACCCCATGATTCAATTGATGACATAAGATTTCCTCCTTCGAGCACCTCCTTTTGTCGAAAACTTACCCTCCATCTTGGTTTTCCAAGTTTTCAAATTGACCTAGTTTTAAATCAATCAACGATCGACTCAAGCTAAACCAATCAGTGACGATGTCATCTCAACACAGATTTACATTATAAGCGTATGTCATCTTTGATCCCTGGGGTTTCTCCTCCTCTTTCATATAAGTTATGAGACCTACAAAATCATAAATTAATTATAAGAACTGCATGTACATATCCCTTCATCTTCTTCTAGAAGATACAGAATGTATCTATTTTTGTAAATGCTATCAAAGCTAATACAAAACATTTTCCATACAATTTTAGTCATCACTGGTAAAGGAGACGAGTCCAGCATGGGGAGACAAAAGATCATACCTCAAATCTTTGTGACCTCACTGTATGAATCTTTAAACAGTTTGTTCCTTGCATCTAACTAATAGATCTTTTCATTTCAGCCCCAATTTACAACTGGTTCAAACAGACTCCCAACAGCTTTCAAATATGATTTCCTTCACCTCAACTTTAGCTGAAAATGTCAGCGGGAAAGTACGACAGTTAGACTTGGCCAAGGTAATTACTGAATTTTAGACATGAGAATTCATGAGGAGTTTGTTCTTTGGGAGTTCCTATGTATTTATTTAATTCTATACTGTGGTTAATGTCTCATATCGAATCCCAACATAATTGAATGAAAAATAAAATTTTCAAAAGTGGTATTAAAACAAAATTAACAATTAGATGCAGCTTCCATTTGTTTCACTGTAGAGTAATGACTATTGATGGTGTTGCATTTTATTTATAGAGTCATGTGACCCTGTGTATGCAACGAGTGGAAGATATATGTGATCTGAAGTTTTGTACTGAAGGAGTGCAGAATGCCTTGAAGGAGGAAGACTATGAGACTGCAGCAGGGCATGTACACAAAGTAAGTACAGTAAAACCTTTGTTAGTGGAACATCCTTGGCTGCATTAAAAAGTGATCTCTAAGCCTCTTGAATACCTGGTAGTGCATCTTTATTTTTGCCTCTTTTTACCATAATTCTGTCTTAATATACAATATTTGTAATATCACTGAACACAAATTTCAATCCATGTTTTGGTTAAATTGAACAAAATCTTTCGAAGTTAGAGCCATTTAAGTGAGAAATTATGTGACACTGGGCATTCAAGGGGTTAAAGAGGTGTTCCATTTTAAAGAGATTTATTCACTATGTACATCTTTAGATTGGCAGGTGCATTAAATTCCTAAGACCAATGATAATGCCTGCTTAGAAACAATGATTGGATCATACAAGCATTCTCTCCGTATGTTTTCTCAGGTTGGTGAAAAAGACAGTTCTGTCCAAAGTTTCCATTTTTAAGAGGGTTTAATTCTATTTTTTTAAAACTCAAGTGAAAATTAGCAATAAGTATATATTATTTTTGTATGAAAATAGTACTTCTTCATTTCAAACAGTGTCATCATTTATCTTGCCAGCATATCCTGGTTTCTTTAGTTTACAAAAGATGGCAGGGTTGTTGGGAAAGTATTATTTCTGCTCTGTGTATACTGTATTGAACTGAAAATGGGTTCAAAATTCATTGAGTTTAGAAAGCCATACAACCTTTTATTTGCTTTTCGCATGATCAATTCAAAACATTTGTATATTCTGCATGTTTAAAAAATTCCCAATTTAATAGATTCAAATTACTGTATATCTATTTGAAAGGGCTTTACATTTCCCATGCTTAAACTTTAACCCTTTTTATTCATATTTCACTCCAAATCCCTCTAAAATTTAAATGAATTTTTTCTTGCTTTTTGCAGTATATAGTGACTAATATGGGTGGAATTCCTGTTTACTTTATTCCTTGTTGATTCCACTCATTTCTCCCTTTTATCCATTTCAAACATAACGATTGTAACATTTTTTAGGGTTTCTGTTTAAAAAAGAATTGCGGCCCATTGAGATATTGTCATTTATTCACATTTTTTGATAGGACTCAATATTTAATATTGACAATTTGATTTGACAGTTTGTTTTTTGCCATATTGCCATACCTCATACCTCAAAAAAAGAAATTGTGAACGTTCAACAATAAATGCCACATTCATATAAGTGTTTTCAAATATACTAAGATTAAGAACTTTAGGCCATACATATTTGGATTTTTTGCTCTTCTTTGATAAAATAAGGTGTAACCAGGACAAGTATTTAAACACTCAAAGGAATATACTCAAATGTTTGTGAAGCCTTTACATGCCTAAAATGGAATCATTTTCTGTGGAGAAGACGAAAAAACAATTTAGAGAAAATGTATATATGAGCAACATACCTCATAAAATATTATAAAACAGATGATTCTTTTGGATTTGAAATTAAATAGCATGAAAACAATAACTTTGATTATGATCTCTCTGGATGTCTGGTATTAACACTATCCAGAATCAAAGGAGAAAGGAGATATGAACAGTTATATTATATGCATTGTGTTGTGTGTAGAGTGGATGCACAAAGATGAAATAAGTGATAAGCAACACAAGTTTTCATATTAAAGCGAATTAGGAATTGCATATGATATTGAAGGAAGGCAGAATACTTGTGGAGCTAGTTTTACGAAAATTGTAGATTTTTCATTTGTGGCTTTAATAATGACATCATTATGACTTTTATGGATCTCGATTCACTCCTTGCATACCCTGTAGGATTCTAGCTTCAGGTATCCCTCAAACTTGTGTAAGAACTTGAGTAATATGAGGAATTACTTACCAGAAACCTGATGATTTTGATATATTTATGTTACGATTTGCAATTTGAAGATGATGAGAAAGGATAAAATGATCATAATAATCGTAGGAGTGTGTTTATCAAATTTGATATTTTACTGGAACTTTGTGCATAAATACAATCAAAGAAAAAAACATATGAGTGACCAGAAAGAACATGATTTGATGAAAATATACACTGCCTATGATGATAAAAAATGGAATGATAATGATGACAATCATGAAGATGCTAAAAATCATGATGGAAATGCCAACTTCAAAATGCTAAATGACTCCAGGATTGATAATAGAACGAGAAAGCAGAACTTTGGAGAATCGGATCAAACAACAACAATGACTAATATTACATTCAATGAAAAGTTAGAGAAATCGTTAAAATATGTAGCGCCAAAGAAAAAAGATTCCGTGACCATAGTTGGTGTGCACCCAAATATGTCATCCCGAGAGCCTCAAAAGAATGTATTTTTTATGAAGTTACATAAAGTTGGGAGTTCGACTGTCCAGAGCATTTTCTTAAGATTTGCCGACAATAATAATTTGAATATTGCGATTCCAAGGAATGGATATACTATGGGCTACCCGATGCCATTTAGCCTGAAATATGTTGTCTCGAGTGCAGGTCTGTACAGTGTGCTGTGTCATCATATACGATATAATCGGCATGTACATGATATCATGCAACATGATACAAAGTTCGTGACTATGATACGTCATCCAGTTGAACAATTTATTTCTGCTTTTCGGCAGTTTGGACTAGGACGGTGTTACCCGGGGGTGAAGACTGTTAACGACTTTGCACGAATTGTCCCTGGAAATTACTCAGCGAAGAATTGTGTTGTGTTCACACAAAATTTTATGTTGTATGACTTTGGTGTTGAACCTCGGGATATTACAAACAAGACGGTCATCATGGATAAGATCTCAGAGATCGATAACGACTTTCATTTTGTAATGTTAACGGAATATTTCGACGAAAGTTTGATTTTATTAAGAGATCTCCTTAACTGGACTACAACAGATATTTTGTATTTCAACAAAATGAAGTTCACTTCTGCAATAAAGAAGGACAATATATCCCAAGATACTCGGGACATCCTGCAATATAAATGGCTTTCTGGGGACATGATGCTGTATGAATATTTCAACAAAACCTTTTGGCAAAAAGCAAAACAGTATGGTTCAGACAAGCTTAAAACTGAAGTTCAAAACTTTCGAAAAACTCAGAAAATATTGTTTGAATTTTGTGTAAGCGATGTAGTGCCAGGAAATGAAATCCAAGATGATGATCTGAAAAATTTATATTTCGATCCTTACCTTTTAGGATATAATTTAAACCAAGCTGCCAAGAAGATAAAACTTTGTGAACAACTTGCTACACCAGAAATTCCATTTACCATGAAATTGAAAAAGAAAATGAAATTGTTAGGATATACAGGGTGTTCCAACAAAAACTGTACCAATACAAACATGCAATAACTTTTAAGAGGGATGAAGGAATGTTCTTGAAATTTGGTCATCTGAATGACTATCAATTACTAGAGGTGTCACGGATACCCGATTTTGTTCTGACCTGCGGAATTACGCTCTCGGAATGGAACACGGAACCAAAATTAAGCATTTCGGTTTGGTTCCGGAACAAGAAATCTTACCCTTTCACAGCTTGTGGCCCATAAATTGCCACAAAACAATATTTTTCTTTCAATATTTTGCATTCATTCTTTTCACCCCTTCTCATTGAAGAGTTTGAAGAGCCTTTCGCTTCCAAATAGACCTAGACGATCATCTTATTTTAATCGAATACACGCAATCACCCTGTTCTGGACCATTTTGAAATTGTTCCGTTCCAAAGCAAAATGTTCCGAACCGAACCGTTACGACTTTTTTTGTTCCTTGACATCTCTATCAATTACAGTGTTATAAACATTTGAAAGATCGAACAGGTAACTCGAGAAAACTTGTTTTCATACCAACACCCATTTTTCCGATTTCCAGCAGCGCAGGTCATTTAAAATATAAAATTTCTTAGTAACTAATGAACAAATATCTGTGAACTTTTTAATCTTTATTGAAAAATGAATTTTCTTCATCATGTGAAAATTTTTTCAATGAAGGAAAAAGAGTCAATGTACCAGTTTCAGTTGGATACAGTTTTTCTTGGAACACCCAGTACTTTACAATACTATAGTAACAGATTCTCATTTTCAGTTAACCTTAGAGACAAGGTCAATGCATGCTAACAAATAATTAAACTGATACCTCAACTGGGAGTTAAAAGTTCATAATGTTTTGTAGAATTCATCAATTTTGATAAGGAAGAGAATTATTTTAATCAATCTAATCTACTCCACACATATATCTCAAAGGAGACTTCCAGCTCCAAGTTAAGGCCTTTTATGCATGTCAGTAGCCAGAAGCCCAAAAGGATTCAAGTGATTTCGAGCAAGGTTGTTCAATGTGACCCCTCCCCTTCCCTGGTATATGTTGAAAAGTACTCCCCCCCATGAAAAATTTATTTACATAAATGGACAGACTGATTTATAGATGCCATGTGTTATTTCTCATTTTCCAATCCTCTGTTCTATTTGTATTGGTTTATATGTAAAATTACAAGAGGCTTTTTAACATAAAACTTAGAAAATACAACATAAATCAAACAATTTTTATTTTTCAGAATTCTGTTTTTACATGCTAGAGGATTCAATATCATGTGATTTTTGTATCATCAATATTATTGTTAATCTATGAGATTTTTAAGCATTCATATAAATATGTTATTGTATATAGTCCACTGGATCTATTGACAGTATTAAAGGGCATTCAGAGGTGAAGCCAAAATCTAAATTAGGTTGGGCAAAAATTAAAAAGCGAGATTTTAACCCAAAGGATATAATAGATATTACTACATTTTGACTTCAATTCAATAGTTTTAGCTGAAAAAATGTGAAAGAATATGTTTTTGTAAATTTTTGGTGAAGCAATGAGACTTACATGCTTTAGTCTACTTTAACAACTCAGTAAATGGAGGAATATTCATTCTATTTTGTCCTCCCCTTATTTGCAAGGAGATTACATTTTGTAGGATCAAGGGTCTGATTTAATCATACACCAATAACTTACATTTCGTCCCATTATATCCACATTGTTATAACTATTAGACACATGATCAAAATTATGTATCTGATTGGCTCTACTGCCTACCCAAACGGATATGAAAAGGTGGTCCTAAATTTTTTTCCTCATTTTGCACTTACAACAATGTGTGTCTGGATGAACCTCAGAAATGAATTCTTCGGAAAAAATGAGAAAGATAATATACTTATCTCAAAACCTGTAAAAAGTGAGTTATAACAATGTGGAAATAATGGGACGATTTATATCACAATGTTTTACTGTAGAAAAAAATAATACAATGTGGTTGATGGCTCAATTTGTTAATTTTTCATGAATAATACAAACACATAGATTACAAAATACATGTGGCCAAAAAAACCAATACCCAACTTTAAATCGGAATGAAGATAGGTATGTTCAATATGATTCATTGATTTATATATCATTTTAAAGGTAATCCATTTTCGAACAATTTGGTATATAACACTATGTCATGAAATCAATATTAAAGTTTTATTATGCTTATTTGGGAGGCTGGGTTGGTAATTAAGGTATCCAGATTTTAGGGAGAAAATAGTAAATCTGCGGAATAATGTTATTTTTTTATTGATAGAATATCATTTTGTTAGGTGAATACATGCTTGTATATTTGCATATTGTGTAACTAAACTTATTGTTTATGAATTTTAGTGTTGTTTATTATCAATAAGTACTCAAAAGGGGTCTGTTAAAAGACATTAAACGTATATGTGCAAGGATTTGCTTTTCCAACAAGACATTGCCTCGTACCATAGATCTCAGGAGACATTGGCATTCCTTTGCAAACAAGGTGTCAATTTGATTGTTCTTGATGCTTGGCCACCCAACAGCCCCGATGCTAAATAAAATGTGTTTGATTACCATACATGGAGCCATCTCGAGGAAATGGGACAATCAAAAGCACCCAATAAACAGCTTGATGAGCTGAAACAGAATCCTAAAGTGTTGAAATGAATTGCAACAGTAATCTCTCAATAAGGCTATTGATAGATTGCGCTACCACTTGAAGCTTATTGTTGATGCAGAGGGGAGGGGGTGGGGGTATATTGAGCAATTGTTAAAATTGTTTGAATAAATAAAGTGTAAAATGTTATTAAACAACACTGAAATTCATAAACAAAAAATTTAGTCACATAATGCTGCAAATATCAATATCCAAGCATGTATTTACCTAACAAAAGAATGATATTCCATAAATAAAAAATTAACATAATTCCGCAGATTTACTATTTTCTCCCTTAAATCTGGAGACCTTAAATAGCAACTCGGCCTCCAAAATAAGTATAATAAAACTTTACTGTTGATTTCATTATATGGTGTTATATACCAAATTGTTTGAAATTGTATAACCTTTAAAATGATATGTTAGTCGATGTACCATATTGAATGTAACTATTTTTATCCTGATTTGAAGTTGGGTATTGGTTTTTTTTGGCCCACCCTGTATATTATCCAATTATTCCATTTATCCATCAGTCTTTCTGTCTATGCAGAACAATGTTCTGGTCATTCTGAACCATTTCCTTAATTTCTAGTTCCTGAGCCTTGATGAGAATGTGCTGCGGATGAGTGCCGATGTCAGTGAGGGGAACACGCTAGACACTTCATTTAAACTCCTACATGAGGCAGAAAGCAAACTCAAGTCTATAGTAAACAACAGGTAAGCCTCATTTTGATTTTTACAAGTCTCATTTTGAATTTATAAGCCTCACTTGTTTGCCTCATTTGCCTTGTGAGGCTGAATAAGATTAATATATCAAAAATATCATGGATAATTGGACCATTTAAAATATTTCAATTTGATCAAAATTGGGCAGAAATATTGAATATCTGTCTAAAAATGATAACAACATCTTGATATTAATAAAGTAAAGGTTGAATATGAAAGGTATTTTGTAAATTTGCCATTCTTCGCAGAATATTTAAATACATAGCTACATGTATGTATTTCTGTTATTTATATTGTAGATTTGACGCTGCAGTGCATGCTGGGGACTCTGGGTCTGTGACGCGATATTTCAAAATCTTCCCTCTACTTGGACTTCATGAAGAGGGACTGAAGAAATTCTCAAAATATTTATGTGCTCAGGTTAATATTTCTATTGTCTTTTCTTCCATTTTTGTCCTCATACATTCAAAAGTAAAAGTGGTAACGTTACATCCAATTCTCACCATTTTGGCCATAAAAGTCATGTTCATTGTGAAATGAATATGCATTAAAATAATCCTCTATTTATTTTGATACTGAATTTGTCTTTAATTTGGCGGGCATTTAAAATTGGCGAATTAACAAAATCGCCAAATTAATTCAACATGTTTTTAGTTCACAGCACTTAAATTTAAATTTATAGAAACAACAAGAGTTTCTGAAGATTTTTATTTAGAACAAGAAATATAGAAGAAATCAACAACACTGACAATGAGTATCTTGAATTGGGTAAGACGGGAGGATATGGGATACTTGAAAAACTGCCAAATTAAATAGGCGCCAATAGGCCCAAAACACAAAGTTGCCAAATTAAGTAGCTCCAAATTAAAGACAAATACAAATACATAAAGACTGGTGTGATTTGTAGCATTTACATACATTTGTGTAAATTTTTTATTATGTAATCATAGATGTCACCACTGCCTATACTCTATTTTGAGCAGGCATCAGGATTCACCTTGCCATGTATTTTGTTATGTTATTATGGTGTTATATGGTACAAACTTATACTGTACTCCCATTTTACCACAATCGCGAATATAGCATAATTAAATCGCATGTGAAAAATACCAGGAGTACAGTATGCAGGGGTGTAGCCAGCTTTCAGGGGGGTGCGATAGCCAAAAAAATCCCCGCACCCATCGCACCCCCTGGCTACGTCATGTTATGACATTTAAGCTGTAAATCAAAAAAGTTTTACTCTTTAGGTGAGCCTAAACATATTGTACTATTGATAAACAAAGTCTCGTACAGCTTCTTAGAATTAATCAAAGATCGTTCATTTAGATTGGAGAGACTGCCGCCAAGAACCTAGATGCAGCGATATCAAGTGGTGTGACTGGTCCAAGGGCCAATGTTGTTTTTGCTGACACCATTACCATGCTTTATGAGAGCATTGCCAGGCTAGTAGAAGTTCATCAACCACTTGTGGAAACATACTATGGTCAGTGAATTTGGTGGTACTTTAAACAGCTATTTTATCCCATAATGCACTTGGTTAAACCAGACGACATTTCACATAGCAAAAAATGTAGGCTCTATCCCATGCTACAAGTCATTCTATGGTCAGAACATCTTTTTACCCATAATGCACTTGTTTAAAGCAGACAGCATTTCCCATAGCAAAAAATGTAGGCTCTATCCCATGCTAGTCATTCTATGGTCAGAATACCTTTTTACCCATAATGCACTTGGTTAAAGCAGATGGCATTTCCCAAAAAATGTAGGCTTTATCCCATGCTTGTCAGTCTATGGCCAGTATATCATTTAGCCTATAATGCATGTGATAAAAAGCCATATAAAAAAGCAGATGACATTTCCTAAAGCAAAACGTGTATGCTCTTTCCCATGCTAGTCTAGATGATCAGTATATTATTTAACATATAATATATTCAGATCAGAAGATTGTATCTCCCATACTATAGTGCAAGAAATTTTATCAAGCTTGTGGAACTCCATAAGTCCTTTTTGTTTATCTTAAGTAGTATATGATGAATGAAGGAATGATTTAATTTCACAGGCCCTGGTCGGATGTTTTCACTAATGAAGTACATCCAGTCAGCATGTGATCGAGAGGCACGTAAAATCATAGAGGAGTTCAAGTCTGCAAGGCAGTACCAGGCGAAAGTTCAGAGCATAGAGCAGTCGTTTATGCTCAACAAATCTTCAACAACTGAAAGGTAGGTCTCTACACCATTTCAGGCAAACTGTTTGAGGGATTGAATTGAAATTTTCAAAAATGTTTCTTTCTGTGAAAGTCTGGAACATTTATTTTTTTATTAGTCATTTTAAGGGTTTCAATCAAAATGTCATGTGTGCCAAGTCTTGTTCTTTCACCACTTGGAAAATAAAGTGTTTCACTTTTTGACAGTTTTTGACAGTGTTTCACTTTTTTGTCGCAGGATTGAACCTAAACAACTGGATGTGCTTCTAGTCGAGATGACGTTACTCAACTCCAGGACGGAACTTTTCTTGAGATTTGTGCGAAGGAGAATTACGGTAAATTTTATTTTTTCGATAATTGAATCTAGATCTAGAAGGGAAAGAGACAGGGTGTGAGGAGAGCCGAGCCCTTAGTCACATTTGCTCTACGGCGGCTGTAGCTTCACATAATTAATACAGAAAATCTATGTACATTATACTGCTTGTCCCTATATTTTATGCTGCATATTTCTCTTGATTTTTGGGGGCCGTATGGTTGCAGTACTGAGGCATTAGTTACTTAAAAATTGTCACAGTTTTAAAAAAAGTTGATGTCATTATTATTCCATGTCAGGTCCATGTACATCCACTTTTTCATTTTTGGCAGATTACAGACAATTTTGACTTTACTTCAGGCAGGACAACCTTTTTAGATGAAAATGAAAAAGTGGACATCTATTTTTTTAACTTTAAATGCTAAATTTTAATGATCAGTAAATTGTATAGTTGGTGTTCAGCATTTGGTGTTCAGTGGTCGGCATCTACATCAAATTCTTTACATCTGTAACAAATGGTATATGGTGACATTTTGCATGTTAATGCCATGTTGAATAATAGATTCCTATTTTATTGTAGGAAAGGCCTAAGCTCAAAAAGCATTATTGGACCCTTTTTCAAAATAGATAAATCACTTTATTTTTTGAGCGCTCTGTTAACAAATATAATGTATTATTTTTCCTGTCTTTTTGAAAACATTTTCTTTCTTATTGAGCTGTCACACTTAGCTGTCACACTTAGCTGTCACACTGTGTGGGCTCATTGTCACCTTCACCATCATGTGAATACTTTGGGATGGGGCAGACAGTGGGGCACAGCATCGATACACATTGGGCAAAACAAGTAGTTTATTCAAATACAAAACTTTGTTAAAAATTGAATGTCCAAAATTAGCCACATGGTGGTGAATGGTGAGCCCACACGGGGAAGGTGACAGCTACTTCAGGTATCATGTCATTTCTTACGACATGAGATATTCACTCTACTATACCTCGCATTTGGTGTTCATGAGCAACGTATTGATTATGTTCTTTGTTTTTATACGTTTATCGGATGACTGTTAGATGTTAATAAGGTACTTTCAAAAATATACAAAGCAATACTGTAACAATAAGACAAACAGAGTACCTTATGCATTTCTAGGGGTTAGGTATAGTAGAGTGATAGTGCTTTTTTCTCAGGACAAGAATTAAGTTTATTTTTTCTAAAGTAGGGATGCAATCTCACTTTGATGGATGCTGTCAAATCTAAGACTCTGGCAAGTAATATGAAGCTGTTTTCTTATGCCTTCTTATTGATTGCGTCTTGGAAATTATTTTGTAATATGGAGTACTCAGTAAACTTTATTGTTAAAGGTTATATTAAGCTTTTATCAAAAAAAGATTGTCAAAAAAAGTTTGATTTGGTGCTCAAAGATTGGTAATGGGAGCCCAAATATCGGTTAATGGGGCACATTTTTGTTTTTTGCCACTTCAGTTTATACCTGCTTTCTCTCAGTTTCTGAGTCTGCCTCTGTGATGGGGCTTTATAACCTTTTGAATCGCTTTTTTTCCAATCAACTAATCAAACAAAGCTAGATAACACGACTGCTGCAGGCCCATAGCCAGGAGGGGGATTCGCAGGGTTCGGGCGAACCCCCCTCCTGGCCAAAAATTCTTTCAAAATCATGCAGTTTTTCACCATTTTGAGCACTTCTCAAGTGATTTTAGTCATATTGGGCCAAAATTGTCAAATGTGAACCCCCCCTGGAAATTTTTGAAAACTGAACCCTTCCTTGGCAAATCCTGGCCTGTGCTGTCATCCACCCATCTATCTAAATACTATCAAAATAACTGTCTGTTTCAAGAAATATTATTACACTGGCATGGTTGTTTAGAAATACCATGGCTCTTTGAAATAATCAATCTATGTTATAATAAAGTAGGCAAAACATTGATTTCCATTAACAAAAACTGTCCCTATTATTTGTGCTTTTCTGATATTTTACTGTTTTTACCTTGTATGTTATAATTTCCACCATTGATTTCCCAATAATTGACCTTTCATATGTACATAAATGGAAAAATAGATGGTAACTTAAAACACCATTGGAATGTAACTATACGATCTTATTGACATGTGGATTGTGATTCCACATTAAAATTATGATCCTTGTAAGAAGAAATGAACTTTTAAAGGTTTTTCAACAATGTGCCAATGGGGATTTAGCCCAACCTTTTTTAAACAACTAGAAAATCATTAGAATTTGAATTAAGGTAATTACTGGCCCAAATCAAAGTTGTTTTGATAGAGAATTACACACCGAATTCAAATATGCCATCAAATAGAAGAAAATGTTAGTCTTTAATGGTTAAAAATGCAGATCTCCTAAAATATCATTAAAAACGAGACTTTAACAAGATTTCAAAGCTATATGGAAAAAGGACCATTACATTTCATTGTTTCACATTAATCAATGTTGTACCTGTATTTTTGTAAGAAAAATATCAGATCGATCTGTAGCACTATATGGTCTCTTCAAAAGAACCTGCTAGGGTTACTTTACTTTCCTATTCATGTGAACATATTCATGTTACTTCTTCGTAGGTCTTTCCCGTGTATAGGCTCATTTTTTGAGCTGTTGGACCTTTTGAGAAATAACTCGGGACTAATGCTTCGTTTTTCATTTAATTTTACAAGTATATTCTCATATGAGAGTAATAGAGCTTTGATATTAAAAAATAGATTTCTTAGTTATCCCAACGAACGAAGTTCTGTAGGGATATAGTGAAGCCCTCCATCCGTCCGTCTGTCCATCAGTCAGTCAGTCAGTCAGGCCGTTTGTCTGTCCGGAAGATAACTCGAATACTAGTTGACAGATTTTCTTCATATTTATTGGAAAGATGTATATTGGTGAATAGTTTTACGCAAAATGGCCGCCAGTTTAAAAATGGCGGGAATTTTTCGCAAAAATCTTATGTTTTTCATTTTAAACCAAAATAATAAATATTTTTATTTGAAATTTTGGTAGTATATTAACAACATCTATCTATTTCACATATATTCCGGGTTTTTCACCCTGACCCCCAGGGGCCGTAAATGGGGGATTGGAAAAACTGGAATTTGCGTTAATTTTGAGATGTTTTTGAAGTATAGCTTTATTATACTCAAATGAAAGGCAATTTAGAGTAGATTGCAAATATTGTAGCGTTTTTCTGATTCAGGCCTCAAAAAATTCAAAATGGCCGCCTAATGCGGGATTTCGCAATTATTTTCTGATCTCTTAAAAGTATGGCTATATTATACTCAAATTGAAGGAATTTCAGAGTAGATCACAATTATGGCATTGTTTTTTTGATTTGCGCCTCTGAAAATTCAAAATGGCTGACTAGAGCAGAAATTTCGCCATTACTGATACTACAATGATTTAAAATATTTATTGAAGGTAAGAGTAGATGGTAAGAGTAGATATTACATTGTGACTGTACAGATTGATGATTTATTTAGTGTTCGTTGGGATTTGCTACTCCGTGGAGTTGCCATTTTCTAGTTATACATGAATTTATCACTGCATGATCACCAACATCTCTAGTCTTTTCCCCAGTTTTATTTTTCTCAAGATGGTACATAATTTCAATTTCACGAAACTAGATCAAAATGTTCATTTATTGACTTGGGAGGGCTTCAGAAGACCAAAACTTTCATTTTGTGCTTCAGTTCGATGTGTATTTTCAATCATACTTATTTAACCAGGCATTGATTTTCCACTGAATTTCACCTTGAATACTGAATAAAGTATCTCTAATGGTAACTAATCTGACTTCCTGTCGTCTCCATATCAACCAATTCAAGGTTATGTCTGCAGGCAAATTCTTTTTCACCTTCTTTATCTGTTCAGGTATGAATACATATTGATTAGTTATTTTAAGCTAGTTCCGCCATTCCAGGAAATGTCACTTAATCTTTATTTTAACTAGATATTCTGATTTTGAACTATGGATTCTTCTAAAACATTTGGAATATTTCCACATACTTGTTTGAAAAATATAAAATATAAAAAATGGTCATTAAATTTCATTCAAATGATGGTTCAATATCGAGTATCAAATTGGAGGTAATCATAACAATGCATCAAACAATCAGAGGATCTCATGTATCTACATGTATACTCAGTGATCTCCCCAGTATTAAAGTGGGTGCAGCACCCACCTCATTCTAATAATAGATTTGCACCCACCTGAGAATCCATTTGCACCCACTTGAAATGAAATCCTAGGGAGAACATTGAATTGATACTATATAATTTATGTAATGATTGACCTTTGGTTTTTGGTATCTGTAATAAATTGTTAACTCTTTAGTGCATTGCAGCCAGGAAGTGACATTTTGTTAATGCCTCAACAGGCTCGCTGGTTGCTATTATACTCACAAATTTCCAGTTTGTTTTCCATCAACTGGTGAATATTGATTTTAATGACTTTCAACACAACCTGTGTATCATTTGTAAGTGCGATAATGTTGGCGTTAATTTTGCAATGTGTTTGTTAGAATTTGAAAAATGTAGATTTGTATGGTTTTCACTGCAATTAAACACATTGATTAATTTCAAGTTCAAAATCCAATGTTTTCCAAAATATGACATTAGTAAAATGGTGGCAATTGTTAAATGTGTTGTTTTGTGTTTCAATTTTAACTGTATTGGATATGTAAATTGGAAAAATTTGGAAGCATGACATATTTTTCAATATTGTTGTCATTTTACTTAATTTGGTGATTTTGGGAAATCAGACATGGCGTTTTTTCACGGAGATAAATCTCATATCTATATATCATATACGCTCCCGCCTACTCCAGTTTAATTATTATGGGACAATTTAAAATGCTCTAAATTAAACAATTAAATGGCCCGGCCATCTTTTAACTTCACCAAACGAAAAACAAGTCGAATTCCCTGGGATTTTGGCAGCTATTTAATTTGGTGATTTTTTTATTCGCAAAATTCGACATATTAAAACGCTTGCCAAATTAAAGACAAATACAGTTGGTGATATAATTAAATGACATTAAAACATCTGACATATTGATTAGAGGTGTCAGATTGATACATCACATAAATAATTGTAATCTTGAATTCCCAAGAAGGATATCCCTAAGGGGGTTAAACAATAGACTTCCTTCTACCTTTGCGCTATTATTACAGCATCTCGAATTAGAAGGGTATTGAGTTTAAAACATCAATGAAGGCTGCTCTGTATTGGATTGACACAAATACCCTTGCTGTAGCTGCGGCTCCTTTGACGGGATGTCCACACAAGTTTGGAACTCGGTAAAAATGGATTTGAGTTCAGTTGATTACTTGAGGCAGCCAGGAATTCCGTATGAGGCTGAACAACGATTGATGACATGTAAATGATTACTGATAACGCTGATTGGTCGAATCTATGGTTTTTGAGAGATGATCCTGGTGGAGTGATGCATTCTGGGGAAATGGCACATTTAACAAGAGGATGCAATATGTGTTTCTCAGCAAGGCCTCCACGTACATACCCCTGTGTGTTTCCTGCAAAGCTGTACTTTCCTTTTAGCATTTTCTTATTCACTTTAAAATATCTACACATTCCTTCATGCAATAGTTTTGTCATGTCCATATCTTGACCTTGTACGAAAAAATGACCATCGGCGATGATCAGTTTCTTTATGGGTTCCAAGGGGCCTCGTATTACCGATCCAGCATCACTGTAAAATATTGCCCCGTATTTCGTGACAGCATCTTGTAGGATTAGTGGTTTCCAAGTGTATCGTTTTCTGCTCTCATTTCTTATATGATCTGGTATGCTTTCAGGCAAAGGATTAACTTGAACATTACACCAACTTTCAGCTTCTTTCTTTTGTTGAGGTTGTAATCCAAGATCGTACACGATTATAGTTGTGTTCGGGTCCCAGAAATGAACAGAGGCAACAAATTCCTTGAGTCCAGTAAAATACGCATTATTTGCAGCTGTAACGATTTTAACATCAGATGTTTTAAATGTTTCTGTTGTAGTTGTTGATTGGTTCGATTTTCCTAAATTTAATATGATATCTGCTTGAGTTTCATTCAATTGTGCATTCACTGACTCCAGGTCTTCTGTTTCTCGGATAATTTTTTGTCTTTCCTGATGACTCTGCTCAAGCTGAGTAGTAGCTCTATTGAATTCATCAATTACATGTAAATCATTTCTTGTTATATCAGGTAAATGTTTAGAGTTCATATATAAAGTTAAAATAAGAAATAGTATGACAGAGAATATACTTCCGTACAGAATATTCGTTTTCCTATATACAGATCTCCTTCCAAAATATCTCAGTTTAAGCTTCATTATGGTATCGTTCTGTGCATTCTGTTTAAGAGAGAGATTGAAAAAATGTATGCTCAACTGAAATTATGTTACGTGTAATGACACTTTTGCAAGAAGCAGTATTATAAGCTATGAAGGCTGATAGAAATATTGTTTATATTGATTAAAAGGTGTCAGTGTGTTTGAGTCTGTGGAATGTCTTTTGAGAGATTTGTCAATAACATGAACGTTGAAATAGATTGTTCGCAATGGCAAGTGAAACATTCTTTGGCAGAACCAAGGGTGCTCCACTTACACAATGTATGTTTAAAGAGAAAAATGACCAGGTTGCAAAATATATATTTAAAGACAAACTTTAGAACACCTTTTCTTCGAGATTGCTGCTGAATTGAAAATTTTCCCCATTTCATGAAGAAAATGTGAATTCTGATAACTCTGATGCCACATCTGAACAAAATTAAATGTAGGCTAATGTCTTGAATAGGACCTTTGTTCAAGAAAGAATTATCAATAATGGCTGCTCAGTTTTTGAAATCTTAAAATGTAACCCTATAGTGCTCAAAATGTAACTCTGTAAGTACTCACAATAATAATTGAGGGTTCCTCTGTAGCCAGCTTTTACCGAGGGGGATATATTTGATGTAGTAAAACTGGAAATTTTACATATAATTTTCTCAAAGGGCACAAGAAACTGCAGAAATAAATAAAAAAAATCTTCAAATAAAAGAATTGAAATTAGATTAGCTCAGAGACTAAGAAAAGTGTAAGCAAGTATCTAACATTTTTACTGATTGCTCTAAAGCACAATGAATGGAAAGATCAATTTCAAGGGAATATGGCCAGGAATCTATATTTTTATTGATTCTACTTCTGTACTGTTTTTTAGTAAAGCTGTGATAAGAGATAATCATACGTTTGGGCTGATATAAAGATGGCAGCATCAGAATCCTGTTATGTTTTTCTCTAAAGAGAATTATAAACAAGAGATCATTTTAAAAAAATGAAGGCTCGTGTGAAGGAGATGTTTGCAGTGTTGTAATGAATTGTATTGATAAATAGGGATGCTTACTTTTAACGCGGTTGTAATTTACCGAACGGCAAAAGTAGAAAATATCCGAACATTTTGAACTGATTAAGATCTTTAAATTGTGAAGGTCTGAGTACCTGGACCTCTTAGAAAACATCCAAACATATCAAAAAGTGAAGATGGGTCAATTTGATTCTCGTTCTCCGAAGGTATTAATAAAATAGTTAAATAAACCATGGGCTTTCAACTAGAGTTGAAAGCCCATGAATAAACACAGGTCAATAACCATGCCATCTTTATTTTAAAATTATTTCTATTACTCTAGTCTATAGAAAGATTTCAGTTAAGCTATCAGTCAGTCTATTGCTCAACCTCAATAAGGATGCATGAAGATTTGCCATCATGAGGTTTAAAGGGAAACATCACCTAAGGAGATACATATACAGGAAAATGGGGATTTTGTTTACAAGTATGTTATCTATATTGTTTCTCATAACTTTAGATATATACTTCAGACATTTGCCTGACATTAAACAAAATGATGTATCCATAATTGATGGATTTCATAGAAGGCTACCAAAGCAGGATAATAATGAAGAACAAATACCGATGCCACATATTGAGGATCTGAAGTTAATAAAAGGACAATTGAATGATCTCCAAGCAGATATATTAGATTTGAAAAAATCAAACAAATCGTCCACAGCTATGAACGAAACATTTAAAACATCTGATATTAAAATCGTAACAGCTGCAAATAATGCATATTTTTCTGGACTCAAGGAGTTTGTTGCCTCTGTTCATTTCTGGGACCCAAACACAACTATAGTACTATACGATCTTGGACTACAACCTGAACAAAAGAAAGAAGCTAAGAGTTGGTGTAATGTTCAAGTTAATCCTTTGCCTGAAAGCACACCAGATCATATAAGAAATGAGAGCAGAAAACGATATACTTGGAAACCACTAATCATACAAGATGCTGTCACAAAATATGGGGCCATATTTTTCAGTGATGCTGGATCAGTAATACGAGGCCCCTTGGAACCTATTAAGAAACTGATTATAGCTGATGGTCATTTTTTCGCACAAGGTCAGGATATGGACATGACAAGACTATTGCATGAAGGAATGTGTAGATATTTTAAAGTGAATAAGACACTGCTTAAAGGAAAGTACAGCTTTGCAGGAGGTATCCACGGTTATGTACGTGGAGGTCTTGCTGAAAAACATATACTAAGTCCTCTTGTAGAATGTGCCATTACCCCAGAATGTTTCACCCCTGCAGGATCCTCTCTTAGAAATCATAGATATGACCAATCAGCGCTATCAGTAATCATTTACACATCATCAATTACCGTCCAACCTCATACTGAATTCCTGGCTGCCTCAAGTAAACAGTTGAATCCAAATCCATTTTTACCTAGTTCCAAAATTGTGTGGACTTCTCGTCAAATGAGCCAGAGCTACAGCAAGGGTATTTGTGTCAGACCAAAACAAAGCTGATGTTTTAAACTCACTGCAAGTACAAGATCTATAGCCCCCCCCCCTCCCCCTCTATGTCCCATTGAGAACTGTAGTACAGTAAAATCCATATATCTGAACACCTGTCTAATCCCAACACCTTCCAATTTGAACACTTTTTTTCGGTCCCATTTTTTCCTCCCATTGACTCACATGTTAAGAAAACTTGAAATCTGAACACCTCCTAATCTGAACAGTGAACAACCAGATTTGAAAAACTGACCTGTCTAATCTGAACATTTTTATCAGAAATCAAATGTCTGGACATTTCAATAATAGCCACATATTGAGTCAATGTTATAGTTGTTATTTATCTTTAGATATGCAATGTAATCAAAGAACCAATATTGTCCTAATTAACTTATTTAAGTCTCAGTAACATCCCTAATTGTGGAAAACAACAGGATGCATTGGAAAGGTGTGAATACAGGATTTCATTGGATTATCCTTTTAAAAAAGAACTGAATGTTTTATGCTTGGATAAAGAGAAAGGTGTGAATCAAGAAGTTAATTGATTTACCATTATTGGAAAAACCATGAATGTTTTTGATTTGGATTAAGAGAAAGGTTAGAATCTAGGAGATACTTGGTTTATCCCTATTGGAAATTAACTGAATGTTTTTGATTTGGATTATAAACTGTTTTATATCCCATGGGTCTGTTATGATAGCTAAAATTCAATCATTAAATGTTTTATAATCACAAAGACAACACAGACACATTTGCAGACAAGATTGTGTCATGAGGAAGAGAAAAAATTCAACTTCGTATAAATATCCTATCACTAAAATGCCTCCTAAAAATGCATACATCTGACATCCTGAATGCCCTTGATATTTTGAAAGATTATACATCATCTCGAATGAACACGCATGAAAAATTCTTTTTACTTGAAGAGGATATCTACTCAAATATTGCTAATGCTAAAAGTGCCATGAAACAAACAACAATGAACGACTTTTTCAAGCTAAAGTAAAGCAGTGCTATATAACCATAATATGGGATAAGTCATTTAATAAGCATAAGATTTCGTACGAGACTATCATATACTTATACAGTGTATTACAAAGTTTTTGCAAAATTGTTCAAAATGCAAATAAAACATAGCATATACATGTAGGCTATAGGCCTATTGTAGAATAAACTCAACAACCACATGTTTTGTTTTCTGACTTAACAATACCAACAGTATCCTCAAAATTTAAACACCTGCCAAATTGAACGCTTTTGGCTGGTCCCGTGGGTGTTCGGATTAGACAGGTTTTACTGTTCATAAAATAAGTAAATTATTATTTGAGGCACTCTTAAGCTCCTAGGGTTGCCGTCCTAGCTTGGATAATAGATTTCTAACGGATGATGCTCAGCCTCCTAAAAGTCAACTTGGATATGGAAGACGGATGCATGCCACCCTCTTGTCTCAGCTTCCTTTGCATCATGGTACTTCGTTGCTTTAATCTCAAGTGAAACCTCCAGTCTATCCTTCCATGGGACTAGTTCAATGATGATAATGGTCTTGGTTGAACTGGAAGGCATAACCCTGTCTGTGCGCAACGTTGTTACAACCACATTCTGTGAAAATACTAGTTTCTGATGGAGATCTACCTGAAGTTGCCTGTCTGTTGCTTTTGCTATGATGCTCGACTTTGTTTTTGGTTTTGGGGTGTTTGTAGTTTTGGGGGTCCCTTCCCTGATGAAACCTATAAGCAATTTTGCTGTTGGGTGGTCATACCTCTATTGGCTATACCTCTCTCCTGGTCTATGCACTATTTTTGCCTGACATTTCGTATACCCTTTCGCTGTCTAAATTTGAAAAATTAAAGTTTTCAAGGTTAAAGGTCTATGTAGAAATTCAAATGTCAAGGTGACCTACAGTAAAAAAAAAAGAAAGTTGACTTTATGTTTTATTTGAATGCTATATTGTTGATCCTTGATGAACTGAACACTGAAATAAATCAAAAATTGAATAAAAGTGACATTTTTATTTAAGATAAATACGCAAAACATGTTCACATGTACACACTCTGGGTTATATGTTACTTTAAAGTACAATATTAAAGGAACGTTCCTGGGCAAACCTTTTCTATCCTGATGTGATAGTCATAATCATATATATACTTTCCATATTTAGCAAAACATGGGGAAATGTTTTAATATAGTCAATATTGATAATTTAGAAATGAAGTGCTCATTTCCAGTAAGCTGCCATCTTTTAAGATTTTACTCAGGAAGTGATGTCATCGACTCTCAACTTTCATGACCTTGCATATAACAGGATAGGAAAATAGCACAATATCACTTCTAGATGAGTGATCCTTACTTTATGCGCACAAATATGTTCAGAGCTTGTCAGCTTAGAATAAAAGAAGAGACTTTTAGAAGGATTAAATCATAGACAAAATTGAAAAAGAATATTCAGCTGGTTTTGTAATTCTTAATAGCTCCTTATACTGTTATATGCAAAGTTGAGAGTCGATGACATCACTTCCTGAGTGAAATATTAAAAGATGGCAGCCTACTGGAATTTGGCACTACATTTTCAAGTGATCAATATTGACCATATCAAAACATTTTTCCCTGTTTTGCTAAATATGGAAAGTATATATATGGTTATAGCTACCATATTAGGAGAGAAATGGTCTGGCCAGGAATATTCCTTTAAGGTTATTTGTCTGGGGTACATTTCTCTGTTAGCATCCATGAATTTATGAATTCATGAGTCTTGAATTTAGTTCTTTAACTATTACATCATGATTTCATGGTAACAACAAGGGAATTATGAATTTATTGCTATTAAAACCCACAACACAATAGAATAAATTGTATTTTATTCTAAATAATGTACAGTTGTAACAAAAGAAGAGTACATTCTTTTTCTATTGTTTTTAAGGAACGGTCACTTGGCAAACTATCAAAAACAAGTGTGCCACAAAAGATGTATCAATAGCTGAATAGTTAATACAAATGAAATCAAACTTTACAGTTGAATAGTACAGTGTAAGCTTAAATTGGTCATGGATCATTTACCTTTCATAAGAATCAGTGTGGGTTTAAGGACACATATTAAAGCCTTTTATGTTTAACATGTACATAAGGCATCATTCCATGTGATGACAAGAACAAAAGCCATTTCACTTTTTGCATTATATCTCTTAACTTTTAAAATATTGTTTATTTTATGTGCAGTTAGTTTAGATTTTCATTTTGATTATTGTTTTTACAATATTTTACTCTAAGCAGCAGTTGTAAAGTTCAATAAGCTCTGCACTAGAGATTGCTTTTAAACACTAAATCTTGTTAAAAGCAACTTATATTATAATCAACAGACCATAAAAATGCAGAGTCTATGACTCTTATTTCCTCGAAAAGTAAATATATCCATCTGGTATTGCTTAATGTGCTGCAATTTGATCATATCATATCTCAATGTTTCTCCTTATGAACTTATATTCCTGTATATCAAATAGGATAGACAGACATCTTCAGTTTTTCACTTCGGACAAAAATGCTGGTCAAAAATCAAATTTACATGACAGTAAATTAAAAATACTTGTTTCACCACAGGCTTTCAATAGTAACCATTTTATCATACCCTACTAGAGTTCATTTTGTATATAAATGAAAAATAATTTGGGGAATCCACTAAGAGGTTTCCCCAAATTTATCGTTGTTACGGAAATTACATCACATAACATTGGATTTCCACAAGAGAGGCTACGAGTATTACATCATCAATATATGATTGATGGTATGGAGACATTCATTGTGACATTTGTTTTTGGAGATTCCTGACAACGGACACTTTCAGTTTCGTTATAAGAGCCCTTTGACATTCAATTGGAAATTGAAAGAGTATTTATTACATTTAGTTAATGAAAAGGAATCAAATTGATATATACATCCTTTAACATGGCTGAAACTTCTTAAACTACTAGAGGTCAACGTTTTATTGCACATAAAACTTATATATCAGAAATATAATATGGGTATGTCATTTGTTTAAAATATGAATATGTTTTCCAATACAGCACAGTAGTCTTTTAATTCCTTCTTTTTTATTTTTTATTTTTTACAAAAATGCAACATTGAAATGGACTTAAACTCCGTCAAAATAGCTATCTAGGTCAAAAATAGTTCCCACATGGGAATGAATGCCCTGCTCTTTGAACTTTGGGAAATATTTCTGTGTTTTGACTATTCATTTCCATTAGATATAAACTAAGAATAATCTATCGTTTAAAGTGTGCTCAAAAGGATACCTACTATACGTGACATTACTCATATCCCTTGAGTGAATCTAGAAAGTAGACACATTAATTATATCTCGTGATTCTAAATGAAAATGCCTATTCAGAGTAAACTAAGTGCATGGAACTTGGTTATTTGAATGTTTATTTTTGACGGCGGTCAGTGGATGGCGGTTGGTGGTTGGCGATCAGCGTCTGTAAGAAATTCTTACAACTTCTAATAACTTAACAAATACTGTATAGACTGACTTCAATTTTTTGCAAAATCATCTGCATGAGTCATTTTACAATAGACTGTAACTTTGCTATATCGAGTTCTACAAAGCTTACATCTTCCCATCCTCAAACACAGGGCTGAAGACATCATCCGCTCTGTTCCATCAATCCATATCTAGAGCTCTGCATTTGCTGGAGAGGGTGTGCCATTATAAAGTGAAACCTGTATGTTCAGAACACCTTTCTAATCTAAACACCTCTCAATGTGAGCACCTTTCCTCCCAGAGGGAAACCTTGAAACCTGAACACATAATGCTAATCCAAACACTTGGCCAGTCCAAGTGGCGTTCGGATTAGACAGGTTTTTATTATGTCACCACCAAAAGTGGTGACATATTGTTATGGTCTCCGTTTTTTTTGCGACGGCGGTTGGTGGTTGGCGTCCGGCGGTTGGCGTCCGGCGGTTGGCGTCCGGCGGTTGGCGTCCGGCGTCTGTAACAATTTCTTACAACTTCCTATAACTTAACAAATACTCTTTAGACTGACTTCAATTTTTTTCTGAATCATCTACATGTTCTCAGAAGTTCAAATCTGACTTTAGATTTGACATTTGACCTTCAATGACCTTCTCAAGGTCAAAAAGGTCTTTTTTCAACTTGCTTCACATTGACTAAATTTTTTTTCAAAATCATCTACATGTTCTCAGAAATTCAAATCTGACTTTAGATTTGACATTTCACCTTCAATGACCTTCTCAAGGTCAAAAAAGTCAAAAAGGTCTGTTTTCAACTTGCTTCAAATTGACTAATTTTTTTTTCAAAATCATCTACTTGTTCTCAGAAATTCAAATCTGACTTAAGATTTGACTTAAGATTTGACATTTGACCTTCAATGACCTTCTCAAGGTCAAAAAAGGTCAAAAAGGTCTGTTTTCAACTTGCTTCAAATTGACTAAAATATTTTTTCAAAATCATCTACATGTTCTCAGAAATTCAAATCTGACTTTAGATTTGACGTTTGACCTTCAATTACCTTCTCAAGGTCAAAAAAGGTCAACAAAGGTCAAAAAGGTATGTTTTCAACTTGCTTCAAATTGACTAATTTTTTTTTTAAAAATCATCTACGTGTTCTCAGAAATTCAAATCTGACTTAAGATTTGACATTTGACCTTCAATGACCTTCTCAAGGTCCAAAAAGGTCAAAAAGGTCTGTTTTCAACTTGCTTCAAATTGACTAAAAAAAAATTTCAAAATCATCTACGTGTTCTCAGAAATTCAAATCTGACTTTAGATTTGACTTAAGATTTGACATTTGACCTTCAATGACCTTCTCAAAGTCAAAAAAGGTCAAAAAGGTCTTTTTTCAACTTGCTTCAAATCGACTAAATTTTTTTTTCAAAATCATCTACATGTTCTCAGAAATTCAAATCTGACTTTAGATTTGACATTTGACCTTCAATGACCTTCTCAATGTCAAAAAAGGTCAAAAAGGTATTTTTTCATCTTGCTTCAAATTGACTAATTTTTTTTTTCAAAATCATCTACATGTTCTCAGAAATTCAAATATGACTTTAGATTTGACATTTGACCTTCAATGACCTTCTCAAGGTCAAAAAAGGTCAAAAAGGTCTTTTTTCAACTTGCTTCAAATTGACTAATTTTTTTTTGAAAATCATCTACATGTTCTCAGAAATTCAAATCTGACTTTAGATTTGACATTTGACCTTTAATGACCTTCTCAATGTCAAAAAAGGTCAAAAAGGTATTTTTTCATCTTGCTTCAAATTGACTAAATTTTTTTTCAAAATCATCTTCATGTTCTCAGAAATTCAAATATGACTTTAGATTTGACATTTGACCTTCAATGACCTTCTCAAGGTCAAAAAAGGTCAAACAGGTCTTTTTTCAACTTGCTTCAAATTGACTAATTTTTTTTTCAAAATCATCTACATGTTCTCAGAAATTCAAATCTGACTTTAGATTTGACATTTGACCTTTAATGACCTTCTCAAGGTCAAAAAAGGTCAAAAAGGTCTGCAAAAAGGATTGCTTCAAATTGACCCAATTTTTTTTTCAAAATCATCTACATCTTTTCAGAAGTTCAAATTTGACTTTACAAGTTCTCAGAAGTTCAAATCTGACTTAAGTTTGAACTCATAATATTGTGAGCAACTAGGTGGTGACATTTTGTCATGTTAATGCCTTGTACTGTACACTGTATATGCCATCTTCGCACGCTCGGTCTTCACTGCGTTTATTGTCGGGAGCCGAGTGATTGAAGATGGTATATGCCATGTGGGTTATATTGATTGATGATGATTGATGTTGATTAGTTTGGAGAAAAAAATTTGTGGCCTTGCAAATCTAAATAAACATGTTACATCAAATGATGTTCTTCTCAATGCAAAATGAAATAGAACTGCATTTTGCAAATTAATAAATCTCTGCTCTCTATGATTGTAGGCTGATATGGAAGTATCAACAGAGTCGGAAGAAAACCAGAAAAGTAAGTATTTTGAGTACTGAGTATGATTTTCCAAATTTGAGTATTGAGTAGGGTTCTGTATATTGAGTATTCTTCTTCTTAATGATAGTATTGATTATGCTTTCTATTATTGTATTGAGTATGATTTTTCAAATTTTGAGTATTGAGTACGATTTTGCATATTTTACTATTGAGTATTATTTTGCTAATTTGACTATTGAGTACAATTGCCAAATAAAAGTTCAGTCATCTATAGCAAGTAATTTTCCCTTGATATACTTGCAAAGTCATCCATTGTGCTTTACAATGTCCATGTATATGCCCTATATTTCAGGTAAATTAGAGGACGTTGAAAAATTCATGTCGAGCACTGAGCTCAGTAGACTACTACAGGAGTTACTTGGGGCTTATATAATGATGGAGGAATATTTCATGAGAGAAATGCTCACTAAGGTTTGCATTATGGACAAGCAAGAGTTACTATGGCTGTGAAACCTGTAGGGTATCTGGTTTCCATAGTATGAGGGTATATCACAGGTTTTGGCAACCATGTTTACTCCTGAGTGTCCTTAGTATAGATAAATATCAGTATCACCCCAGTCTCTGATAAACAGAAAATTTCAAAGATCTTAAGTATAAAAGTCTTCAATAAAAATGGCAAAATGTTTCAATAAAAAATGGCCTAGTTGAATTTTGAAATTTTAGAGAATAAATATTTTTTGATAAAAAAAATCTGGATTACTAGAAATAAATAATTTTTAACTGACCTTTGAATGACCTTGAACATATGTTTTGTATATGCAGGCTGTCAACATGGACACTGCGGAGCCCGGTTCCCAGACTTCCAGTATGGTGGATGATACATTCTTTATTGTAAAGAAATGTGTAAGGTTAGTGTATGAAATATCATGTGTTACAGTGATCTCCCCAGGAATTCATAATATCCTTGTGCTATATTGCCATAGCTTGTTCTTCTTGGCATGCCAGTAGGTGCCAAATAGATCTTGTTAGGCGACATCGTAGCATGTTCGTTTGGCTGAATGCAATGAAGTCTTGGTGTGTGAAGATGATTAGGCAATGGGCTCGTGAATTTCAATTTCAACTGAAAATAAGAATCGACTAGAGTTATTCAAAGGCATAATAACTTCATTTTAGATATAACCTCTCAAATTTTCTTTATTATTGTAAAAGAATGTCTAAACAGTTTAGAGATAATTTTTAACTCCTTTAAAACTTTGATACCTTTTTTACTTATATAATAGTTCCAAGGATTTTTTCCATTCATATACCTATTTGTCATCTTCAATTGCTAACTCATATGAATTTTTTTATTGTTACAGGGGGCACCATACACCTTTCAGTGGTGTCTCGCTCCCTTCATCAATTTTGTATTGTTTGTATGTACATATATTTAATAAATTGAAATTGAAATTGATAAATGCATTACAGAAGAGCGATGTCAAGCTCCAGTATAGATGGCGTATGTGCTATGCTGAATCACACGTGCACACTTCTCGAGCAGGACTATCGGGAAGTTCTGTATGGCAGACTGCGGGCAGGCTTTCCATCAGGTTTTGACTTCCAACAAGCTTATAACCTAGTGCAGACTTCATTCCAACAGGGGAAACTTCAAGGCCAAGACAATGAAAAGCAGAAGTCACTGTTTTTGGTAAGCATTCCTAAATAAGGATGACACATTTTGGCTTATTTGTCATTATGTCACCACCAAAAACGATGGTCTCCAACTTGTTTGTGGAGTGCATTCAGCATTTGCATGTTAATGCCTAGTTTGAATATACATGTACACAGACCCTTATCCAGCTTTTAGGGAGGGAGCTCTAAATACAGAGGCAATTTTTCACTTCACATAATCTTAAGAATGGCTATCTTTCCAATGAATCTTTACAGAAATTTATTGAAGAAGCTTCAGGGAAGGAGCTCTCAAAATGAGACGGGTTCTTTATATCCAAGGGGTGCGTCTCGATTTTTCAGCATCTAGATACAGAACTAAACCTAGTCTTGCATCAAGCCTTTGCCTATTATTAATAATTTCCCTCCTAACCTGACTACACATAATGTGTATAAATCAGGGGGTACACAAGGCGGCTACATATTTTTGTGAAATATTTATTTTTCATCACAGATCAGGGAAATTTTATTTTTTCTCTTTAAGATTTGAGAGTATGCCTGTGCATAGTTGGCGTGCATGTGGCTACACTCCTGTAAATGAATAACTATTTTTGATTAAGTTGTGTGCTATTTTGTAGACATCTTTGAACAATGCAGAAGTGAGCAGTGAATTTATACAAACACTTAAGAAATCTCTTGAGGAGGAAGCTTCCAGGTTATATGCTGGCTCAACAGAACATGTTTTGGCAAAACTTGAGGTACATTCTTTTCAAATTTAGATACATTCTCTTTCTACTTGAGGTACATGTTCATTTTCTTTTTTATTGAGGTACATTCTCTTTTTATTATGGTACATTCTCTTTCTACTTGAAATAGATTATTTTTCTACTTGAGGTACATTCTCTCTCTCCTAGAGTGCATTCTTTTTCTGCTTGAGATACATTCTTTTTCTGGGAGTATATGTAGACTTAAAAATCATATACATATACTCAAATCATATACCCAAATTACCATTACTGTATATGTTTTTCTCACTGATGAATATTTACTTTTAGAGCTGTTTGTCCGACCTTGGCTTGGTCTCGAACAAATTCAATGATGTATTAGACTTTGGATTCTCACAATTAAGCAGTAATGCAGTCAAACCCCAAGTGAAACCATGGGTGGATAGCTTTCTGTCAACCAGTCATATGTTAACAGAGGTACGTTATTGGTCAGCTTATAATTTCATCCTGTTCAAACTTATTTAACTCAATTTTTCTCTAAAATTTGAATAAACTGTTTTATTTTCTTGAATGTCTGTATAATTTAGAATATTTTCATTATACATTTTTGACTTTATTTCTTGTTGAATTTACTCTTCCACTCAGGGGGGGAGGTTTCCCAAAGATGACCTTTCGTACCGGCACATTCGGAAACAAATTTTATAACAGGCCTCATTTGCCATTGAAATGGATCTCTAAATGTTCGCTGTTGTTTTATGAGTATTCTCTACAAGTTTGGATCGAGTAACTTCAATAGTATTACCGTAGTTTTGAAATGATGATGTTGAACTGATGTTAACGCCATTTCCACAATTTCAAATTTTACTTTGCGTATGCGCGGCACTGAGAGAGCACATGCTTTTGATTGTTCGTGTGATCACATCCTGCAATTTGATTGGACATCATATAACGGGGAATCCCCAAATACGATAGAATACGAAAGAATTATGGGAGCTACTCACTTCTTCTGTCTTCCACTCAGTGAATGAAAATCCATGACAAGAATGAGAGAGCATTATTTATCAGCTTCTTTAAACTGAGATTTGTAAATGAACTCCATATACTCTTCTATTTTAATCATTTTTGAAGCAAAACATTCCAGAAACGTTCCAAGTCACTAATCGAATGATGTTTATTTGTTTTAGGATGACTTCTCAAATTTTGAAGCAAATGATCCTTGGGTGCAAACATTTATCGTCAATTTAGATTCCCTTTTATCAGCATTCAAGGTATGATACTACTATTTTTATACTACATACATAGTTTTTCTGTTTTAAAGTGTACCATTAAAAAGGTATTTTCACTATTTTCAATATCTTCTCTACATGTATATGTAGAGAAGATAATTAGTAATTAGTTATGGGTGTCAAACAAAAATGACATTGTTGGCAAGTAACATATTTGTTTGTGTTTGTTTCAGATAATATGCCTATTGTTTTGTTTTCTGTCAGTATTGCTTTGTATTTCAATGATCTACACTCTTTGCTTTGTATTTTACATTTTATGCATATTTCTTTGTATTTCACATTGTACATGTATTTCTTTGATCAGTATTACATTGTATGTTCACATTTTTCACCCATTGTTTTTTATATCATCATGTATTTCACATGATACACTCATTGCTTTGTTTTTCACATTTTACACTTATTGCTTTGTATTTCACATTTTAAACTTAGTTTTTTGATTTCAAATTTTATACTTTTTACTTTGTATTTCACATTTTACACTGATTACTTTGTATTTCAGGCATCACTGACAGGGAGTAATTATGACAGACTAGTGAGTGAGTTGACAAATGAAGTGACAGCTCAACTTGAGAAGGATGTGAAGAAAACAACTTTTAACAGGGTAACTATCTTACCTATACTATTCCCTCTAAGTTGTAGAAACTGAATGTCTTAAAATAACAATAATGTTGAAATGGCTTTTATGTCACCACTGAAATGTAGTGACATCACCATAAAGTGGTGACATATTGTAATGGTCTCAGTTTTTTGTGATCGGTAGTTGGCGATCGGCGGTTGGTGTCTGTAACAAATGTTTTGCATGTTTTTTTGTTTTTTTATTTGTTTTTGTTTTTTTTAAATTTTTTTATTTCAGAGAAGAAAAAAACATGTAAAGCAATTGCAAAAAACAATTACAATACTACATGGTAAACGTACATTTTGAAATGTTTTGCATGTGAATGCATTGTCTACTTCTGTTTTACAGTTGAAGGGATTTCAAAAAAACTTAAACAACTCTGTTCACAAGATGATTGAATGTTTCAGAGTAAGAAAGTGTTATGATTTTATGCTTTTGTTTGTCTTTTAGCTTGGGGGCTTACAATTTGACAAAGATCTGAGGTCACTAGTGGGATATCTGACAAGTGTAACCACGTGGACAATACGTGACAAGTTTGCACGTCTTACACAGATGGCAACCATATTGAATCTTGAACGGGTAAGTACCTCGACGGGATAAACAAAATATTCCTCAGGCACTCACTATCCAACATTTTGTTGTATACCTCAAAATCATCAAGATTATACAAGTGAAACATTTATATTAATTTAAATCCCATTGAGCATAGGGAACATGTATAAAAGATGAGTCGAATACGCCAAGTAAAGAGATTTTTAATTGGTGTATTTGACTTCAATTTTTATACATGTTCCCGAGGCCTATGCCATTGGGGTCAGTTTCTCAGTTCTAATATCTCAAAATAATACAGCAAATTACCTTCCAGAAGTCTGAAGTATTTTTGACAAATCCTTTATTGACATCTTTAGTCTCGTATAAAATATATTGACCCCTTTTTCTCTTTCCGGGGTATGCAGAGGAGAGTTAACATGGGCTCGAAGCAAGACTTTCATCTTTCATTGTTTTTCTATCTTTTGGTTGCATTTTTATGTCCTTTAATTGACCATTTTTGTTTTATTCCAGGTTAGTGAAATATTGGACTATTGGGGTGCCAACTCAGGCCCACTGACCTGGCGTCTTACCCCTAATGAGGTACGCCAAGTGCTAGCACTCAGAAATGACTTTAGAAATGAGGACATACGGAGATTGAAACTGTGATTATTAGAAATCACTACAGAGTAATATACACCCAGTTTTGATGCTAGTGAGATAGTAACCCTAAGATCTTAATGACCCCAAAAGTGGCCATCGTGGTCTTTTTATTATGGGAGTGTGAATAAAAAAATTATGCTAACAACTTTAAAAGGCATAAAATTCTGTGATGGCAGTGTGATTGCAGAATCCTTATTGGGTGGCTGAATTTCAGGAACCAAATCTGATTGGGTAAGGCATGATCAAATGTGTTCTATCCACAGCAAGGATTTTCATCATAAGTTTAGGGTGACAGAAAGTGTATTCAGAAAAGGATGGCAGGGCAGTCAACCGGGGTAAAAGGGTAGGAGGGCCTATTAATTTATGGTCCTACTCTCCATTGATTTATATGGTGACCTCTTTCCCTTATTATCTCATACACAATCAGGGCCAGTAAGGGCCTTTAAAAAGGGGGACCCTTATCCCTGGGGGACCATAATTTCTTTCACACTGGTTTATATCAATATTTACATGTGAACTGCAATGCTGCCATCTTTATTATGGAAGAGCTTTATAACACTTCAAAACCTTTGAAATAGACCTTTTCCTATAAACCCTGTCACTTTTTGGTTGATCAAAGAAGCTGAGATCAATAACTTTAATTGTGACTTCACTCTGGGGGGGGGTGCTACAAAGATTTTAAAACGTGCACCTTGGCCCCCCGGAGTTGCTATGGTATATCAATCTAGCCAATGTAGTATAGCATCTCTGATGTAGCATAGCACCTTTGATGTACCAAAAGGAGGCAGGGTTTATGGGAAATGTCTATTGGATTATAATTGTTGGGCTATTAGTTGTTCTAGGACTTCGGGTTGGGCTTCAAAATACTATTTTTGTATTAATGTAATACTTTGATGTATTTTACTAGTCCCAGATTACATCAAATAAAGAAGGAATAAATATTCTAAATATTTTTTCGTTTAATTTCATAGTTTTTATCAAGCTGTATCATATAATCATGTTGCATATCAATTTGTAAGCTGACTAGCTATTTGAATGATATTGCTACTTATCATGGAACAGCTGTTTATAAATAGCCTAAATCTAATGAAGGAAAAGTAATGTCTCTATTTATTTTCATGAATATATCTGTTGAAAGCCCATGATATAATAAAGGAGTTTCTATATAGCTTTAGAAATCTTGCTAATTCTCATTTTTGTGAGATTTAAAGAGATTTGCACATTAAACCTCTAATGACTCACTTTTCCTCCCGTTTAATAGCATATTAGAATTCAGTGAAACGTTTTCTACAATAATAACTTTGATTTATACAGTTTTGTCATTTAAATAGTTTTCCATGACTTTTTTAAAAAACATGAGCCAAATCTCCATTGATGCAATGTTAAAATGTTTAAAAACCTTGGTTTATTCGTTTAACCTCTTGACTACCTGGAGTGACGAGATTTCTCGTCACCTCAGAAATGACCTTGAAACCCAGAGTGACGAGAAAATCCGTCACAATTTTTTTCACTATTTCGCTCTTATTTGAACAATTTTCGACCAATTTACACAAAACTTGTTTTAAAATGTGTAGAAATGATCTCTGCTGACTAATTTCACTAAGTCGAGCATCTAAAATTGTATACGTATATAGTTACATGTCAAAAGGTGGCAAAAATGAAAAATTCTCTGGCTTTTTTCATGATTACTCACAATATGCACATTGTCAGAGTCATCCCATAGCCGGCCATTCCAGTTTCAGACAGAATCAACCAACATGTACTCTTTTTCAAGAATCATTAAATTAAATGACTATTACAAGTTTCTAACACATAATTCAATGGCAGTCTTGCCCAAGCAAAACAAAAAATAAACAAGGGAGACATCAGCTTATTCAGTCATATAGAAACTGCTTTCAATTTCTAGATTCCAGAGAACAGTTATGTTACATATTCAAGGTGTACGTTTTCCTATGCAAAAGTTTCGATTTATGATTAATATTATTTTTATTTTCCTTTCTAATGCAATACTGGGAGATTTATGAGAGATATGATTACCAATCAATATGTCAAGGGAATCAATCAAATATCCCCATTGAAATAATTTGAAATTGAAAAAATGTCACAGTTCATGATCATCGCCATTGTGGAATTTTTGTATGAATTCACATATTTAATTGATTTTTTGCATTGCAATATAAAACCATTATCAACCTTGAACATGAAGAATTTAATGTATCAATTGATATGGTTATAAGCTAACATATATCTTTAAATGAGCTCTACACTCCCCTTCACAAGTTTGGCAACCTTTTTACCCAGAAGGCTTGCGTGTTTAAGCCCCTCTTCGTTTGTATTTTTATCTTCATAACCCGCAAGGAAAAACTGATAATGGAAGCGAATGTGTAACGCCTTTATTTACTTTACCTCCAGTTTTTCAATTTTTTCTTGAATAACAAAAGGTCGAAAATTGATGACAAAGGAGCACGTAGTTTATCGCAAATACTTTCAAACGATTCTAACTTGAATTATGAATATTTTCTGATCATGAACATGGGTGTATCTTTTAGATCCATTCATTATCTTCAAGAAAAGTATATATATTGATAATTTAGTTAATCAGACCTAAGTGATATTGAAGGGCAAATGTTGACCTAAAGGATGAGTCTGGGAATGAGTCTGGGTATCGACTTAGAAAATATTGAAAATTGTAATGTCTGAAAAACCAACTCAATCGCACATACGAGGGGTGATCCAAAAGTCTTGGACGCCCCGCTCTAACTTTGCTATTTTCCAATATAATTACATGAAACTTTCAGATAATAAAGATCAACATCTTAACAACTTTGTGTATAAGTTTCAACAGAAACTAATATATTTTAGCTACTTTTCTAAATATTTTTTGATACCGGGTCCCTGCTACCCGGAACGGTATTCAAATATAGCAAATCACGGCACAACTGTTATAATATGGCAAATACTTTAATTGCAGGTGCACAACCTAACACCAGTCATGATATGAGTGAATTTCCGATTTTCAGTCTGAGTGTCATCTGCCATCATCATCTTCACATATTAAGACCTACTTTTCAACATATTTTCCACGAATTTGAACACATTTTTCATACCGCTTTACCAATGAATGAAAGACATTTATGAAACGGCCATTGCCTTTGTGATATAAATGCTGCTGGAGTGCCAATCCAAACCTCATCCAATGAGTAAAAAACATTTTCTTTCAACCCTCCTTTCAACTTGGAGAAAAGGAAGAAAATCACACGGAGCCATATCTAGACTGTATCGTGCATATGGTAGCTGCTCAATGTCAATAATAGTGAAAATATATTGTAGTATTCTTTGTTCCACTTTGATTTCTTTCATGTTCTGCATTTCAGCAGCCATCTTGGAGCAAAACTGACACCAGAATGAGGGTTGATTGTCTGATGTCATTTTCTTAGAACTTGACATATACGGCCATTGCCATATGTGACATTATGATTAAAATACAATTAATTGGTTGCCTAGTAACAAAGGAAGTAAACTAACATGGTTTAACATTCAAAATTTAAGGAAAGATAGTGGTCAAGACTTGCAAAACAAGACAAATAGTGGCAACATTTAAGGCTGAAAGTTGCCATGTGCAAATACCGTTCCGGGTGGCAGGGTCACTATATTAATAACTATCTAGAAAACTACATAAAATATATCATTTTAGCATGAAATTAATACACAAAGTAGTTAGGTTGTTGGTCTTTATTATTGGAAAGTTTGAAGTAATTTTATCAAAAACCAACAAAATTAGAGCAGGACGTCCAAGACTTTTGGATCACCCCTCGTATTATTAAACTTCAATATCTTATCCTTCTTCTGAGAGTACAAAAATATCAATTTGTATCTCAATTAATGAAGAATATTGGCATCAAAGACAGTGCATATCACTTTGTCAGAATTGAAAAAAAATCAATGGCAAATATTAAATGAATTATTTATGCAAAAGGTTTGAAACATATCCTCCAAAACATTGCTTACTTTCTTTGTATAGACATTGAATGGCATTTCTGGATAAGTGAATTGGTGTTTATCTGGGTAATCAAGGGATTATAGTCACTCAAAGTTACTGAGCATCCAGTTTTGAGACTTCAATTGTGTTGGTGAAGTTACACATATTTCAGTCAAATTCATGCTGAGCACAACATTCCGGTTTCAATTTTATAATCACTATACATGACCCTGGTAATGAAGAGTCAGAATCAGTCAAAAAACCTAAACCGGAAAACTGTGCTCATTGTGAAAACTCAAATTGAAGCAACTTTTTTTCTGATATTTCTTACATCAAATGGCAGCCATCTTGTTTTTCCCCCTTCAAATTAAACTGGCGGGAAATTCAAAAATTTGAAAAAAAAATTTAATCCTTAAATATATTTCAAAAATATGATTTTCTTTTAAATTCTTCATGGGTCTTAAGTTATTTCTTCTTTGTAAGTCATATATGTTGCCATTGATGTTTTTTTTCTATGATAATGACTATTTGTTTTTGTTAAGATACTTATTCTGACTCTCAGCAGGGGGTTAATTATGCATCAAAACTCGTGAAAAAGTAAATATACTTATCAAATATAACTAGGACAGTAATAAAAAACATATTTAACATACATTTGACTGAGGGACCAAAAGGGCATATACCCGGACACATCCTTTTACCAAGAATGCAACCTCTTATTATATTGTTGAATGCATAATTAGAATGTGCTTTGAGACATGTTCGATTTCCTAAAAGGAAAAGTTGATTGCTTCAGGGACTTTAAAGATAATGAATTTTGATGACCAAAATGAACTGAAACCAATGGATAGCATGAGATTTCTCAATAGAGAAATAACATGGGGAACACTTTTCTTAAAGCAATTACGTTATTCTTTCAAGAACTATTTGATACATCAAAATAGAGAATTGTATGCATTAAACATTGTAAAAAATAATTGCATTTTTGGTGAAAATGGGGTCAACATCTTTGAAAAAGTGTGTCGATGGGTTGATTGCTAGTTAAATATCTCCGAGTTTGTTTGACTTTTATTATTACTGTATATAATTTTCTTTGAGATAATGAATTAATCTAAACGATAAACCTGTCTTCATTGTCAGAAAATAGTCATAATCCAAGATGTAACCTTCTGAAATTGTTTGCGATAACCTACGTGCTCCTTTGATGAATTTTTGAAAATCGTCATTCCAATTTAAACCAATTGGAGACGGTGGGTTTTAGGCAATCAGATATCAGAATATCTATTCAAGAAAACATTTAGTTTGGTAACATTTACCAAAAATTATTTTTATTTAGAAATTGTCTAACTTTTTTGCATGCTAAGACATGTAAGAGTTTAGTTTCCTTTGTGAACATTAAAGTTACAGAACTTCAAAGTCAATTTTGGAAATCATTTTCACCTTCTGTCTTATTTCAATGGGACAGGTTTCTTGAAAAAATTATAATTCCTTGACACCCTGTACCCATAACTATAACACCACCGATGTGTCACGATTTGTTGACAGAGAACTGAATGTGTTGTCTATTTTATTGGCATTGCTAAAGCAGAGATATATAAATCATCTGACTAAAGGAAATAAGGTTATCACTGTGGTTATGCCATTTTTTTATTCAATCAGTTAATATACACAATAATCTGTAATCTCCTCCATGTGTATTGTCATGTATTATTCATAGCAACATATTTCCCATTGTTTTATGCCGAGTATGGCCTATCATATGTGTGCATATTACAGAACCAGTACTAGGTCGGTCGACTTCGCTTCTCAAAAGAGAGTTTCGTCTTAACTAGACTCTGCGCGTAGGGTACACCATAAGCGTTTGAGAGTTGCTGAGGAAAGTGTATCTCATACTTGCTGCTCCCAAAGAAAATATAAGAATGCTTCATTGACATAACTTAAAAAGATAATACATTCATAATACACAAATGAGCTTGTGTCACCGTTCTTTTCAAATTGCGCGACATTCTGATAAGCATTACTTCTCTGCTTCACTATGTTAATCAAATGTTTTTTAGAGAACGTGGAAGTCAACGTGTTAAATTATAATCACTTGGTATAACTGTCCCCTTTTTATTGTTTTCCATCATACATACAATCGGGCAAGTAAATACAATAAAGCGTGTTCGTTTTCATCTTTTTAAGGCCTAATTGAGACACACGACTTTTAATCTGTCTATAGGATTGGGAACAGCTACACAGTTTCTCATATGTTCTATATCGAAAAGAAGATTTCCCTTTTTTAAAGTCCCTTGGGTGTTCTTTCTAGTACTTCTAAATAAACGCTGGGTGAGCGGAAAATTCGAGAAAATGATTTTTGTGCATTGAAATGTTTATGTTAATGAACAAGTAAAAAGTTCCCTTTAACTTAAATTACATTTGTTTTAGTGGTTCAATTTTCATATAACCTCTATATGTATCTAATAGTTATGCAAATTAAAATATGTCCAGCAAAAGAAAATGTTATTATCCAATACAAAAGAAGATATTTCACTTTTTGTGATTTGTAACATGGGGTTTCTGGAGAATCAACCCGAACTAGAAGTCACATTTTCGAAAAAAAGATTAAATTTTCAAAGTTGATAAACAATTTTCAAACCATATTTCTAGACGTAATTTTATATGTAGATTTCAAATATAACATCACTTCGACTGAATTTTGAATACATAATTACGTATATCAAGATTATTTCTACTCGCATCTAGTCTATTGAACATCAATATATGTAGGCTTAATAGGATTTTATTAGTACTGATGCCCTTTTAGGGCCAAACGTACATCCGACATACAATTTTCAATAACAGTAAATATAGCAATAAAGTAAAGAAAGTAGGATTGCATTCTTCAAATCACATATAAAATGTTACTTTGATATAAAAATATGCCTTAATAGCCTGAAAGCAGCAATGTAGACGCAAGTAATATTCAAACGACATCAGTTAACGTTTACTATGATATCCCCACATAGTTAGACAGGGTGTGTCCGATTGTTTGGGGTAACAACTACGTTTATCCACACATAGCTAGACAAAGTGTGTTGGATTGTTTGGGGTAACAACTACAAATCCAACCTAAATAAGATACGCATGATCCAAAAACGTTTTGTTCGTATAACTTTGATCATGCATGGAGCCCTCTTTTACTTGATACAAAAATATTGCTGTATTCAATTTATTTAAATCATATTCAGTCAATGAGCTCTTTGAATAATGGAGCTGCATGATCAAGGAAAAGCTGTCCTAAAATTATGCGAACAAAATGTTTTTTTTCTTGAGAGTTTTCAAATAAACGCCCATGCGATAATATTGGGTCGCCGGTGTTAAAAGTTGTCATTGATTTAACTGATGCAAATATGATCTCTGTAGCTGTGACTGCCTTGACGGGATGTCCATACAATTTTGGAACTCGGTAAAAATGGATTTGGGTTCAACTGATTCCATGAAGCAGCCAGGAATTCAGTATGAGGCTGAACAGCAATTGATGACGTGTAGATGATTATTGACAGCGCTGATTGGTCGTATCTATGGTTTTGGAGAGAGGATCCCCGTGGAGTGATGCATTCTGGGGAAATGGCACATTTAACAAGAGGGTGTAATATGTGTTTCTCGGCAAGGCCTCCACGTACATACCCCTGTGTGTTTCCTGCAAAGCTGTACTTTCCTTTTAGCATTTTCTTATTCACTTTGAAATATCTGCACATTCCTTCATGCAGTAGTTTTGTCATGTCCATATCCTGGCCTTGTACGAAAAAATGACCATCATCAATCAGCAGTTTCCTTATGGGTTCCAAGGGGCCTCGTATTACCGATCCAGCGTCACTGTAAAATATTGCCCCGTATTTCGTGACAGCATCTTGTAGGATTAATGGTTTCCAAGTATATCGTTTTCTGTCCTCATTTCTTATGTGATCTGGTGTGCTTTCAGGCAAAGGATTAACTTGAACATTGCACCAACTCTCAGCTTTTTTCTTTTGTTGAGGTCGTAATCCAAGATCGTACACGATTATAGATGTATGTGGGTCCCAGAAATGAACAGAGGCAACAAATTCCATGAGTCCAAAAAAATAGTCATCATTTGCAGCGGTTACGATTTTAACATCTGATGTCTTCAGTGTTTGATTTGCTCTCATTAGTTTTTGAAAACTTGAAATAAAGAAAAATATGATCATGAAACTGATCATGTATTGAATTGTTTTCCGGTATCTTCTCAGCAATGGTTTCATTATAAAACTCATTATGGCGCGATTGCAACTGCATTTAGAAAGCCCATGATTTATGTGAAGAGAGATTAAACGTTGAATTATAATTATAATATATACAGGGTGTTTCACAATGACTACCCATCCCCTTTTATTAACAGCCAATATTTTATTTACTTAACTTGCGATGAAAATATTCATAATATTGATGGAAACATAACTTGACTTTATTTCCAATACTCTCCAATAAACCAATGGGAAATGGTGGGTTCCGGGCAAATCAGAAATCAGGATATCTATTCAGTTAGATTCAGCAAAAAAAATTCATATAAGAAATTGAATTGTCTAACTTTCCGGAGACGAAGTGTTTTAGTTTACTCGATGAACACTAATGTTCCAGAGCTTCAAAGTCATTTTTGAAAATCATTTTTCGCCTCCTGTGTTATTTCAATGGGAGAGGTTTTTTGAAAAACAATTTTGACTTTAAAGACCTATAACTTTGTTGAACCTGAAGAAACGTATCCATTTTTTGTTAATAAAGTTAGCAAATTCAATTGCCTACCTAACTTGCATTTTTGCAAGGACGCAGATGGATGGATATGACTTGCGGCAAACCTATACCATTTCCCATTGGTTAACATGGGAATGTCGATTTTCAAAAATGCATCAAATTTATCATCAATTTTCGACGAAAAAATTGAGAAAATTTGGAGGTATTGGAAATAAAGTCAAGTTATGTTTCCATCAATATTATAAATATTTTCATCCCAAGCTATAAGTAAATAAAAATTCAAACGAAAAGAGGCTTTAACACGTAGTTCAATGGGGGAGTAAGGTTGCCAAACTTCAAACTTGTAGGGGAGTGTATATTCGAATAAGAAACAAGTCAATGCATTGTTTTATATCTACGCTGTCATCTTGATTATATAATTTTGATATTACAAGCTATTCTAAGTAAATATGTTTTCAAAACAATCGCAAGTAAAAAGTCCGTTTTGGGAATTCTTTTTTACATGATAAAAAATTTACAAAATACTTAATAACTGTCGAATTGGATTTAATTACTTTCATAAACGAAATGGCATTTATTGAATGTGATGAAGATATTCTGGGTAGAAAAATGGGTGGGATACTTCACGTCAACGGTCGTTTGCGGTTTTTGTTTTACATTTCTAATTTACGTTTAACTCACTGATCTATGTTACATTCTATATTTCTGAGATAGAAATTATACTTAGGTGTGACGTGGATACCAAGGATGTTTGGGGAAAATCGGTAAAGGTCATTTGAGGTCAAATGGCATTTTTATCTTCCCCAAAATCTATTTCATGGAAAAGGTCATTTGAGCGAAAAATCAATTTCGTTGACCTTCGTTTGCTAATGCATTTCAGTTAGTGAATTACAGTTATTTCAATAATGGCAGGACCATTAACGGTAAGTTTATATCGTATACCTTGTATTTAACAATAAACCAAATAAACATATGTCATGTTCATGATCATTTGAACAGGTGTTCAAACACAACTAAAAACGACATGCAATGTAAAATAATACCAAAGCGCGGTAATAGATAGAGTTTGTTCTGTGCATTGAATACAATGTAAGCATTGCATTGTCTGCCTTTTCTAAATCCTAGTCCAGACGCATCGTGGTAAGCCACACCCTCTCCATCTATATCCTTCTGGATATCCTTCTGCGATGCAACAGAAAGAGATGCTATGAGTATCAGAATAGTCCAGACATGATGAATGTCAGTACCTATTGGGCACAAATGGCAACATGAAACATATCAAAATAACACAAGTTCTCCATTATTAAAAGGCACTTTGACATATCTACATATTAAATAATGCACATAATAATTTTTATTAATATACTAGTAGTCTTTAATGGACACTAAGTATTCTGATCTTGTTGATACATGATATCATCACTGTTTTACTTGATTAGATCTTCCGGAATAAATGGATATAAATAAACTGATTAAACAGATACAATACATTTACTTTCCCATGAATTATAAGAAAAATGTGAATGCATGCCATAGGTAATATAACTCAGTTAATACTACTACATACAAAATATGCATAGCTTGGCAACAGATCCATTGTTATTTATTAAATACAAGCCCTTTGAAAATAATTTATAAATGGCTAGTCAATAAATATAATAATTACAAAGTCATAATTATATATTAATAATGACACTATTGTCTTTAAAAATAATTTACAAATATCTCAGCAATAAATAAATTTATTTTTTATGAGTTTATTGCTTGGTTTAATATCATTGACAATAATTTTCAGATATTTCTGGACACAATTGTTCATTAGAATTATCAAGTAGTGTTAAGTACTGTTGTGACTGTTTCCTGTACAAATTACAATACAAAAAGTATAAATTTTTTCATGATTTAATTGTGATAGACGTTTAACATTTTTTGTATCATAGTGCCTTTGATGTAAAGTTTATAAGCCTTAAAGTCCCCGTCTAAAGTTTGAAAATATTTTTTTATCATTCATTTACTATTTGTCATGACTTAAAAAGTGATTTCAGAGCTTTTTGAACAAAAAAAATTTTGGAAAAAAAAGTTGTGAGCATTTCATTTCTCAAATATTCAAATTTCCCGCCATTTTTCAAAAAAAGTTTAAATTTCTAAATCATCAAATATTTCTTAATGCATTTCAAAAAAGATTATCTTTTTAACACCAATGCAAAGATTGAACAAAGGACACACTATTTCAATAATAAAATGCCATATTTAATGGGCCACTTCAATGTTTTAGCATATCAAAAATATTTTGAAACATTAGTGATGTCACTAAGGTACCAAAAACTTTTTGAAAAAAATTGAAATTTCTTTTTCGATGTCAATCTTTTCTAAATATGTTAGACTTTCATAAAAAACCAATGTTGATTGTCTAACCAGGTTAAAAGGAAGAATAAATTATGTTTTAGATATCATTGTACAATTGGTTTCTATGAGAACTAAAATTTTGAAATGCATTTTTCTCAGAACCATTTTCATGCACTGATAAGTTCATTTCTCGCTTATTTATGAACCGATTTTCTTAATTTTTTCGGCAAAAGCATGAGAGGATGAATGCTATGCATTGGTATGAATTCTGGCTAATTAGAAGATATGAGTGACCTCTAAAAGTTGGTTTTAAATAAATTCACAAATTTTGGAACAAAAAGTCTATCAAAAACCACTTTTTGAAATTAAAAAAAAAAGTTTCACATATCACACTTTGATAACATTGGGTAAGACTACAATATAAGCCAAAGTGGTTTAAACTTTATATGGGGCCTTTAAGGTTTCATCAATAGAGTGTGTATACGTAGCCTTGTAGAAGAATCCTCTCTACGGACCTATACACTCTATTAATAAAACCGCGACCTATGGTTATAAATTCTATCGATGATCCACACTATATATTGATAAGCTATGGAGGATAGGTCTATGGTGGACCATTCATAAAAAAACACTCTGTATATCCTTAATCTATTTTATTGTTTGTGAAATGTATTTCAAATATCCCATGGTAACTCTTGGTTCATTACTGCACTCTTGGTCTTGCTACTCAACGTTCTATGATACGGCATTTATATATTCTTTGACTGACACTTTAAGCAATGCAATACCATAATAGTCATGTTTTGTATCATTAAATACTGTCTGACCAACACTTTAAGGGAATGCGACTCCATGATATTCATCTCCTGAAGCACTGAAATATTGTTTGACTGACACTTTAAGGGAATGCAACTCCATGATATTCATGTCTTGAAGCATTGAAATATTGTTTGACTGACACTTTAAGGGAATGCAACTCCATGATATTCATGTCTTGAAGCATTGAAATATTGTTTGACTGACACTTTAACGGAATGCAACTCCATGATATTCATGTCTTGAAGCATTGAAATATTGTTTGACTGACACTTTAAGGGAATGCAACTCCATGATATTCATGTCCTGAAGCACTGAAATATTGTTTATGCAAATCCATGATTTTCATATCCCGAAGCACTGAAATATTGTTTGACTGACACTCTAGGGGAATGCATCTCCATGATATTCATGTCCTGAAGCACTGAAATATTGTTTGACTGACACTTTAAGGGAATGCAACTCCATAATATTCATGTCTTGAATCACTGAAATATTGTTTGACTGACATTTTAAAGGAATGCAACTCCATGATATTCATGTCTTGTAGCATTAAAATACTGTCTGACTAACACTTTAAGGGAATGCGACTCCATGATATTCATGCCATGTCCCTGAAGCACTGAAATATTGTTTGACTGACACTTTAAGGGAATGCAACTCCATGATATTCATGTCTTGTTGCATTAAAATACTGTTTGACTAACACTTTAAGGGAATGCAACTCCATAATATTCATGTCCCGGAGCATTGAAACATTTGTATGAGCACAACAGAGCTCTCACAGGTATTGTCCCACATGCATTGCTCGTCTTCAGTAACTGAAATAAAAGAATACAATGCTACTTTAAACCCTAATTTGTTAAAATTGTTGACAAGTATTTTAATGGATAGGAGTACGAAATTGTCGAACTGATTTTGAGATTGTCTTAAAGGTTTGCACTTTTTGGAAATGTGAACTTTTTCAAGTAAAAATGATTTTTACACTTTTTAACCCCACTTGGGTAGCGCAACGCAATATAATGAGATGTAGTTTATTTGAAAGAATGTTTGGTTGTATCAAAAGAAAAGTACATTCTTTTTCTATTGTTTTTAAAGAATGGAAATCAAATTTTACACTGTGCCTGGCCTGTAACATGCAGTGCACTGAAGCTGAACTAATCATAGCCCATTCACTCTCTTACACTCACTCACAATACCTCCACTTGAATAGTCAATAAAAAATCAATTTTCCCAGATTGGATCATGGACCATTTACCTTTCATAAGAGTCAGTGTGGTGTTTAAGTTAGATAATCAATTCATTCTTAATCTTAGGAAAATAATACCCAAGACTCAATTTTTATCCATTACAGAATTTCATTTAGTGCGAAATACATAAAAAGGCACCTTACCTTATGTGCATCTATGAATGTGACACATTCTAGCCATGTGTTCAAGAATGATTCTCCACAAACAGAGCATTTACTTGACTGCGCCAACATCTCCTTCACCGAGGGGTAGTGGCGTATTGCACGTCTTAGGTATGACCACCTAAAATATTTTAACGCAAATGTGTTGTAGGGAGACAACAAAGAGAAATTGAAAATCATTTTTTGAAAAAAAAATTTTATATCATTTTATCTTCAGTGTCTACGATATTGATTTATTTTTACGAAAAAAATGTTCATGAATAGGCAGAGGATTCGTTGAAATGAAAGATATCCTCTGCACAATGCCTCAAATTATGGGAAGGAATTAGAGCTCACCTATCTTTTAATTCTCTCATGATAAATCGAGCAACCAACTCCTGCAAAAGACAGAAAATGTATTTTACAATTTCAACAATCATGATGACAATGATGAGAGACACTACAAAGATGACAAAATAATACAATGATGATAAAAAAATGTTACTTTTACAATGCATGCTCCCAACAATATGTTTGAAATGTTTTTATTCTTATCTTGAAACAGCACCGAATTGCTTCAACACAGAGAGAGGCATTGCACTATATTTTGCACTTTATCAAATGAATCCCATATCTTCAACTTAAATAGAAAAGTGCTAAAAGGTTCATGGTAGATTGTAAGAGTAACGATCTAAAATACTTTCTTTGAGATTTCCATACCTTCATAGCAAAAATGTTCTATTTTCTGTAAAAGATATAAATATATTTCTTAAAACATGGCCATACCTTCAGAGCTAGGACTTCTTCCTCTTGTACTGAATGTACAGGGACATACTGTAACAATGGATTCTGCTCGCAATACAATTCTTTCAGAGGAAGTGCTCCAATCTACAACAGGCCAATTATGTATTCAGTTATGGTTGGTTTTCCTGTGTATGTACACTTATACTGTATCTTAGTAACCATGCGTTATAAAATATAGAAAAAATAACCTTGTAAATATCTATGGGTAAAATGTGATTTGATTGTTTATAAAAAAAACAGCAGTGAGTTTTTTGTTGAATCTAGTCGTGCATCACAGGACCACAGATTTGATGCAAGACTCAGTTAGTGGAAAGACAAAGAAAGACTAGAGACAAGTCAATTTTTTTATTCTATTTTTTTTATTTTTTCTATGTTTAACTTGTAATGTTCAATATCAAGCTTTTTTCTAAAAAGTCAAATATTTCTAGCTTTTTTCATACAAATTTTATCTTTGATCAGATATCTATTCTATGATTGTAAGGGACACACTGATTTGCTGACACACTAACATGCTGACACACTGATATGCTTTATGAAGAGAGAGCTTCCAACATTTTACATTCTTTGCTGCCATCTATTCTTTGACTTTAAATCCCGAGATGATCTGTGGTTAATATTATAATGAAACAATAAAATTATATAAAATAGTTTCTATTTATGTTCATGCAACACACAACAAAATAAAACATTGTCCTCCAACTTACAAGTGTAATTATCATTATAAAGCTGAAGAGACCAGGGACTGACCTTATATAGCATGTCAAAACATTGAAATATTGAATTCAAAAAATAAATAAAATTTGACTCATTTTTTAGTAAAAGACTCATCACTTTTATACAAGTAAATATTCCTTACCTCTGTTGGAAATATCCTCAACTCATTTGCAGCAATATCCAAAACACGAAGTTTGTAACATTTCCCTAAACTCTGGAAAAGTAAAGAATAGCTTAAATCAACTCCAAGACAAATGTGCACAAAATACAAGTGAATATGCACAGTCAGGCCGGTATCCAGAATTTTCCAAGGGGGTTCACTTTTCCCAAAAATTCTAGGGGGGTTCACTTTGGCAAATTTGGCCAAAAATCACTCAAAAAATAGTCAGAATGGTGAAAAACTGCATGATTTTGAAAGAAATTTTGGCCAGAGGGGGTTCGCCCAAACCCCCCTGGCTATGGGCCTGTCAACAGTAACATCCAAAACATGTTCAGTTTGTAACACTTCTCTAAACTCTGGAAAAGTAAAAGATTAGTGAATTTCAATTTGGTTGTGCACAAAAAACAAGTGACTATGATGATCGATACAAAATCTTGTTCTTACATCTTGATTCACAAGGTTTCATTTGTCCAACCTTGTGTCATAAAAACCACCTTGGAAGTCGAAGATGGAGTTTTTCACAAAATGAAAATGAAGCCATTTCTCAAACAATCATAAACAAAACCAATGTAAAGTTTAAGTCAATGCATTACAAATGAGCATTTTTGCTATATTTTGCAATAAAAAAATTTTGTCCACAAAACAGCAATACGTTGCAAACAAAATGCCTCTGTCCCAAATGAATTTGTGATTCAATAATTTTTTCTTAAATTGAGCTATTGCATTGACTTAGACTTTAGTATTCTCCTTACCTCTGGTAATTCTTTAATTTTATTCTTCTGTAAATATAGCTTTTCAATATTAATAAGGAAGCCCATCTCCAGTGGGAGTCCAGCAAGGTGGTTGCCAGCAGCATGGAGTTCTTGTAGGTTTGTAAGGGCACACATCTCAAATGGAAGATCCATAAGTAAATTGTTGTCCATACTTAAATGTTGTAGACTTGCTAATCTGAAGATATGAAAAGTTGATTTAATGTCGTAACACGTGCATTGTTAATTTTTTTACGCAAGATGTTTCGCTTACACAGTTTCAAATGTCTGATTGCCATGTGACTTAACATGAAGGCCTCAAGTCTTGGGATTTCCCTCACTTATTTTAAATGCTATAATCTGGTTTGTGAAGTTTAAAAATGTATACAACTGTACTTCAAATTGGATAAAACTGATATCCTTCACACTCATATAAAATTCTATGGATGAATAGCACCACTTTAGAATGAAAATGCATGACGTTAGACATTAAAATATTATTATTGAAATCAACTACAGATAATATATATTTATTTCAGGATTAAATTAACTCTTACGTACTTGCATATCTCTGGTGGAAGTCTTCTTATTTTATTGTTATTTAGATTAAGGAATGTCAAGTTTCTCATATGATCTGCAACAAAGAAAATGAAAACATTTAGTACATGTACATGTACATTGTATATGTAATTTAAGAGCTGTATTTAGACTGCGGTTATTTAATTCATTCCATAGTTATTGTGACATTCATAAGATATCATGTTAAAATAAAGGTTTTAGTCAAATTTTTACTTAACAATATAATACATGTACAGCTTTTATACCATGAGATAAAGTGTGCCTCTATCTTATCGTTCACAAAATTTTGCTAATTGACTCAATGGAAGGTTGACTAACAATGAGTGATCAGTCTTTTGGAAAGGTTGATTTTAATCATTTAATAATCATAGGTTAATAACATACCAAGCACCCTTTACATCTATATGGAATAAAAGAGGATCATATGATTTATTCAGGAAATTATTTTTATCCACTCATGGATATTGATATCTGCACTTTCTTGGTACACTCATTCAATCTAAATAATCAAAGCAGGCAAATATTGAAATGAACAAAAAAGTATGTCAGAAACATAAGGACAAAATGTTTTTTCCAGTCCATCTTTGATAATAACATGTTCAAAAACTCCCTTTAAGATACTGTGAATTTTGTCTGAATACCGGTATGTTTTTGTCAATACTCAAACCCAGAATACCATAACTGGAAAATGTTAGGTCCCTCGGCCCAAAAACCAATCGAATGATCATACCACTGATGATACTTACATAAAATAGAGGGTGCCAATATCTTTACTCTATTGTTGAACAAATGCAGTTTTAAAAGTGAGGAGAGATATTTCAAGGCATCGGGTAATTCTTCAAATATGTTGTTTCCTAGATTCAGGATCTCTAACTGAAAACATAAAGTATACACATGTATAACAGTATAACACTATAAGGCTGCATGAGACCATTAAATATGCCAGTCTTCGATGGACTTAGTTAGGAATTCTTAATTTTACAAAAATTCTGTTGATCAATGGCCACCTGAATTTTATAACGAGTACTCAGATATAAACGAAACATGTACCAGATTTTAGATACATCATGTAGTGTGATACAAATATAGAATGAAAGGAACCCTTTTTTCACCCAAAATTTTTGCTTGTATAGATCCAACAACATTAAATTCTCCCCAATGCAGCGCTTGCCAAACACTTCAAATCTAAAGGATGTCGTAACTACACATTCAAATGCCGCCATTTTGAATATTTTTCCCGCTTCAGATTTTAAATTGCAAGGTTTGGTCTTATTCCATAACTAAAAAAATCAAAACACATAACAGGGGATTGGGATACAAATATAAACCTTTCGATAGTATGGATTATGAACTTATTGCCAGTTGTAATGTCAGGAGTGAATAACGACATCCCAGAGCGGAGCCAGTTTTTATTGGTATAAAGATGCAATGTCAAAAGGGTGTCATCAGAGAACCATTTTTAATTTAGATTTAATCGAAAGTTAAATCAGAGAGCTTTTCACATATGATCGACATATACCACATATTTTGCTAGCCTACTAGTATAGCCGAGCTCGCATTTTTTGAACAAAATTAGCCTATTTTGAAAAAATTTTTTTGAAAAAGGCTCACAAACCTGTGTCAATTTCCCAAACTCTGGTGGCAATTCAGCGATCGAATTATTCTTCAATCGAATCTGCAATACATCTGTTAGATTTCCTATTATGCTTGGTACCCGATCTAAATGGCTATTATTCAAATTAACCACTTTTGGTTGAGATTTCAAAGCTTTCAGTAGAAGTGTGTCCGCCATCTTTGTTGTCAATGACGCCAATGGACGAATACATGGACTCACGAAATAGAGTATGAGACCATGCCCAGTCATAACATGAGGCCATAATACTTAATATTTCAGGAGAGAGAGCGCATGCGCAAAGTGTAAGACGGAAAAATTGAGCTCCGAAAAATAACTTTATTTTTGTGTATTTACAGCTAGTCTGAACATTCTACATAACTACACAGACCGCCTATAACTCGCTGGAGGTGCCAAGAATCCAACGCGACCCTTCAACGGACTAAAACCACCGGGAAAGTTGGAATACGTGACCAACAAGATCCACCTCGTGTCCGCCATTGCAGCCATTTTGCCCGGGAAATTTCCATTGGAAATTCGTTTGTCACGGGAACCTGAGGACCCAGTGTGTGCCCAGCTTTGTGTGCCCAGCTGTTTCTTATAATCTTAGTTGGAGGTATAGATCCTCCGGATCTTTTAATATATATTTTTATCTTTTTTGACCAATACAAATATTTCTTAAAAAACCTAGTGACTGTCTAGTAAAAAGCAGGTTTTGATATTTTTATCTGTAAGTTATACAGTAGCCTACTCAATAATCATTCCACGCTACAGCTAACTTTGATACTATTTACCTAAGAAGTATAATTCAAGCAACTTTATTGCATTTCTGGGGCGTCGCCCGCCACTGCATGGTCACCTCTCTGGTGCCATTTTGTTTTCGTTTTTGATAAGTCTATGCGACATTGTTTCAGCTAAATTAGACGAGTGGTGTACAGCATTTAGAAGCTAATGATTTCCTAGATAAAGTAAGAATTTTTTCCTATGAGTTAGCTGTGTACCACCTGCTTTTAGTGTAGTTAGTGCTTTACCTGCTTTCCCTGCTTTGCGTGCTGCACTGTGTTTATTTTACTGCAACATTGCTAGAGTAGGACTAATTATCCAGTAGGGCAAGGTTCGTAGTGTATCTAGTAACTAATAAGGATATACCATTGTATGATTTGTTGTGGCCGATTTAGATTGGCACATTTTAGTTATTTTTATATGTGTTAGGATTGAAAAGTCTATTTTTACAGAGTCTATTTTTACAAAGCTTTCTTTTTTATATAAACCTTTTTATAAATATATATATATACACATAGAGTATTTTTATCTTTGCCAAATAACCAACTCACTTGGTAACTGTACAGGTACATGTTAAACCAGCTTCCAGACAGCTTGGAATGCCTGTAAAATCTAAGTCAAAAGCTAAAAAGGCTACCATTCTCAAATCAAAGGAAAAGGACTCCTGTCCATGTAATAAAGATTTAGATAGTATATTTCTGAACTGCTCAAATTGTGAGCAATGGTGGCATTCTAACTGTCTGGGTCTAGGTAATAGCGAGGAAGACTGCCCGTTACTCAAATTATATGCGCAAGAAGAGACTGTCTTCAACTGCCCTTACTGCATACTCAACAGCATCAATGCTGATATAAAGCTTAAGCCTCAGAACACGGTCTCTCCTTCGGATAAGCAAAACAAACTGGCTAATAATTTGAGTCCACCTAAGATTTCTCAAGCTAAACATAGTAGCAAGAGTGCTATAAATAGCACTGTGAGTCAAAATCTACCAAAGAACATTTTAATCATCGACAACTTGAAAAACCCAGGCCTATTCAAGGATAGTGATAAAATCAAAAAAGAAATTTTCAAACATAAATCCCAAGTTAAAATAACCCACACTTATCAGCTTTGCAGAGGAGGAATTGCAATTCACTACGCTGACCCAGAACAAAAGGAACTCCTCAGCAGGGACTGGCCTGAATCAGCGTTTGGAGGAAGTGGCAAACAACTTGACATACACGACACTACCCCCACCTCCCGTTGTATCATAAGGAACGTCCCTACAAGTATAAATCCAGAAGAACTGAAACAAGTAGTTGAGCAACAATCAGGTATAAGTGTATCTATAAGAAGATTCAAATACAGGGATACTGGTAAGGGCATGCCTATAGTGGCTGCCACATGTAGTAATCATACTGATCTGTCTATCTTATTCAAAACAAAATTAACTATTGGTAATAAAATTTTGTTAGTGGAAGCAATCAACACAGCCAAGCACAAAGTAACCCGGTGCTTCCGTTGCCAATTTTACGGGCACGTGGCGAAGGCTTGCACTAACAAAGCTAAGTGCGAAAACTGTGGTGGTGCACATAAGAATAAGTGTACCAATTCAACTAAGTGTAACAACTGTGGAGAAAACCACAAAGCTAGCTCCAATAAGTGCATTTATTATATTGATTTAAAGCTCAAAAGGAGCACTAATGTATAGTAACTCCATAACTATAGTGGCTGCTACTCTCTTACTTTCTCTGCTAGTGACAATGAAAATATTCCAAGCTAACATACGTTCTATCAACACCTCGGCTAAATACATCAAACATATCTCTCCTGAAGCATCTATATTTTGCATTACAGAAATCTGGCACCCTACAGCTGAATCAATCCAAAGAGCCGGTCTAAAAGACTGGACTTGGATTTCCTCTATCAGACAAGGCAGGGAGGGGGGCGGGGCAGCCATTATAGCATCATCAGACACAAAGGTGGTAAAAAGAAATGATCTCATGAGAAATGACATAGAGGCAGCTTGGGCAAATGTCTATTGTAAAGACCTCGCTTTTCTTCTATGTTCAGTTTATATACCCCCAGGAAACATTGAATCATGGGATAAATTTTCTAGAGTGGCAACCTCTGCTTTACATAGCAAGCTTCCAGTACTTTTTACAGGGGATTTTAATGGGAGACATCCCTTATGGAATGACTGTTCTATTAACAAATTGGGAAGCACTATTGCAGAGTTTGCCATGATCCATGACTTACACATTTTCAACAACCATCAGTTCACTAGAAATGAAACTATCATCGATTTAACCATCGGCTCCGGCTCACTGACATCCAAGATCTCGGAGTGGGCGGTGCGGGATGAGATCTATTTGAAATCAGATCACAAACTTATCTCATTCAGCGTCGGCCAGGCCGGGAAGGAGGAAGTCAGGGAATATTATGATTTGAAAAATGCAAATTGGGAAAAATTTGTTTCTGAAATGGAAAAACTTTGTCTTAACTGGCAACAAAACGTTATTGCTGCCAATGTTGAAGAAGCTTACACCTCCCTATGCTCGATAATGCTCAAAGTCATAAACGACATCATACCTAAGAAAAAAATTTGTTCTAAGAGCAAAGGGTGGTGGAACGACAATTTAAATCAACAAGTTAAAGCTCTGAGAAGGGCAAAACGCCGTTATAACAAGCGCAGTGACCCTCATAATTGGGAAACCTATACCAGGCTCGCAGAAGAGTTCGCAGAGAGTGCACATAAAGCTGAATCTAGCTATTGGGATGATCTCTTCGAAGAGCTTGATCTGGGTAACCCAAATATGATATGGAAAACTGTAATGAAAACTCAAACCAAAAAGGGTAAGAAAATAGTCCAACCAATTATAGATGGAAATGGTAACATTCATCATACCGATGAGGACATTGCAGAAACTATGGTTAAGCAATATGGCAAGCAACATCTGCCAGTACAGCGGTATGATGAATGGTACAACTTTGTTGTGAGAAAGGCCAAAGAATCTGTCCAACTTGAAAAAATCAAAATTAAAAACACTAATTACAATCAGACTTGCGAACCTTTTAACAAGGACATAGAATTTGATGAAATAATAGCAGCTATTGAGAAAACACCAGCTAAAACTGCTCCTAGTCCTAGGGAAAAAATTTTGAGTATTTTTATCAAAAAAGGGGGGATCACACTACATAAATCAATTTGGCTTCTCTCACAGAAATGCTGGGCGGAAGGTCAGCTTCCCCAGGAATTTAGAATTGATCCAAAGATTATGCTAGGTAAACCTAACAAAAATAACTATAATTCAGACAGATCCTATCGCCCTATAACACTTGAAGCTCAAGTTGGGAAAATCCTACAAAGGGTAGTCAGCCCAAGGTTATCATGGATAAGCGAGACTACATCCTCTTACTGTGCCTTCCAGGATGCTTACAGGGAACATAGATCCTGTTCACAGACTGTGATTAGATTGGTGCAGTCCATCCAGGAGGCGTGGAATAGAGGAGAATATGTCATCGCAGCAGTATTAGATTACGAGAGCTGTTTTGAACGGGTGTTTAGGGAGGGGCTCATCTACAAACTAGCCCAGAAGGGAATCAATGGACGCCTGTTAGTGTACATCAGTGAATACTTAACTAATAGGCAATTCTCTATATCTGTCAACAACCACACTACTCCCCTACTGCCATCAGTGGTGGGCATCCCTCAGGGGTCCGTGTTGTCTCCGCTTCTCTGTAATCTCTACACGGCAGACTCCATGGACAACATAGGGTCGGAGAAGGCTGGCTTTGCAGATGACAACACAATATGGGCATGTGGAGCTGACTTGAAAGAGATAGAGAAACTCATCAACACGGACTTGAATCAATTAACCAACAAATGGTGCAAAAGATGGAACATGGAGATCGCCCCTGAAAAAACCGAGGTAATGGTCTTCAGTCCACCTGGTATCACTAGCCCCGATATTAATATCTTTATCGACGGCCGGAAACTCCAGGTGGTGTCCCACAAGAAGATTCTTGGATGCACCATAGATAACGAACTTAAATTTAATCTACATATCGAAAATAAGAAAAAATCTGCATTCGGTGCTCTTGCGGGCATAAACAATTTCACTTCCAGCAAATCGGGCTGTAGCCAAGAGGTATTCACCATGCTGTACAAAGCGTTGGTGATACCGCACTTCGAAACCAGCATTAGTGCTCTGGCTGCAGTTACCGAGAAAGCTGTTTCTGCCTATGCACCAGTCCAGAGGGCAGCACTACTTAGAGCAACCGGATGCCTCAACTCAACTAGCACTGACTCATTAGAAGTACTGGCTGGTGTACTACCGCTTGATATTTTACTAAGAAGCAGGCAGGCTCAAGAGGGTGTGAGAATAGCTACCCACACTGAGTCAGACCCCATTGCCAGGGAATTTTTGA